ACGTCGAATTGCTTGTTTCCGGGACGCGGGACCGCCCGTAGTAACCGAGTATAGGAGTCTCTCCGCGGGCACAAAGGACCCTCCGCGACAAAAAGGGAAAACTCCAGGTTCCAGGTTGCGTATCCGCCCTCTAAATCCCGCGACTTTCGACTGGCACGAATCCAGCGGAAGCGTTTCCACGGTTAACGGCCGCCGGAGGTCCTGCGCGCGCGGGGTCAGATTTACACGAAGTTCCCGTCGCAGAGGATTCGCTCCGCGACCGTAAATATCGCCGACGAAGGAACAAAAATTGCATTTACAACGACGGGTCGGTTGAATTACAGGGGCCTCGAAAAGTTCTGGACGGCAAGAAATTCGCGACAAACTCGACCGCGCGACTGCAAGTGGACGGCGTAGGAGTTTCTGCAAACCTTTGGGGCTTGTTGCCTTTTGCGCGAGCAAACTCGCCGGGCCGAGGAGTGCTGTTGATCCTCGATTCGAAACGTTTTACAGCTGGTAAACGGGGGGGAAAAAATTAACTGCTATAATTGAACGAGGGCCAGGGTTCCGCGGTTCGAGTCGAGAAATATGTACACTGTCGCTCGAAAGTTCTCGAGCACCCTCTTTGGAGAAACAAACTAGTTGCGAAAGTATACATAAAATGGGGAAAATTGTTAATTCGTAACAAGTTATGATAGACAATAGAGAGAAAAAAAGACTCGGGTCAATTCTTGGGCGCGGAACAAAGGGCGCAGCTAATATTTAGCAAAGGCCTAATGGAGTATGAATTTCCCTAATTTTCGAAAGTCGAGCATAATGGCCAGACCGTGGAACAATGGAGGACACCAGAAGATCCCTTAATGGGTTCGTTTCGACGTTAAATGGCGGTGCTCGCGAGGTGCAGTGTTTTGCATTTGAAACGCGACTCGAAAACGAGGAGGGTTATTTCGAGAAAATGTAATAAGAGATAGTGGAGTGGAGCTATTTTCAGAAATTATTTTTGAAAAATTATATTTTCAATTTTTTAAACTGCCAAGACGTTAAAAGCTCTTAAGTGCCTGGACGAGATCTGGAAGACCCTAAATCTCCATAACGTGTTCCCGTGGCAATTCATCGTCGCGCCTAATTAATGTAATCACTGGCCTCGTAAAGCGTACCGCGGCGAGCCATGGTATTTTGCTTATTCCTGGCGGGCGGTTAAAAGTGTACGCGACATCGCTTTTCCCCAATACTGAATCGCAAACTTTCAGTTCCGTTGCCCTGCTTTCCGTAGAAGATCGCTCGACCGAAGTTCCATGCACGGAACGCAACGTGACGGGAGTTTTTAAAACGATTTATGAAAATTTATCGTAAAACCAAGATGGTTGCATCTGGAGCTAAAATCGGTGAAGATGTTGCTACAATTTCCACCGCCCGCCAAACATCTCTTAATAACCGTTTTGACGCAACTCATTCAATACTGACACAAATACGCCTCCGGTTGTATTTATAAAGCTACTTTGACGCGCGTGGTCTCGTATCTCTTAAATGTCACCAGTGGGCGGCGAACGCTAAGTGACCGTGATTTTTGGGCGGCTACGTTTCCTACGTTAATGCTTTTTTTTTTGTTTCGTTTTTTCGTACGAAATCCTACGCTCGGTCCTCGGTTTCGTGGAGCGTATCGATGCCTGTGTTCCACGCGATACAATACGCCGACTGTTCGTCGAACCCCCCCCCAAAAAGATAAAACAACCTCTCGAACGAGCATTTATACCGTTGCATCCGAGGATACTTTAACGCACGTGGCCACGCGTAGTGTACACAAGCGAAAGAGCACGTTTCCTACTGTACCGCGATAAAACAGGACAGAGGAAAGCACTCGTAAATTTCTGACGGTGCCGAGAGCAGCCGTGGAATCACCTGTTCCCGGAAACCGTGGGCTTCCAACGACCCTAATCGCAAACAGTGAAAAAACACCGTTTACTTCGAGACAGAAGATCGTTTTACTCGTCTCGAGTGGTTTCGTTAACAATCCTAACGCCCTAAAAGATAAGAATGAGAAGTAAATAAAAATTTATAACGTATAATCGATTATCGGGATAATAGAGATCCTATTGTATCTGATTGTTGCGGTGTTACTTGAATCGGGGTCATCCTGGTGAATATTTTCCTGGTATACGAATAAAGTTGAAATCACCATATCGCCTCCGATGCACAAAAGAGCGAACGACGTTGAAAGTTAATTGCCGCCATGTCGATACTTCCAGCACGAGTTCCAAAAGCATTCGACAACAGATCTGCTATTTAAAGGAATCGTGATAGAGAGAAATTGGGTCAATTTTCCTGCTACAATAGACAACAAATCTGCATTCAACTTTCAACACGCGGATCCGTTCGCGGATAGCGTGAACCATTTCACGAGTCAATGGCAAAAGTTTGAGGCGTACACGCCATCGAATGTACAGGGTGATCAATCTACACCCAACGAAAATTTTTGGCATATTCCTAGCAAACGGACCGTTCACTGATTGAGGTGAGTTATACGTCATTCTACTATTATTTGTCCTAGAAAATAAGACCATTGCAAAACAGTATTTTTATTTAATTTTAGTTATACAATAATATGACATTACTCATAACTGTATGTTAGCATATATAGGGGGTTCGACCACCCCTGGGAAAAATTTTAATGAGGGATTCTAGAGGCCAAAATAAGACGAAAATCAAGAATATCAATGTCTTGATTGAGGCTTCGTTAAAAAGTTATTAACAATTAAATTAAAAAATTTCAAATCGTTCTGGAAAAATTATTTCCGGTTACGGGGGTCAATTACAATCATTTTTGGTGAATAGACATACCCCCGAAATCCTACCCACTTTCGAGAAAAAAATTCGAGAAGGTGTGAAATTTTATGATGAAAAAAAAATTTCAAATCGTTCTGAAAAAATTATTTTCGGTTACAGGGGTCAATTATAATCATTTTTGGTGAATAGACATACCCCCGAATTCCTGAGCATTTTCGAGAAAAAAATTCAGAACAGGTGGAACTTTAAACGTTAATAACTTTTTAACGAAGCCTCCATCAACAAATTGGTATTCTTGATTTTCGTCTTATTTTGGCGTCTAGAATCCCCCATTAAAATTTTTTCCAGTGGTGGCCGAACACCCTGTATGTTAATTTTAAGACATCTGTAGCTGAGTTAGGTTAGAAACCGGGGGGGAGGAGAAGGGTAATATTTGTGTATTGTTACTGCACATACTGTCTACATGACCTACTCCTGTATAGTATGTGCATAAAAAAATGACTATTATCCATACATGTTTAACAAATTACGTGTTTACTACAACTTTCCGACAAGTTTAAACAAAAATAACGAATTTTCGCAAATAATGAAATGCATATTAATAATGTACTGAATTATACAAATTGAATGACGTATATACCTTATTTTCAAGGTTATATTACACCAAAACTGAATTTTAATCGAGTATCAAAAGGAACTTCCAAAAAAAAATAGAGGTTCGGAACCACTGCCATGTTTCGTTTGGCGCGCGCGCGCTCCCTCGATGTTTTCAAACGCGATTTCACGTTTCGTACGAAAAGATTTTACTCCGCGATAGATAATTTATTAACTGGTTAAGAATTACCTGTGGGTCATGTGGCTCGCATATTTGAAGACACCCCGTGCAATTAGGAACAGAAACATTGGTCGTTCGTGGCACAATGTTATCGAACGCGAACGATAACGGTCAATCCACGTTGCAAAGTGGGCGCGTGCTGCTCTCGGTGAAAGCTAGCGAATGCAATTCCACACGCGCGTGCCGACGACGCCACGCAACGACACGACAGATATTCAATTAAAGTTAAGTTCATGGCGACCGTACACCAGCTTCGGTCGAACACGGTTCCCCTGGACGCCTCCTGTCCGACGATTCCGCACGGAATCGAATATTTCCGAAGCTAATCGCGATTATAACGGTATTACACCTGAGCCCGAGGTGTAGCGGTCATTCGTCGTAGCTTTCATGCCGAAGGACACGTTTGTTGCTCTTTTACTTTCGTCGATTGCCTCTGATCTCCTTTTCACGGTTCGTTGCCGAACCAATTCATTGACAACGGTCCGGCCGACTGGCGTGAAGTTAATTATGAGTTTACCGGAAACACGAAACTATCGAAACTTGACCGTGGTTACATCGATAGTGATTTATCTGTTTGCTCTCTCTTTCGACTCTCGGCTAATATTTACTGGCCGCCTTCGTAACAGCCCGGTTGCACGTTTACGAAACGCGATAGAGTTGTTACGAGAACGACGCGTTTAAATATTTCGAAGACGCTGTCGAGAATGTTTGCGAGATTTCAGCGGAGATTCTTTACAGGATAGGCGACCCGTGCGATTTTTTTCTTCGTTTTACGTGTAAACGGACGGCAAACGAGTGTGCTGTTTGCCCAACGCATCGATAAATGGAAATTGAATATTTATCTACGACGCTTTGAAATCGAATGTTTCTGGATCGTGCGTTGATTTAAAAAGACCGTATGCACACTGTATATGATAATAAATTATCGTCGTGGAACGATGTATGAAAAATGATGCTGTCAATTTCGATCGGAAGAAATATTTTTCGTTCAGCGAATGAATGCGAGACATTGAAATCAGAAATTATCGCGAAACACACAATTAAATACAAACTTGTTTGATTGCTTGCATAAAATGTCAGCTTATCGATACTTTCTGTTTACAGTTTCGTTCGCGGAAATCCCTTTGACGATGACACGGTACGTTGATTGAACTAAAAAGTTTTTCATAAAAAAGAAACAAATTAGCACCGAAAATCCGAACTATCGTCTATCGAAACGATAATCCTTTCAGATGTTTCAAAATTGGCGACAATGCGTTCCTAAAGGTCAATGGCGTTCGTTTGTTTATTATGGTGGACACTCCGGTAGGTGTATCTGCTCGAATGTCAAACAGCACACGAGTTGCTGGGGGCAGTTCCTTATAACGTGAAAAATCTATATATTTTTTTTTATTCCACATACCTGTCTCACAGCAGGACCCTCGTCGATCTTCGAGTAATCCGCGTTCGGTGGGATATTTAATTAATCATACAGCACATTTTAACACACGCCGGAACACACTGTGCGCAGCAAGAGTCAACGAAATGCACCACGAGCAGACTGACAGTTACCACGGGTTGTTCATTATTGGAAAATCTACCTTGCAGGCTGCTCTTGCGCAGCCGGCACGATACTACCGACTTCCTCCCCACTACTACCCAACGCCATTTGTACCAACCTTGCTTCCCTCTAGCTTTCGCGTTATTCATATCCGTATCAAAAAAATATGGTACCCAGTCCTTGTATTGAATTTCGTTACCTGTACCGAATGTCACGTACAAAATTAGTCGTAAATTAAATCCCGTCGACGAATATGCTAACTTACGAGAATTGATAACAAATGACGCATTAAAAATTTCGCATCTACGATCTTTACAGCAAAATTCGTTAATGACACATTCTATCAAAAATCATGTTTCTCTGTTAGATTTGTAAAGATACGAACTGTATAGTTGGGTATAAATTGAATTCGCTTAAAACAAATTAAATGTTACAATTTATAACTTTATGTATAGTCTTGAATGAAAGGGAAACACGAATAAATTTTAACGTGCAGAGATACAGAACTTGTCTAGAACTTTGTAAAAACAACGCCGGCAACGGAGATGTGAAACTTGTGATGCAATAAACCCGTCTAGAAAGTGAGTAGTCTGTGGAAACAGACAACCTCACGGAGGTTAGCTGAATTTTCGTAAAGTGAATTTCGCTTGAATATTGAATATTATTTTCCTTGCCTTAGATTTCGGTGATGAGAGATTCCTGTTATAGTTAATACGCGCATTTTAAAGTGGATCGGTTCGCAGTACATTGTTTGGTGATAATTGCTATTCTTTAGAAAAATATACAGCGCTTCACAAAAATAAGATATCATGGCGGTACCCACTACCGGTGTAGGTAAGTATTTTATGTCTACTTTACGAGCTAGAAATGCAAACGACGAACGGACCTATCGTTCCTCAGAAATTAAATACTTCCATGGAAACTATTAAATGAGCCATACATTGAATTTCACAACGATAACTGAATACACATAATCTCGAAAAAATATACGATCTGTCGTATTTCTTTTATAATAAGTTATTAAATATTGTAAACGTGTCTAAACCTAGTCAGCGATTAGAGTCAAGTTTTTATAGAAAACGTTATTATTTTGTTCTTGCAGCATAATGAAATTAAGAGAAGCTTATGAAAGTATTAACGAATAGCAGGTCGCACCATGCCTAAAAGTCACAGACTCATAACCTATACTTGTTCCAGACTTTTTGATTAAAAGTATTTTATTTGCAGTCCTGTGGGAGATAAATGTTATTTTGCATTTTTAGTTGTGCCTCGAAACTTTCGTTTACTAGAGGAATTAGAACAAGGTCAGAAAGGTGTAGGTGATGGTACAATCAGTTGGGGCTTGGAAAATGACGATGACATGACTCTTTCGCATTGGACTGGAATGATAATTGGACCACCTAGAGTAATTTTTCTTAAATTTCTAATTACATTTAAGTTTAAATTTAATGGATTACTTTTGATCATTTACAAATACCCATATAATTTTATTATTCTTCATACAAATTAAAACAGTCTTAATAAAATCTATATTTTTATTGAAGCTTTATATGATATTTTTTAGACACCGTACGAAAATAGGATGTATAGTTTGAAAATTGATTGTGGTCAAAGATATCCAGATGATGCTCCTAATGTAAGATTTTTAAGCAAGATTAATATGAATTGTATCAACAGTAGTACTGGTGCAGTAAGTATTTAATTTCATATAAGCTTGATTAATAATAGAATTACGTACTTGTAACATTTATTGAATGTGTAAATTTTCTAGGTTGATAATCGCAGTGTGCCGATACTTGCAAAGTGGCAACGAGAATACACAATTAAGACAGTTCTTCAAGAGCTCCGCCGTTTGATGACGCTGAAGGAAAATATGAAACTGCTTCAGCCTCCAGAAGGTAGCACTTTTTAGCCTAACCACATGTAAACTCAACACCTCTTCCTTTCTGTGGTAGCAAAGGGCGAGATTTCGATGAAGGTACCAAATACTATTAAATGGGTGCCCAATAAAGATGTGCGCTAAGAAGTAACACCTGTGTAAAAAAAAAGAAGGTGATGATGACTATAAAAGTTGAATCGGTGTTTTCAATTTACAGAAATATTTACTTACAAAATTCAGGAAATTTACATTTTTACTTATTATTTCCTAATTTTAAAGCACATTTCATGTATATGTGAAACTATTATTATAATTTCAATATTTTATTGTATAAATATGCACTCGCATTTAATTTATGAAAATGCTGTTTCAACTTTTTAGGTTATAAATACAATCTAAAACAAGAGTCATATTTTGAACCTTAAAAACTGGAAACACAGACTGTGTAATAAAAGTAATAATCAGTAAGAACAACTTATGCCTTCAAAGTTTTTTAAAACGATGCCTGAATATGGATTAGTATACATTTCAGTTTGTGCATAAGTGCCATTTCATAATCTGTGGAGGTGTCTCAGTAATTACTATTATAGACCATTCTAAATTTTAATAATTTATATTTCTGTGTGCTCATTTTTACCAAGCTTTACTTTTCTTTTCCTCTGTTAGTTGTTATTACAAGTTTAGCTAACAACAGGTTGTTGAGATCAATATTTTGACACAATAATGTGCCTTTTTATGCAAGCAGCATAAAAATGAGCATGTATAGAGCGTGTTTGGTTGAGACATCATCCAAGAACGGCCTCTTATTCTATATGAAAAACAAATTATGTTACGATTGATGCATACCAAGTAGTAATTTGATTTTTAGTAGCATATGTGGTAAATGGTATAGTGTTGGATCAGTGAGTACATCAATATATGAAGCAGTATATTAAAAATCTTCAGTTTTCCATTCCACTATTTATATATTAGAAATATATTTTAGGTTTATTTGGACATTATGATACAGATGAAATACACGCGTATTACTCACTTTTTGATCCGAGCTTCATAATTGATGTATTAGTAAAATCATACTTAATTCTTAATAACCATCCAAAGTATCATAAATAGCTTTCCAATTATTAGGAAATCAGGTCTGTAACGCTAGCGCAATTCTGCTATGAATTGCTAAAATTATACCGTTCCCATAAAGTTACGTTGAGAACGGAAAAGTTTTCCATAATTATGTTACATTTAGAAATATAATCATAAATTATTTCAAACATAATATAATTTTTTGGAGTTTTGTTATCCAAGTTATAGCAATGTCTGTCCTTATTTTTAAAGTAAATCCAAACCAAAGTATGAGATTTTTAACAGAATTCCACATTTATCATGTAATATGAAATTCTCAACTACCTGAAACATTATACATACCTCTTCATCAGCTTCGCATTTCAGTATTACACTATAGGTTATGTAATAGTGTAATCCAATTCATACTACTAAAAATATTAAGTAATTATTACTCTATGTCGATGAAGTCAAGCTTGAAAAGAATAAAAGGATTTCTTTAGAAACGATTTCCACATTGTTACTTTTTACTCCTTTTAATATCAGTATTTCAGGAATATTTCTTGAATAAATTAATATATAATTAAATGTGTTTAACAATTTATTTAAACCAAACGACGGTATCATTGGTTGCAGTTATATGTACAATGTGTAATTTGATTTGACGTAGGATTGACGATAATGTGAATGTATGTCAGTCTGCAGGCAATTACGTTTTAATGCCGCAACTTCCAAACAAGATATAAAACTACACTCCAATAAATGATGCTAAGCATTGTCGAATCAGTTCTTTTTAGCTAACCACTGTGTTCAAAAGTCCTTACTTTTTGTGTTTAGGTGTAAATAATAATTTAGTATTCTTTGCTGTTGTCCACTTGTGTCTCTTCAAGTAGAATGCTAAAGCCGATAATGCAAGGAATACAAGAGAACCCTGGAAATAAAACGATGATATAATGTTTAAATTAATAATCTTTCAAGAAAAATATTTTAGTTACTGAATTGGTTTACCTTTAAGAATAATCTCTTTCTTTCGTCGTGTTCACAATTTGATGTCCACATTAGGAATGTGGTAATATCTTTTGCTACTTGAGAAGCAGTTGCAGGTGTACCATCCTCAAATTCTAAGACTTCATCGAAGATAACCTAACACATTTATATAATTTTTTTATGCATAACTTTTAAAGAACAGGTGTAACGGTTTTATGTAAATGTTTTATATAATTAATCTTATTTACCTGTGCCATACCAAGAGCACCTCCCGGGAAGTACGGGTTGAAATACTGGCCTTCTCTTATTGGAATACCAGCAGGTGGATCACAATAGCCAGTTAATAACGAGAATACATAATTCTGAAATATATCAAAAATACATTTTATTTTATTTTAAATAAAATTTAGAACAAATTTTAAGGGATAATATTACCTCTCCATTATGCCTTCCATTTACAATGAAGGATAGATCTGGTGGATAGGCACCATTATTAGCTGCCCTAGCAGCTTCTTCATTTGGATATGGAGATGGAACAGTGTCGGATATTTTACCAGGACGCATAAAGTACTCCCCTTTATCATCAGGTCCATCTTTTACCTGAATTAATAAAAGACCACTTCAGTGATATTAAATCATATTATTCTGTATAAAAAGTAGAAAATAATACCTGAATTTCTTCAGCAAGTGCTTTGGCTTCGTTTTCTGTGTGCGTAACACCAATCAAATTGCGGTAAGCTACGTATTGCAAACTGTGACAAGCTGAGCATACATTTTTATATACTTCCCAACCACGTCGCATACTAAATAATGAAAAGACATTTATGTACACTTATTATGCTTGTATCTATTACATTATGCTTTGTTATTTTTAATTACCTTGCATGATCCAATGAGTTCAATAAACCATAGAAGGACCAATTATAAATTGGTGCATGAGCACCATCAGTAGCTTTTACAGAACTATCCAAAGCATAGATCAGTGCGCTAATACCTCCTGCTGTTATTCCACAGCAAGTCAACAACTGTAATATATTTAATAATACCAATGTTTCAATGGTTATTTATCTTTTACTTACTTTGTATTAATATACAACTGAAACTTACTATTATTGTATATATTGAACGAGGATAACATTTTATTTATTGCACATTAGGATCAGGATTGGTAAGGACACCTTGATACAACTAAAAATATACACGTACCATTTTCCTACCCCTAGACCATTGATTTGCTGTGGAAAAATTGTGTACCTGCTAAAATTGAAATCACATTATTAGATGGCAAACATTGACACCATAAAAAAGTGTTCTTGTCCTAGATTTGATTATTAATATTAACTAAATTTATATCGTTAAAGTAAATATTAGACAAGTTTATCTTCCAATATTAAAATAGGTAATATTATAGAAAGACATTATTATTGGTCATTTAAGTATAATGTACAATTGTTTGAATAATGAACAATTAGAAATACTTTAAGTTACAGATTTGATTTTATGGAACTGCCGACACAGTATTCATTCATGTTTGATCATGGCAGCATCACAATTTTCTATGCTGATCACTATTACATAACATGAGATAAAAAGTCTTTGAAACCTAACTAATTTATTATCCTGCTATAAAAGAGAGCTAATTGGAACCGAAACAATTACAGACAACGTAAATCTAAGGTATAATCGGAAAAAAATGTCATAGCAGCCGACAACTTCTACAGTTCCTTAGGAACCCTTCAGACTCTGTTCAGAACGTCAATAATATAAAGTCAACACCTCAACAAAGAACGATAATCTTGGAATAGTCTAATGAATGGACTTAAAAACTTGTAGCTATTTTAAATTACATACCTGATTAAATAACGTTCCATAATTTGTCTTTAAAAGACTAGATTTACAAAACCGACCCAACGAAGCCGCCATGTTGGCCAAAGGTACAATGTGCACAGACCACTAGTCAATGAATCGTCTGTAAGAAAAATTTGTATAAATCGATAAAACAATATTTTTTTGTATCATTTAAAGTTTTCTATTACAATGTACACATTTTTTAATTGAGTACGCAGAACCGTTCAGTGATTAGACCAAATGAAAAGTACTTACACAACTTTTAAGTCGCTAACACGACTTTAATCAAGGATACCAATATTAAAGATTAAATTTAAAACTATTAAAGATTAAATTTATCTACATTTGTCTACACTGTATGCAATACCTTTGTAATTCTGAAAATATTATTGAATGTATTGTATTTCTCATATTTGTGCATAACAATATTACTTAATTTATTCGTATATGAAATTTTTAAAATGGATATAAATATATAGAACAATTCAATTTGTTACGCTGTGTAATATTTTAACGCAATACTTAAATCGTATCGTTATAATCTTTCTTTGTAATGTTCGATTATGTTAAACCTTAAATATCTTATTTATCTACAATTTTGCTGTTTGGAATTTATGAACCAATTCTGGATTCGTGGAGGGGTGTGGCGCATGCGCAATTTCTGTTGGTAGACTTGGCAGTTCGCTGTCGACCATTGGTATCAGCTGGTGGTTTCGTCAGATGGTATCGTGAATCCTATAATATCACATCGATCATCGCGCAGAAGAAAAAGATTCAAGATGAGCGGAGGAATGCCAGAGTTGGGCTCGAAGATTAGTTTAATATCGAAAGCGGATATTCGTTACGAGGGCCGGCTGTTTACTGTTGATCCTCAAGAATGCACGATTGCTTTAGCTAATGGTGAGTCTCAAATCAAGATGGATACCGAACACAGTTTTGCCGCTGCTTCGTTTCCCGGTTATTTCGTTCTAGCTCCCAATGCAATTAATTGTCAATTCTCATCTTTTCTTTGTTTAATATGCTATGTTTACATATCGTACACGAAAGTTCGGCAATCTTTCTGTACATATTGTATTCGAAAATGCTTTTGAAACTGTCGGTATTTGATCGCTCGGTCAAGCTTCGATACAAAACAACCGGGGTCACCCGTCACTTATAACGGGTGTTTTGCACAATGTTCGTAATTTAAATGTACTTTTCCGAAACGTAATTTCACGTTTAATATGTCTTTCAACTTTTGCAAACTTTTATCCGATATTTCCAGAATTATAAGAATTTGTACTTGAACACAAAGAAGCAAAGTAGAAAAATCAAATTTATGTCACTTAAATAATATTTGAGTAAGCATTTATTTTCCTATTATAAAGCTTTTAATAAGATTAGTGATACGAACTATTTGAAAATTTTGTAGAATAATCCAAGTATCCAATTTTCTATTATTTTTATTGTAACATATTATTGTATTTTATATTCTCTTTTATAATTAAAAATAAACATTGACCAGGTTAAATTTGAAACGTGAAATGTATATTTCATTAAATTCTGAATTATTTCAACGATAATAACTGTTTGTATCAACTTAGGTTGTGTGAAAGCCATTGCTTATATCCACCAGTGTATGGAATGTTTCTGTTCCGTGCTTGTCTTGTTTATATCTCTTGTCCTTTCTTTTTTCAGCCATATTACAAAACTGTTACAATGAATCGTTAAATTTGAATTTTATAACATCATACTTAGAATTTATTTATACAATTGAACTTATTAAGGAAAATTTATTTCTTGTTATTACATTAAATGTTTAATTAATATTAAAGTATAATAAATCCATGTTTTTTCCAAAATATGTAATATATTATTTCCTTTTTCTTGTAATATAGTACGTTCGTTCGGAACTGAAGATCGAGAGACCCAACTACCAGTGGCACCACAGAATCAAGTATATGAGTATATTTTATTCCGTGGTTCAGATATAAAAGATATTCGAGTGGTTAACAATGTCAGCTCTATTCCAAATGATCCAGCCATTGTGCAGGTAATTATAAACAATATCAGATTATTCTGTTAATGTGTTTTAAATAAAATATCAACACAGTGTTCAAATTATATACAAAAATATAATTTGATCTCATCTGTAATTACGATTGCTAAATAATTGTGGTTATTTATAGATGACGGTGCAACCGTCTATGAGCCAGCAGTCGTACCAGCCACAACCTAGTTATGCTCATCCAATGATGGGTCAGATGGGTCCTGTGGGTGGTCAATATGGGACACCCTATGGCATGACAATGGGTACTATGGGGCCAGTAATGGGAATGCCAACTGCTGCAAGGGATCCTCGTGGACCAATAAATAAACAGCCAAGTGAGTTGAGCTTGGGCTCTGCCGAACCCAATGCCATCTCTATCCCAAACTCACTACCAACGGCCAATGTCAACCCATTACCAAAAGACCAATCTCTGGAAGATGGTAAACTGTTTTTGCTATGACCTCTCCTTTGCCAATGGCATGCTTGCTGCTTACTCTTTGGTAATGCTTGTTAATTTCATTTTCAAAATCAAAACTTTGTTTTCATATTAATTGCAAATTACGTCTAATGCACCTACATAACATAAAAAGCCTATTATATTACCTTTCCCCTTTTTTAATTGCTTACATTCTCTCACTTATGCTATGAACTACATTTTCATTGCAACTTACTTAGCTTGTGCTTGACCTTTACATTGCGAATTTTGTGTGAAACTATCAATGCTTTGAGTAAACTTAAATTTGTAGTTATCAATATACATATATGTAGATATTCAAAAATATGCAGTACATGTAAAGTAATATACAATTGTATAAATATTTTTTTTATGCTTTTCTACAATTCGCGTTGCTGACTTTGTTATAGTTATGCTTTTATAATAGAATTATTGTTGTTTTTTCTTAACAATTTGCACATTATCTTGATTTAAAAATTGCTTGCTTAAGCAGTTGCAAATAGTGTTATGGAAATTAGTATTTACATTTATTATTTAATATGTAGCTATGTAATTGTTTTTTTTTAGTAAAAGTGAGTGTTCACTGCGAAATTTTTAATTAATTTGTTATTATAGTTTACCTATTTCACAAAAAATTCGTGCATGACAATTTCTTTTATTGCATTAATCACAGTATTTTTTTTATGTTATCTGTTTGAATTTTATTTAAATAATATCAGAAGTATTATGCAGTAGCAAGTAACATAATAGCAAGAACAGTTGAATTTCTTTTTTAAATTAATTCTCATGTAATGTGTATTCAGTGTAGTACCTTTTAATCATGTTTCATTTAAAGCTAGATATAAAAATATAATATTGAACACCTTTTAAATGTTTCATATATTATGTGAAATATTTATAATTTAAATATTTGAATATTTGGCCTTGAAATTGTTATTAATCGAATGTATCGAATACAAGATACGTGACAGTTTACTTCATTGTCATAGGTGTATTAGATCTTATTAGCGGTGGTTCACGATCTACAACTCCAACTTCATCCTTATTGACACGAAAAAGTCCAACCATGGATCAGGGTATTCAGGTAGGCCATCAGCAGCAGCAACAACAAGGCGGTAATATTGGCAAACTCAATGACAAGACAAACATGAGAAACATTCAATCTACCCGACGTGATCACGACAGGTAATGGAATTATAATATTTATTGGCACTAAGTTATTAATATTCAAAATTCTTGAGTCATATTTTTATCAGGTTAAGCGCTATGGCGGACACCAGTGTTGAACTGATGCTACTGTTCTAGAGACGTTCATCGCATTTGTGCTTATAATTTTGCACCTTTTGCTTTCAGTCACAGCGGTAACAAGCCCGGAGGTATTGTGCACCAGTATAACGAAGGAAAGCGTGATCCGATGAAGCAAGATGGTCAAATGCAAGGTCAAGGTAACCATGCGCAAGGTAACCGAGGGAATCGTGGTGGATGGATAAATCGTGGAAATATGCGAGGAAGAGGAAGAGGTCGCGGTGGTTTTAGAAATCAACCTGGTAATACTGGCGCCAAACCGAAGAATACATTGAAATTTGATAACGACTACGATTTTGAGCAAGCTAACACCGAGTTTGAGGAATTGAGGTATGTGCTTGTGTTTCTTGTACAAATCTATTATTTAGCATGGTCGTGCCGGATTCGTTTCAAGCACTTATCGAAACGAGCAATGTGGAAACTATGCAAAATTAACGTTTCATGCGTTTTTAAAGTAATACATATAATATGATTTATGTTTTGCTTACGCAACGCACCGACAGATGCATTCATCTATCGTAATGGCTACTCGTTTTGAAAGAATTCAAGATTACGTGATATTATCAATTCTTTTTTTTTTATACATTCCAGATCGCAGTTGGCGAAGACAAAGATTGATTCTGGTGCTGATAACGAGAAGAAGGATGACAGCGGTAACGAGACTGGAGCAGGCGAAGGGGAACCTGAGGAGGAGCCGGAAATTGTTCATTACGATAAGTCGAAATCATTCTTTGATAACATCAGCTGCGAAGCTGTCGAGAGAAGTAAAGGGTAAGTGGATCATTTTATAGATTAAATAAATACTATATATTGCTTATCATATTCAGACGACAAATAAACATACATACAGTATTTTTCGCGCGTGACTTTAGCCAAATCATGGTTTTCTGAACGTGATACACATACGAAACGATCGACTGCATTCGATCGATCGATTAATTCTTATATACTCGTTGTCTGGTAATCTAATCGTAATCCCATCTAATGTAAACAATGAAACCGATGTTTCGCGTCTAAAAGCATCTACTGCAACGGCAAACGTAACGTATGATTATTACACGCTAAAGATTCCAATAAAAAAATAACAACAACGTGTGCTCTTAATCCGCAAACATGAAATAACTTTATGTCGAATAATTTTGTTTATTAGTTTTGTAACGGTTTGTTACTTTTATCTCATAAATACTTTTGAAATATACTTCTAATGGAGTAAATGAAGCCGTCGGCCGGAAATGGGGGTTAGGTGACACTTATGAATATATCGAAATGTCTTCGATAAATTATGTACATTATTTTTATAATTATCATCATTTTATTAGTCTTTTTATACCGACTAAAATATAATCAAGAAGAATGTATTCACAAATTATTACGAATTCCCGTTAATAAGTCAATAATATAAAAAGTCTGTACAAAGTGATCTGCAGGTTAGAAAAATTAAATTTGAAGTGAACGTTCCCGCGCGCCGATTAAAGTTAAACGTGATTAAATCAAATAATTGCATATCAAAGAAGACCATAAACAATACTCGATCTAATGACCGCGTGTGTAAGTATTAATAATGTTGTAGTATAACTGTAGATTATTATAGTGGTATGTATAAATATGATTCATATTCAGAGAATGATCGAAAGTTGCTTATTTGAAATTAATAATAGAAATTCGTTTCTAAAATTGTATTACAGTCGTTTCCAACGTACGGACTGGAGGACAGAGCGCAAATTGAACTCTGAAACGTTTGGTGTGTCGTCAACGAGGCGTGGTGGTTTTCGCGGACGCGGTTATTATAACCGTGGAATGGGGGGCATGTATCGAGGCGGTGGTGGTACCGGTTTCCGCGGTGGTTACAGAGGTTCCAAAGGTGGGAATCGTAAACCCGTGAACCAACAACAACCGGATAATCCTGGCAGTCAAAATCAATGCACGACCAACGAACAATCCACTACTCAATCGCAGCAGAATAGTCGCGTTGTATCATTTTGAACGAGCAACGTGCTACTATAAATATATATATAAGTATTTACTTTAGATTAAGATTTTTACGATACGTGCTCTGCCCTTACGGACTGATTCGAATTCGAGTTTGAAAAGGATTCAATGATTTCAAGGAAATAAAATGAAAGAACAAACAAGAAAGATAAAGAGTTCTTTGAGAGAACTTTTATCTCTAAGAGTCTTTTTGTATTGCCATGCAGGAATATCGGTAGGGTATTAATCGATGCTTTGCAAGATCTGCGTTTAGAGTTTCTCGACAAAACAAATATGAATCTTATTGTTGTAAGTAGTTAATTTTCAAAAACTCGATATTCAGAGCCGTCGTGTCCTACGAGTTAAGAGAAAAAAAAAATCGTCGAATGCTTATGAATGTAACAAGTACAATACGCGCCGGACGGTAGAATGTTTGTAAAACATACGTGATGTAACCGTTGTAAACACTTGAAATTATACTCGTACGAACGTTTAGTAACTCGACAAGCATGCAACTACGACTAAGAAGAGAACAATAAGAATCTCAAGGGAAATTTTTGTAATACGACAGGCGAGAACGCGGTATCTATAAAGATCTCGAGGAGGATGGTAATAAAAATGACCAATTAATTTTTTTGTGTTGCATGTATTGTGTATTCAGTTGAAACGAAAACACGTAAAACACTATTCTTGATTGCAGCTTTTTGCGAATAAATGGGGAATAAAAAATTATTACAGTGGAAACGAGCGGAACATGCGTACAATCGCAAAATAGTATAGGACAATATATTATGGTTAATTTCGAAAAGTCAAAACTTTATTTATTTAAGATGATGACCGATATATGCGGGTGAAGGTGAAATAATTATTTTACTCGTATATTTACCGGGGAAGTTTTGATTTTCGAACAGGAACATTAAATTGTTCCTTATGAAGAGAGAAAACGAAAAAAGGAAAAAAAAAAGAAAAAAACAAAAAAAAATGGCAGAAATTGATTTTGTATGGTTCATAGAGGTAGGCGAACGAAGCCGAATCGTACATCGATTTATTGACTATTAGTTTTTGAAATATTGAACGTGGTATGTTAGATATAAGTGAAAATGAGAGTGCGAATGCCTTCCTGTAGTTCCGACTACATTTAATAGCTTCGAGTTTCGAAGAAATCGTTTAATGTACGAGAATGCTGTGCGCAGACTGCGGATAGTGTTACGCGAGTGAGACTCTACAAGCATGATAATGTCCTTAAAAATATAAGACGCAAAAAAAAAAAAAGAAAGGCAGAATAGGTATATTATTTGCGACTGTTATTTTCTTATGGACTCGTATGGAGTCCCAAGCGTATACAGATATAAACATACATAACATGAGATTTAGTTACGTGTGAGTCGAAGGAAACCTCCATAAGCTATCAGTAAAGTTGCAACGTAAAGTTAAAAAGAATGCATATATGAATAAAGATAAGTAAAAGTAAGGAATATGGGGGTAAGACAAAACAAAAAAAAAAAAATTAACTTTTAAGTTTTATGCATTGCGTGTTTGAAGAATCCACGCTGTATGCGGTTTTCCGATAATAAATTTTTGTTTTTTACAGCGAATATTGTGAATTCCCAATGCTGAAATAATACTGAAATAATAAAAGTAACGTTTATTGTACTCTTTAAGCCCACCAATTACACAGTGAGATTTGTCCAAAAGTATTTGTCAATTATCGTTGATTTTTCGTATGAAGAACTGTTCGACATAAATACTTGTAAATTGACAGTACTAAAAAGTTTGAAATAAAAGAGACACGATCATATATAAAAATATAATTATTTTCAGTTTTAATCTTTGTGACATTGAATGTGATGGCGTTGATTTATGTACAAAGTGCGATGTCTATGCACGCGTATAAATACTTCACACCAGGCACGTCAAACACACGGTCCGGCCTGTTTTTCTGATCGGTTCGATCCGTTCGATTAATAAAAGAATTTTGCATTTGAAATAGTTTTAACTGCTGTAAAATAAATTGGCCCTCGGATCAGAATAAGTTTGACATGCCTGCTTTACGCTATATCAATTACTAAAGAATATCAAGCAGTATAGCTTAAATTTCTTTCTTCAATCTGCGCGGTTTAAGGGGGTAGCCAAGCCTCAGAACGAAACATCGACCTTTCGTTAACTTTATATACCGCAGAAACATTTGATCAATGTTTTATTAAAATTTCTCTTTTCTCTGTTCGTTGTGGTAAAAAGTAGAAGCCTATTTATTTCGAGCGAATGAAAAAACGAACATTTCATATGTTGCATGTCTGATACGTAATTTTCGAGACATCGGTGCTCGGAATAGAAAGCTTCGGATACGCAAAAATCTCCGAATTCCTTCGAAGATTTTGAGGCTTGACTATTTCCTTGTGTTTGTAACTTCCGGTCGTCCTTTGACAACTTTCCAAAGATTGCCAATTAACCCTGCAAATCCTGACGTTCAACGTGCAGCGACCTCGACGTTTCTGGCGTTCTTATAGGGCAGGGAATATCCCGATCGTAACCGAGACGTCCCGCGGTCGTTTTGTCAAGCGCAGCTCATCAGACCTGTTCGCGTGTTGTCGCAGACCTCTCTTATCGGGCGACCTCTCGTCGTCACTTTGGTCTCGACGAGCGTGAAATTGTTCTTGTAAGTGCGACGCAATGTGCGCGGATTCGGTACGTAAACTTCGTACGGACTCCGACCGTTCTCGACGACCCATATGCTACCGGATTCACCGATCCTCAGTATCGACATCAGACCTTGAGCCACTACGTAAGGCCTGCATCGAATAACAAACAAAGAAACGCGATAAAAAGCATTCCTTTTTTTTGCTGGACAACGGCCAACGATCCGCGCGAACGAGAAACACTCACGTTTGTATCGAGAATTGCTCAAGATTCTTTACGAAATCCGCCTTCATGACCCTGGAGAGTAATTTGTTCGGACTGTCCACCGTGAGCGCCGTCTCTGTCAAGCCTGGACACAGAGTTATCACGCGGATACCGGTCTTCTCGTACTGATAAGAGTCCTGATACAAATTAATTTCGTCTTTATGAGCAAATTAAACTGATTCCTCGGTACGAAATTATTCGAACAAATCTTATTATGTAACGAAACGACGTCGTCTGCCTTTGCTTCGTGGCCCTCCAAGTTTTATAACATTTATTGTACTTTTGTATTATTGTACATGGGATGGAATACACAATGATTTTATAATGAAAACTGTAACGGTGATTTCCAAAATTTTTGTGAGGCGATCGAGTTGGTCTTTCATACACTGGTAGATCAAAACAAAACTTCTCAGTATTGTCAATCAGAAAACGTCGTTTTATTAAATAATAGATCGATAAATTCAAATGTTGTGTATGTTCCAGAAATTTTTTATTTTAAGCTGGAAGTTCTAAATTAAGATCCGTATTGTATCCGTGAACTAAGGGTTAAACAAATATTGTTTGACCAGGTTGCGATACTACACGCGATACGTTTTAATCTCTTATTTTGTAGACATAGTGTACGCAGTAGCGGATCACTGCTTAGACGGTGGAGGGGTTTGTCTCGGGCTCCGTGTGTTCCAGACCAACAGAAAAGTTATGAAATTTATTTCACTTCTCGACTTTTACTCGTACGACAATCAAAAATAATTTTGACCAAGTGTTTAATTGCGTTCAATAGTGAAATAAGAACGAATAGTGTAAAACAAAATTTTAGCCTCGTGTTCCTAATTTTGAGCCTCCAAAATTGGTAATTACGAAATTCTATATTGTTTCTTGCAAAAAAAAAACATTCAGGTGTCTTGTAATAATATATAAATTAACTTACAGCGAGAGATTGGGAGAGACCGATGATGGCGTGTTTGGTCGCCGTGTAAACCGGAAGTTGGGCCGTGCTTCTGATGTCTATCTGTTGGCTCACGTTCACCAAAGTTCCGCCGTGTCCAAGATTCTCTCTGCTCATGTATTTCACGGCCAGTAACGCTGTGGAAATCATTCCTCCCTAAAATATTAACCGCAAACGTGACGTCGCTGGATCGAGAACCGACCAACAGGAAATAATTCAGTCCCCTCGTCACTTACAATATTCACTGCTATTTCTTTTTCCCATCTTCGTTCGTCCAGTATACCAGCATTGTTCACAACAATGTCGATATCGTTCATCAGTCTTACAGCTTCTGCGAAAGCCTCTGTAATTCACAAATTTATTTTTATTAAAATTTGTTATTTTCAGGTTGTTGGAATACTGAAGAGGTGGAAGGAAGGCTCTTTGAAACCTCTGTTCCACCGTTTGCGCTATCTGGCACACACGACTGGGTCACTGGAGCGGGTTCTCCGAAGCTCGATGCACGGAGAGCACCAGGAGGCGATACCAGTATATCGGTATCTACCTACCGGTTGCTCGTACGCCGTATAGCTAGAACGGGTCGTCGAAACCTCATCTCCACCGGTCGGTGTACTCTATGTGGCACACCAGGTGATTCGAGTGGGTTCTTCGATCCCTGAGAACGGCGAACCACCTCTAGGCGATACCAGTATGTCGGTATCTACCTTCCGGTGGCTCAAACCGTATAACTTGGAAGGGACTCAAGCGATCGCTACGTCAGTCAGATTGTTATGTTGTGGGAAAATCTCACGTTGCAATGACAGGGATTTTCCAATAAAATGCAAAGGGTCCGCTGTCAATCGGGCAGCCACGGTTCGGCTGTCGATCTCTTTTCAATTAAAAACGTTTCTCTCTCTCTCTCTCTCTGTCTCTCTCACAACACCAATTTCTACCTCACCAAGTTCTAGGAATCGAGAATTCCTGCGAAGTTAGTTAGCGAAAACACGTATGTAAATGGCCGCGGTTTAATTATCTGTACGCTGAAAAAATTCGGCGGCAATGCAACCTTCTCGAATAACGCGAATGCAACGTAGAAACGGGAGTCACGGCCGAGTTTCTCCGTCTCGAACAAACGTGATATTTAAACACTAGTCAGTATCTTATGATTTTTTGAACGGATCGAAAGATAGAACGAGCGGTGCACGCGATTCGGGGCAGTCGGGCTTTTTCGAATAATCAAAATATTTATGTTTTCATTAGATCAAGGTTCGAGCAGCGTATGCGCCGTTATCAATTGCGCGATTAGGACTCCGCTGACGTTTCAGGAGCCCGGTAATTGGTATCGACGACGTTATCTGGGGTTGGCGATTACATTTTATCGCGTTCTCTCCGCGCTAATTATAATCAATGACTTACCAGTCATTCGTTCGTAGTTGGACACGTCGGCGTGAATGAAATGCACCTTCTTCTCTCCGCAGGACTTCTCTATGCTCAGTTCTATCCTTTTACCAGCCTCCGCGTCGACGTCCAATATAGTTATTCTCTAAAATATAGGTAGAATCTCTTTCACCACTTTGTTTAATTACTCTTGATTATATATACTTCTAAGATTAACTCGGTTCTTAAACCCATACAAAATATTAGTGTAGTGTTTTCACGAGTAACGTATAGTTTATTCAAACACTTACGTTTGCGCCGTGCTTCAAGAAGTGATTGAGGAACGCGTGCCCCAAACCGGCAGCACCGCCAGTGATCAGAACGTTCTTACCAGAAACGACTCCGTTTATCGCTTCCATTTCCTTCGCCTTGTCGGACGAGGAGGAACTTCTGCGTGTGCTGTTACCAGTGTTTCTTTCTGTAATATGTACCCCAGAACTCGTTATTGGAACGTTAATCCTGAAGATACCAAAATAGGAATGCAAGTAAAATCTAGTCACGTTTTTAGTTGTTTCAGAACCATTAAATCTTTACCGAAGAAGAGAAAGTCCGACAAGCTTGGTTCACAACCTCGACTATAAATAAATAAACAAAGAATAGACTCCACCGCGCTTAAATTCTAATTTTTTTCATTAATTGTTTCAGGGTCGTTTTCCCTTCTTCAACACTACGAAGTGAACAAGCTTCAAGAAGAAAAGTCTACTAAATTCAAAGAAGAATAGAATCGCCAGTAAATTCCGGTAGGAAAAATCTGATTTCTCATACGGTAATCTCAATAATCACGTTAACGAAGTATGTCTAGAGATAGAAGAAGTATTTCTGTTCGCTGCATCGAGTTTACGATCAATTTCCATCCATATTTCATTATTTTCCGAATATTCTCGCACTGTATCGAGTACGATCGAACGTACCCATTTCTCTTCGGAGGAGTTTGCGACGAGCCGGAAGCACGAGTGATAGATTGGTCAGAGGCGAAGTGTCACGAGGAGGGTCAACGTGTCCCGGCGTACTGAAGCTCGTATGGTCTTCTACTTTGGTATTTATACTCTAGGAGGAGTGTCTCATCGCGACGATAACGCCAGGGCGCGTGTTTTTATCTCCAAGGAGCCTCGTGGATGGCTGACGACCGTGCAATATTATCGCTCCTCGCCGCGTCTACCACGGGATAGACGGATCTCGAACAGTCGATAGCGCTGTTAATTAACCATTCTCGTCGAAACTAATTAATTCAGCCGCGGTTCGTATCGCGTTTACCCTCGAAAGAAACCCAACGGATCGTGCAGCCCCGTGGCGGCGTCTTTTCGCGCGATAAACCGTGACCAAACAATCGTCGACAATGTTTGCCATCGATCGTTGCCTCAGTAATCGAACACTTTTAATCCTTGGCAATGGTGGCTATTCTTCTCTTGTTGGCCACGGTTTTAATCTTGTATAAAAATACTACGCAATGGTTATTTAATAACGTTCAATCCGTTGTTTCGACTATTTGTTTTTCACATGCGCGAAGAAGATCGGAGGTGATATTCTTATTGATAATTGAAGAAAGATGTTCACGAATATAAATTTGATATTTAGCGACTTGAGATCAGGTGATCTTAGTTTTTCTTATCATCCAGGTGTTGTTTCTTTTTATTAGAAGACATCATATTGTTAAATTATTTAGTAGGTACTTAACACGTTCACTGCCAGACCAAACCCTTCAAATTAAAAGGAAAATTAAATTTTGTTATTAGACAATTGGGAACTAGCATACCAAGAATTTGTCATGGAATTTATTTTCACAGACTCGTTAAAATTCAAAGGCCCTACCTAGCTTTATTTTCTTTTACATCCAATCTTGGGAATTAATTTTTTTAACTCCTTGGTGAAAAGTCGTGTCACCCATATGTGCGTGACGTGGCAGTCAATGTGTTAAACCGACAGGCTGAAAATTTTGGAAGTAAAAATAAAGATACGCCTGTCTCGATCATTTATATTTTCTGGAAAAGTACCTATCCTAGTTGTTGGTTCGATTTTATTGTATTTCATATTCCTATAGAGTTTCAACGTTCTATAATTGATTCCATGTATATGAAACTACTTCTAAAGTAATATTAATATTCAATAGGACTCGTCAGAAGTTAGCTGGCGACCCTAACTTTGGGAACCTATGACCTAGATCAGTGGTCCACGGCCCCTAATGGAGTACCATCGATCTGGATCATTTTGTACGTCTCTGTTGCTAAATTTCTACATGGATTTTCTTTTCCAGGGAAGATCGAGTCCACCTGCTCTCGATGCTTGCTTTCTAGATAGTAAATGCGTCGCAAACGGATCGTTCCACGAAACGGAAAGTGGTCAAGGTGGCTCGTAAAGGTCGTTCGACGTAACATCGTGCGATATCGACGTACGATTAGCGAAAGAGGTTACGCAACGCAGATCCTGGAAGTGCAACGACCTTGCAATAAAAAACCTATCGTCGTAGGTCAATCCTCATATCGTCCGAGATCGTGACTTCTGTAATTCCCACGCGATATTGCGTAAAAAAGAACTAGAGATCAGGGGTATTTTTATTTGACTCGTTTTCTATGAATTTTCCAACGCGTCATTTCTTCCAACATTTTCCTTATTATATTATGGATAGACTCTATCGATACCTTCGATGATGTTCTCACTAACTAAGTCCATCAAAGTCTAGCCAAATATTCACCGATGCTAAAAACGTTTACAGCTTTTTCTGTGCATTAAAGACCAATTAGATACGTTTTAGATTAACGTTGCAAACATTCTGCAACAAAGTTGCAAGCTCTCTTTTTGAACTTAATACCCTCGGTGATAAGTATCGTTAGGGGTAAACGGTTGGAACGCACCATTTTAGTTTCGATAACGAAAATAAGTACGGTGTAAGTCGAGTCTGTGTTTCTTTTTCTTTTTTGTTCTGTTATGAGGCCTCGATCGGAGACGGTTGCGAGTAAATAGCGTTGGACAAACATAATTTACCAGAGAGTCGTGTGGCGCGCACGGCTGATAAAGAGTCGACGTACGCGCAGCTCGTGCTCCGCGGTCAGTTATCGGGGGAGAAGTGCATTTAACGTCGGTCTCGACGCGCGGACCATAAATCACGGAGGAATTGTACGTCTTCGCGATATTGCGATTGATTAGAAACCAGTGGTAATCGGTTCGCGGTGAACTTTACTCCGAACAATCGACCGACGAACTGGACACGACGCGTGCGCGATTTTTTGTTTTTCTTTTTCCGTCACTCGCCGCCGAAGTATACGCAGAGGCTCACCGAACAGACGTTTGCCAAAAAAAACTTTCCTATCGACATCTCAATTTGTATTTTTTTTTCTAAATGCCCATCGACGCTCGAAATCGAAGAAAGGGTATAGCCGAATAAGGGGGTCAAATGTGCCCCCAAACCGAATGGAACGAGCCACGGGTCATTCGATAGCAAAAAAAAAATAACCCCTGTGTGCAAATTTTTAACTTGAAATCTCGACCGTGGGGGTAGTAATGGGGTGAAAACGAAAATCATGTTTTTGAATTATTTCTCTTGACCTATTGAGTAAAAAAATGTAAAAAAATTCAGAGACATTTCGGGTACCGGGGCACATACTTTGGGAGATTTTCAGATTTTTTGATTGAAGAACCAGGTAGTGAAAAATAAAAAACAGCAAAAAATGCCGAAAAATGCCGATTACGTATTGAAGGAGGCCCGGAACTACTTTTATACTTTTACAGTAAACAGGTATTACTATTACTATTACTCTTAATTTTTTTCAGATTTTTCATTTTGGTGCGCCGCAGTGAAAAAAAATAAAAACCGAGTTTTTCCTCGTTTTCTGCGTATTAGAGTAACTTACACGTTGAATTTTTATGCATCCTTCAATATATAAGTGTTTTGTAGACTGTTTAATGTTTCTACAATAAGCAGAATTACATAACAATTGAAACAAATAAAATAAAGCCAACCGTTGAGCGCAATATATCCTAGAAAATCAACGACATTTTCAACGGCGTCGATGGCGCAGCGTTAGAGTGTCCGACTACTGAACCGCTGGAAGTTTTTTTACCGTAGGTTCGAGTCTCTCTTCTGGACTTAGTATTTTTTTTTCTTCATTATTTTTTTTTCAAATTCTAACTATATAACAATGCTTTATATTTATTTATAAATGTTCTGATAGCATTTTACAAATATTTTAACCTGAAATATGTATAAATATAGTTTTGGAGTGTTTTTTACGTTTTTATTTTTTTTGTCAACCACGATTATTGTTTAACATCTCTTACACTGAAATTAATGTGAAATGTTAGTTTTCAAATCTCTTACCTTTGACTATTGTGAATGGATCGGAGCAGAAGATTGTATATTGGCTTACTATTACTTCTTCTCGCCCTTCGATCAAGCAGATCTTTCTTTCTCGTTCTCTTCCTTTGATAAATATGAATGTTTGCTGCGGCTTCAGTATCTAACGTAGACATGTAACGGTTATTATCCTTTCCTTACTGCTGGTTTTAAAGATAATGGAAACACTTGTAGGACCAACCTCTACGGACCATGCCAAGTAATTATGTATAAATCCCATCGCATACAGTAGCTTGAACTGAGTAATTAAAAAATACATTGTGAAACCCGAACGCGACAATCACCCATTGACCTGAACGGTCTGGGACCCCACCCAACGAACCTTTATTTCCTTCGTAACGCAGGTAGGACAATTAATCATTTTTCCCCGTGGTTTCCATCGAGCAATGATACTTCATTCAAAAATAAGCATGAAACGATCAAACTGGTACTTAAAAATGGGTTTATTAGAAAAAAGTATCATTGGCAGAGAGTGGGTTAATAGATTTGGCGTGGAATGGCCCTTACATGTCTACGTTAGATACTAAGGCCGCAGCAAACATTCATATTTATCAAAGAAAGAGAACGAGAAGGAAAGATCTGCTTGATCGAAGGGCGAGAAGAAGTAATAGTAAGCCAATATACAATCTTCTGCTCCGATCCATTCACAATAGTCAAAGGTAAGAGATTTGAAAACTAACATTTCACATTAATTTCAGTGTAAGAGATGTTAAACAATAATCGTGGTTGACAAAAAAAATAAAAACGCAAAAAACACTCCAAAACTATATTTATACATATTTCAGGTTAAAATATTTGTAAAATGCTATCAGAACATTTATAAATAAATATAAAGCATTGTTATATAGTTAGAATTTGAAAAAAAAAATACTAAGTCCAGAAGAGAGACTCGAACCTACGGTAAAAAAACTTCCAGCGGTTCAGCAGTCGGACACTCTAACGCTGCGCCATCGACGCTGTTGAAAATACCGTTGATTTTTTAGGATATATACACCCAATGGTTGGCATTATTTTATTTGTTTCAATTGTTATGTAATTCTGCTTAGTGTAGAAACATTAAACAGTCTACAAAACACTTATATATTGAAGGATGCATAAAAATTCAACGTGTAAGTTACTCTAATACGCAGAAAACGAGGAAAAACTCGGTTTTTATTTTTTTTCACTGCGGCGCACCAAAATGAAAAATCTGAAAAAAATTGAGAGTAATAGTAATAGTAATACCTGTTTACTGTAAAAGTATAAAAGTAGTTCCGGGCCTCCTTCAATACGTAATCGGCATTTTTCGGCATTTTTTGCTGTTTTTTATTTTTCACTACCTGGTTCTTCAATCAAAAAATCTGAAAATCTCCCAAAGTATGTGCCCCGGTACCCGAAATGTCTCTGAATTTTTTTACATTTTTTTACTCAATAGGTCAAGAGAAATAATTCAAAAACATGATTTTCGTTTTCACCCCATTACTACCCCCACGGTCGAGATTTCAAGTTAAAAATTTGCACACAGGGGTTATTTTTTTTTGCTATCGAATGACCCGTGGCTCGTTCCATTCGGTTTGGGGGCACATTTGACTCCCTTATTCGGCTATACCCTTTATCAGTCTTTATCGAGTTGCCCTGTTTAATATTTTCTCACCATTCGATAAAAAATTGTCAAAATTGATCGTAGCTCTTAGAGACAGGCGACACCCATTTCGAAAAATACAGTTGTAAAAGATATCCTATTTTTTAGAAAAGTTATCTCTACGGTTTTAGTATCGATATAAAAATGTGGAGTCTGGAAATTTACAGTAATATACTTGCCAAGATATCTTGGTGAAAAATTTCAAAGTAAAGATACAAGAGGACGTATGTACTTTAAGTTAGACGAGAAAGCAACCTGAAACGACAGAATTCGCGCATTTCATAGATAATGTTTTTTTCCCCCAGAGTGGCATTCTTAATTCTCGTCGACGTTTCCATAGAATGCTGAATAGCGTGCTTGACGGGTTATCGCTTATTCGACCCGGTTGTACAGTTTTGTGCACATAGCAAAACGATTCGCCAACAATGCGATTCTTTACTGTCGCGTGCAACTATGTAAACGCGTTGCAGTGAAAATCTACGGATTACCATTATCAGTGGAGCCATTTTTGATAAAATGGAACTCAGGGAACAGGTTCTACCATCTTGACGCTGCTGTTAAAAAGTATATGGAAAAGGAATTGCAACTTTTTTATTCTGTTATTATAATACAGATTGGAATTATAATTGGCTTTAATCATTTAATAGCCTCGATAACTACAGATTACTTAATGAATCGTACACTATTTCTTCTCAGCTGTACAATATGAAATCTCCAATTAAAAAGTTAGCAACTTCTTACTCTTTTACAAAGATTAAACTTTTCTCCCTACGATGCTGTTATAGACTCTATAAAGAAGCTTCACAGATGTTCGTTATTGATAATTTTAGCTTAGACTCTGTTAAATAGTCGTCGAGATACGTAAGAAATTAAACAAATCTCGCGTCTTTTCACCATCGCATTTTTACTCATTAAAATGCCCGATAAAAGATAGGAACCAAAGTTCAAGCGGTCCAAGTTTTTTCGTTTAATCGAATCTCTAGTGGTCTCTGATATCGCGCCGTTATGGATGTGGGGTCCAATGAGAATTTCGTAGCTTCGTGAGGACTTTGCTTCGAGGGGTTTCCAAAATCTCCGATGGGGGGCCCGATTATAAAATTTCGACAGTCTGTCGCCGACTTTGAAATCTTTTCGTGGTTCCATGATGTGTTATATTAAATCCGTTCTTTTTCATCCACAGAACGCGTTGTCTCGATAGTAATGTCGTTATCCAATCGATTAACAAATTGTTTATCAACGCAACTTTTATTAGCTCCGTAAGAAATGTATTTCGTATTACAATTCTATTACGAATATCAGAAATTATTATAATAATAATAATACTAAGATTGTATTTACAGAATCCCCTAATTCTATGTTAATTCTCGAGATCGTCGGATTTTTGCGGCAGACTGTCGCACATCTGGATCTCGTAAACGGGCTTCCCGTCCTCGCTGATCCAGACGCTTCCATTTTGCGCGCACCTGATCACGTAAACGAGCCCGTGAGCGATGCTGTCCACCCTGAGAAAACAAAACACCGTAAGAACAATAATATCCAGAGTCCATTACGAGTCACGATACAAAGTAAACAAATTCGTTTCAGCTGGAACTTGAAATCATTCGAGACTCACTTCTGCGGTTGGTATTTATTTATCGGTTCTCCCTCCGGAAGATCGTTCGAAAGTGGCTGGAATTCGGGGCACAGGACTATTATCCTGACGCCTGTCCTCCGATAGTGATAGGGTTGCTGAAATTAACAGACGAAATAGGTATTCCAAGTATAATAGAAAATTTTTAGAAGATTTTTAAGTGCATACTTTATTGGAAAAAGAGAAAAAATATGTGCATTCGTACAGTACTACCCATGTCAGTTGATTTTAAGTTAAAGTTGAAACTTACAGCAAACGAACGGCTGAAGCTAACCACTGCGTGTTTCGTGGCCGAATACACCGGAAGTTGCGATAACGAGCAGAGACCAGCCACAGACGAAACGTTCACGATAACGCCACCCTTGCCTCCGGCGTCCTTTTGCATCTGTTGTATTCCTAGAAGCGTCCCGCGTATCACGGCGGTCTGGGTAAATCAACCTCGATTAACGCATTCTAACGTCGTGTCGCGGCAATTTCGATTTAAACATACTATCTTCGTAACATTGTTGCTTACCACGTTCACGTCGATGGCTTTTGCGAAGTCGCTTTCATTAATCACGCCGGCATTGTTTACCAGAATTTGCAGACCGCCCAGCGTGCTCACAGCTTTCTTGAAGGTCTCTGTCACAGTAACAGATAAACGAATTCAATCGCAATTGTTCTTCTCAGAAATTACATAAACGTTCGCGAGATAAATATTTATAGTTCTCCAAATGCTTCCGTGGAACATGGTTTCGAAATATTCTCCGTTCTTTTAATTTAACGCAATGATACTTGGTCTCTCGACCAAAGCAAAAATCTGTGAACCGAATATCACTGGCCACGGACGATTCCTTTATTGTTTGACAAACGTCGACCTTTGTTTCATCTTAATTAACGACGCTTGTTTTGACTAACTATAAAGTTCGATAGCCAGTATCCGCGAAGATATAAAAATCATATTCGGATGATACCGCAGCGTCTGTCGCGGAGGATCGTTCGTTTTGTAATGAAATTTTAGTTTGTTTATAATTACCGTCGAATTCGGAATTGTTGGCGACGTCGCAACGAAAGAACACAGCTCGATTGCGACCGAATTCCGCGTTCAGCGTGTTCATCGCTTGCATCCCATGGGTCTCGCGAATGTCTATCATGGCGACCATCTGAAACCCCATTCTTACGATCGTAAATCGTACAAATAAAATTCCATTCTATATTATCTACTAAAAATTTTGTAAAACGTAGGAAAGTATCGTGACGTATTTGTCCCCGTTATTTTTAATCGTGCCCCTCTCCTCGCTAAATTTTTAGATACGACGTTGATGGCTTCGGTGCATTCATAGTAACGCGATCATGTTTTTCTGACGTCAGTATACGTTCTTAAAAACGTGTCTCCGATGCATTCACATGAATTTTATCTCGTTTAGATAAGTCGCCCCGACCATTAACACAACTTACAGCGACGCCATTTCGCAGCAGCTCTCTGCTAATGGTCAGACCCAAGCCACTCGCAGCTCCTGTCACGATCGCTCTTTTATCCTTGATCTGCATGATTTCGATTCGACCGTCTCCTTCTCCCCCTCAAAGAACGATTGGGCACTCCTCGAGGATTCTCGAAACACTCCTCTGTTCCCAAAAATAGAGAAACGTCGTGGGTACGAACAGAAAGAGACCATTTTAAAAGCTATTGAAATTATTTTAGATTCGTTCTTAAAGATCACACTCACTCGACGCTCTAATACCCTTTTAAGCGGCTCCAAAAAGAATATTGTGACGAAAGATGATTCACGGATGCTTGTTCACCTTTTCAAGGAAGAAGATTATAGTTTCGGAACCGAATTACCCTCGTAACGTTTGTGGAGCAGCTTGGAGGGACATTCACTGCTGGTCGTCGGTTCGACGCGTTCATTTACAAGAAGATGGCCACCTCGAGCGAATTAGGGTGAGAGGTTTAGTCGACGGGAAGCGAGAACCGAACGACAAGACAAGCAACGTCTCGGTTGTCACTGGTGGCCGTTCGTTTCTCGATGCTCTTCTTCGAGTTGATATGGAAGAAACCTCCCGGCTCGCGTATCGCGATCTTCGACCTCCAGCGCCATGACGTTTCGAATTCGCGGACGCTCGAGTCTCTTTCTATCGGCGTTGCAACACAATTCGCCCCTTGATCTCTCGCCGGCTTCCGGAAGCCTCGATATTCCCGCCAAAAAACAAACGCGTCGAACGGTTGATCCGAACGAAAACCGATTTTCTCACTATGGAAATCGATATGATTCTTGAACAGAATTGTGAAAACAATATGGAAACAAAGCCACATTGTATATTGGATTAGAGTTTCGTAGATGTATTTTCATCTTTCATTATCATCGTTTGCTAGTGTGGAAGTTTTTGGAATAGTTTTACAGTTAGCATGAAAATATTTTCATGATGCGTTCATCATAAGGAAATTTACGTCTTAGACAGTGAAAACTTCTTCATAAATAAAATCAATATTTATCGTGTGGCAATAACACCATTTTCCGCAGAAGGAAAGATTAGATTCAGTATAATAGCACTGCGACGCAAATTTACCAAGAACCGATGTGTTTAAGAATAGTTTTGTTTACCTAATACTTATAATCACGGTTATCAGTGCTATACGATTTAGTACAATAAATAGAGTTTTGAGATGAAGATTGAACTCTCGTATACGCTTACAGAGAATATGAAATACCTTATAAATTATCAAATTTTAAATTTGCATTTAAAAAAATTCCATTTAAAGAACCTGAACTTTAGGAGATTGTTCGAGGATGCTGATTAAAAAAATTATAAATCCGATGGAATATATCGAGACTTATTTTCTATTACAGTAGGAATTAAAATGAATCGAGAGACGGTGTTGTAGACAGTAAATTTAATTTCTATTGCAATATATTTACTACGAAAACAGTTCAGTCGTTTCATACTCTCTTTCGACTTCCTTACAAAACAGAGAACGAACTCCACGCAATGGCGATATTTAAAAATCATTTCATCAGAGATATTATTCGTTAAATAACATTCTGAGCTTCCAAACGGACATTCAATTTATAATAAAAATTGGTTCGTAAGTACGGATCGTTACAATTACAATTTCGTTCGTCTCTTTGTTCCACAAACATTTTCTAAACTTTGATCGAAATGAGACAGTGGACAAATGTAAAAGTTGCAAAATTAAGTGAAGAAAGTTTCGATGCGAGTCCAAATTAAAAGTTACTCTCTAAAATTTCCATAGTTTTTTACAAGAACAATTTTGCTCATTCGATCGTTTTGCGTATATTTTTGCAGATGCGTTGGAGAATTCGTCTTCATAGCTTGAGATTCACTTTTTTGAAAGGCGGGAACTCGACGGCGTATGGTTGTTCTCCAGCCTCGCTGACCCAAACAGCCCCGTTTCCTCCTTTCTGGATCAGACCCACCATGGCGGTTCCCACGTTTTCGACCCTGGACGGATAAAAAGTAAGGAAACAGTGCACGATCCATCGTCAAGTTACTAAAATTCTATTTCAGACAAACTCACGTCTGCGATGGCAGGTTCTTCATGGTCGTTCGAAGCTCCTCTAGGTCGATAAAGTCGGGAGTCGCTGCCTCCATTTCGTCGAACAGTGATGTTGTTGTGACTCCGGGACACATGACGAGAACTTGGACTCCAGTCTTCTCATAGCTTGACTGGAATGATAATTACAAACACGAGGATTAGTGAAAAATTACATTCGACACTGTTCAAACTTTCAATCGTATATAATTGTTTTGTAAATTCACCTGCAAACCGCGACTGTACGCGAGCACATCGTGTTTGCTGGAGCAATACGCTGGAAACACTGGGTAGATCTTGAGACTCACAATGGACGCGATATTAACCAAGATACCTCCCTTGCGGCCCTTGTGTTTGCCCATGGCGTCCATAGCGAGCAAAGAACCGTGGATCACGCCACCCTGAAATTTTAATTATCGCATGTTACGCGACTGAAGCAATAACTAGTAACCAGCAAAAAAAAGAACACGTTTCCAAGCGAATGTTATTATTAAATTACTGCAGAACGTTATAGTATTTCAGAGTTAGTCAACTAGAAAAATCATCCACTTCGTTTCTTAATTATGAATCGTTTCTAATCAGTCTGGATATTGTAATTTTAAAAGATTCGAGCTTATTCAAATGTATTTGATTGCATTGTACTTACAACATTCAGACGGATCATCTGTTCCCATTTTTTCTCGTTGAGCATACCAGCATTGTTGATGACAATGTCCACGCCATTGAGAGCGCTTACAGCTTTCTTGAAGGTGTCTGGGAAAAGAAAGCGATAAAATGAAATTCGTTTCTCAACACTTTCCTAGACTCTGAATATAATAAGAACACTAAAAACAAGTGGGAATCGTTCACGTTTGATATTAGATTTTAACTAAATAGTAGATCTCGTTTGTTCGAACAGTTTATAAACCTTCGAATTGTTGGGTGTTGGTGACGTCGCAAGGGTGGAACGTAGCTTTGCCTTTTCCAAATTGCTTTTCCAAATTGGCTGCCGACGCGGCGCCGGGCGAGGTGCTCAAATCCAAAATGGCGACAGTCTAAAAACCATAATAGTATTTCAGCGACACTTTCGAAATTTATAAACGAAAAATTCATCCGGCGTTAATAAAAAAAATTCACTTTCGCTCCATTTTCCAGCATTCGTTGCGCGTACGTGTATCCAAGTCCACTGGCAGCACCCGTGATCAAAACGTTCTTGTTCTTAATGTTGTCCATGGTCTGCGAATAAACTCGTAATATATTTTAACTTTAAAATTCTTAAAACTCAGTCGAAGTCTTCGAAATTTTTAGATTCTTGATCGATTTAAAGGAAAGAAGAATGTTCGATGTCGATACGCGAAACTGAAAGAAATTAGCGTTCGTTTCGACTCACCGAGCTGGTAGTAGCCGTTTCGTTACCAAACGAAGAATGGAAAGCTTGCAGCGGCTAGCCAAATTAAATAGAAAACACGAGTGTTGCTTGTTGATATGTTGCTGTTTATCGTACGCGACTGCGTTAAAACGCCCCCCTTTCTTTTTTCGTGATAATAACAAAAATAGTATATCTCGATAAGACAAGTTACACAACGAAACATTAAAACACACAAAATATTTATCGTTTAATTTATTTATTCGCGTCTCGTTATCGTGAATATTTTGAGTTACGCGTTTCGTACAAGATTGTTCAAATATTGATTAAGACGGTACTTAGAATTCGTTGTTAATCCGTTAGTATCATCAACAGCTGGAAATTTTATCACGTATATTACGAGGACAGGTATCTCAAATTCGATGGTAAACTTTCGGTGTTTGTAATTTATTTAAATGGAACAATATTCTAATATAAATTAATGTAAAAATACAAATGGTTCTCCATCGATTAACGTGCATAATTTTGTTCGTTTAACGTCCTCAGTGATTCACCTTCTTGACTGGCGGGAATTCGACATCGTACGGCGGTTCTCCGCCTTCACTGACCCAGACAGCTCCGTTCTGACCATTCTGGACGAGACTGACCAAAGCATTCGCCACGTTTTCGGCCCTGACGAAACAAGAATAGGAATATAAATTTCGAAGAAAAAGAATCGTTCGTTATCGATGCAAGAAATTAATTTTTACTCACGACTGCAACGGATGGTCGCTGACCAATTTCTGAACGTCCGTGTTACTGACGAAATCGAGCATCTTCGTCTGGTAGGTAGCCAGCAACGTAGTATTCGTGAAGCCAGGGCACAACACCAAAACTCGAACGCCAGTCTTATGGTGGTGCTCCTGAAAGAACGAATTACGAAAAATTTATATCGAGAGTGCATATGTTATTAAGAATTTAATAATCAGTCTTTATCGAGTTGCCCTGTTTAATATTTTCTCACCATTCGATAAAAAATTGTCAAAATTGATCGTAGCTCTTAGAGACAGGCGACACCCATTTCGAAAAATACAGTTGTAAAAGATATCCTATTTTTTAGAAAAGTTATCTCTACGGTTTTAGTATCGATATAAAAATGTGGAGTCTGGAAATTTACAGTAATATACTTGCCAAGATATCTTGGTGAAAAATTTCAAAGTAAAGATACAAGAGGACGTATGTACTTTAAGTTAGACGAGAAAGCAACCTGAAACGACAGAATTCGCGCATTTCATAGATAATGTTTTTTTCCCCCAGAGTGGCATTCTTAATTCTCGTCGACGTTTCCATAGAATGCTGAATAGCGTGCTTGACGGGTTATCGCTTATTCGACCCGGTTGTACAGTTTTGTGCACATAGCAAAACGATTCGCCAACAATGCGATTCTTTACTGTCGCGTGCAACTATGTAAACGCGTTGCAGTGAAAATCTACGGATTACCATTATTAGTGGAGCCATTTTTGATAAAATGGAACTCAGGGAACAGGTTCTACCATCTTGACGCTGCTGTTAAAAAGTATATGGAAAAGGAATTGCAACTTTTTTATTCTGTTATTATAATACAGATTGGAATTATAATTGGCTTTAATCATTTAATAGCCTCGATAACTACAGATTACTTAATGAATCGTACACTATTTCTTCTCAGCTGTACAATATGAAATCTCCAATTAAAAAGTTAGCAACTTCTTACTCTCTTACAAAGATTAATCTTTTCTCCCTACGATGCTGTTATAGACTCTATAAAGAAGCTTCACAGATGTTCGTTATTGATAATTTTAGCTTAGACTCTGTTAAATAGTCGTCGAGATACGTAAGAAATTAAACAAATCTCGCGTCTTTTCACCATCGCATTTTTACTCATTAAAATGCCCGATAAAAGATAGGAACCAAAGTTCAAGCGGTCCAAGTTTTTTCGTTTAATCGAATCTCTAGTTGTTCGGTAAACGAAAGCTCGCTCATTCCGCTGGCCAACTCGAGTTGTTTCCGGTCCTTTATGTTGCCAGATGCGGGATCGGTACTACGTTGCAAACGTCTTCGAGTCTCTCGCATCTGGCAAATGTCAATGTAAAAGAATAGCATTTTTGGAAAACGAAAGAAACGCGACACTCGAGTTGACCAGCGAAGGGCTATATTGTTCCGCGGGTGGTACGGTCGTCGAGGCCAAATGTAGGCACCGACGACAACGGCCATCGCCGACACGCGGAACAATATAGCCATAAAAACAGACGTAGACCAGACGCAACCCCTTGTTGCGTGGATAATCCGGAGTTCCGTTTCTTCCTCGATAAATTAACGCGGCCGTCGACTTGGGGAGGAAACCTCGGCCACCCTCGCCAGCGTGGCCTGGGACTTTCCTCCACCACCGAGGTGAAGGAGGAGCTTGCTGCCAAACTGGGGCAGGAAAATGGGTCCTCCTCTCCCAAGTCGATGGCCAATCAATCGACTCACGATTCCACAGAGGAATTTGCAAAACACCCCCAAGTTTACCTCTTGGAGGGGATCTAAGCTGAGGAGGAAACGGACTCCGGACACATTTGGCAATTCTAGTTTCAGTCGTCAACCGACAAACCAGTTTCGATTCTAGTTTCAGTCGTCAACCGACAAACCAGTTTCGATTCTAGTTTCAGTCGTCAACCGACAAACCAGTTTCAATTCTCGGTTCAGTCGTTAACCGACTAAGTCTAACAAGTCTAACTAACAAGTCTGTAACAGTACAGCAGTTTTACTTGAGTTGAACGCATTTTGATAAAGTAAGCGCGGGGGAAACAGTTCCTCCCACAGTTCAACGCGCTTGAAAACATTCATACAGTCCACTTTGTTATTATTAAAAATAAACCATTTGAAAACTCTCCAACACGACGACATCGCATCACTCCAATCCGACCTACAACATTTCGGGCGCGAACACTAGTGGTCTCTGATATCGCGCCGTTATGGATGTGGGGTCCAATGAGAATTTCGTAGCTTCGTGAGGACTTTGCTTCGAGGGGTTTCCAAAATCTCCGATGGGGGGCCCGATTATAAAATTTCGACAGTCTGTCGCCGACTTTGAAATCTTTTCGTGGTTCCATGATGTGTTATATTAAATCCGTTCTTTTTCATCCACAGAACGCGTTGTCTCGATAGTAATGTCGTTATCCAATCGATTAACAAATTGTTTATCAACGCAACTTTTATTAGCTCCGTAAGAAATGTATTTCGTATTACAATTCTATTACGAATATCAGAAATTATTATAATAATAATAATACTAAGATTGTATTTACAGAATCCCCTAATTCTATGTTAATTCTCGAGATCGTCGGATTTTTGCGGCAGACTGTCGCACATCTGGATCTCGTAAACGGGCTTCCCGTCCTCGCTGATCCAGACGCTTCCATTTTGCGCGCACCTGATCACGTAAACGAGCCCGTGAGCGATGCTGTCCACCCTGAGAAAACAAAACACCGTAAGAACAATAATATCCAGAGTCCATTACGAGTCACGATACAAAGTAAACAAATTCGTTTCAGCTGGAACTTGAAATCATTCGAGACTCACTTCTGCGGTTGGTATTTATTTATCGGTTCTCTCTCCGGAAGATCGTTCGAAAGTGGCTGGAATTCGGGGCACAGGACTATTATCCTGACGCCTGTCCTCCGATAGTGATAGGGTTGCTGAAATTAACAGACGAAATAGGTATTCCAAGTATAATAGAAAATTTTTAGAAGATTTTTAAGTGCATACTTTATTGGAAAAAGAGAAAAAATATGTGCATTCGTACAGTACTACCCATGTCAGTTGATTTTAAGTTAAAGTTGAAACTTACAGCAAACGAACGGCTGAAGCTAACCACTGCGTGTTTCGTGGCCGAATACACCGGAAGTTGCGATAACGAGCAGAGACCAGCCACAGACGAAACGTTCACGATAACGCCACCCTTGCCTCCGGCGTCCTTTTGCATCTGTTGTATTCCTAGAAGCGTCCCGCGTATCACGGCGGTCTGGGTAAATCAACCTCGATTAACGCATTCTAACGTCGTGTCGCGGCAATTTCGATTTAAACATACTATCTTCGTAACATTGTTGCTTACCACGTTCACGTCGATGGCTTTTGCGAAGTCGCTTTCATTAATCACGCCGGCATTGTTTACCAGAATTTGCAGACCGCCCAGCGTGCTCACAGCTTTCTTGAAGGTCTCTGTCACAGTAACAGATAAACGAATTCAATCGCAATTGTTCTTCTCAGAAATTACATAAACGTTCGCGAGATAAATATTTATAGTTCTCCAAATGCTTCCGTGGAACATGGTTTCGAAATATTCTCCGTTCTTTTAATTTAACGCAATGATACTTGGTCTCTCGACCAAAGCAAAAATCTGTGAACCGAATATCACTGGCCACGGACGATTCCTTTATTGTTTGACAAACGTCGACCTTTGTTTCATCTTAATTAACGACGCTTGTTTTGACTAACTATAAAGTTCGATAGCCAGTATCCGCGAAGATATAAAAATCATATTCGGATGATACCGCAGCGTCTGTCGCGGAGGATCGTTCGTTTTGTAATGAAATTTTAGTTTGTTTATAATTACCGTCGAATTCGGAATTGTTGGCGACGTCGCAACGAAAGAACACAGCTCGATTGCGACCGAATTCCGCGTTCAGCGTGTTCATCGCTTGCATCCCATGGGTCTCGCGAATGTCTATCATGGCGACCATCTGAAACCCCATTCTTACGATCGTAAATCGTACAAATAAAATTCCATTCTATATTATCTACTAAAAATTTTGTAAAACGTAGGAAAGTATCGTGACGTATTTGTCCCCGTTATTTTTAATCGTGCCCCTCTCCTCGTTAAATTTTTAGATACGACGTTGATGGCTTCGGTGCATTCATAGTAACGCGATCATGTTTTTCTGACGTCAGTATACGTTCTTAAAAACGTGTCTCCGATGCATTCACATGAATTTTATCTCGTTCAGATAAGTCGCGGATCCCCCCCCCGTGACCATTAACACAACTTACAGCGACGCCATTTCGCAGCAGCTCTCTGCTAATGGTCAGACCCAAGCCACTCGCAGCTCCTGTCACGATCGCTCTTTTATCCTTGATCTGCATGATTTCGATTCGACCGTATCCTTTTCCCCCTCAAAGAACGATTGGACACTCCTCGAGGACTCTCGAAACACTCCTCTGTTCCCAAAAATAGAGAAACGTCGTGGGTACGAACAGAAAGAGACCATTTTGAAAGCTATTGAAATTATTTTAGATTCGTTTTTAAAGATCACACTCACTCGACGCTCTAATACCCTTTTAAGCGGCTCCAAAAAGAATATTGTGACGAAAGATGATTCACGGATGCTTGTTCACCTTTTCAAGGAAGAAGATTATAGTTTCGGAACCGAATTACCCTCGTAACGTTTGTGGAGCAGCTTGGAGGGACATTCACTGCTGGTCGTCGGTTCGACGCGTTCATTTACAAGAAGATGGCCACCTCGAGCGAATTAGGGTGAGAGGTTTAGTCGACGGGAAGCGAGAACCGAACGACAAGACAAGCAACGTCTCGGTTGTCACTGGTGGCCGTTCGTTTCTCGATGCTCTTCTTCGAGTTGATATGGAAGAAACCTCCCGGCTCGCGTATCGCGATCTTCGACCTCCAGCGCCATGACGTTTCGAATTCGCGGACGCTCGAGTCTCTTTCTATCGGCGTTGCAACACAATTCGCCCCTTGATCTCTCGCCGGCTTCCGGAAGCCTCGATATTCCCGCCAAAAAACAAACGCGTCGAACGGTTGATCCGAACGAAAACCGATTTTCTCACTATGGAAATCGATATGATTCTTGAACAGAATTGTGAAAACAATATGGAAACAAAGCCACATTGTATATTGGATTAGAGTTTCGTAGATGTATTTTCATCTTTCATTATCATCGTTTGCTAGTGTGAAAGTTTTTGGAATAGTTTTACAGTTAGCATGAAAATATTTTCATGATGCGTTCATCATAAGGAAATTTACGTCTTAGACAGTGAAAACTTCTTTATAAATAAAATCAATATTTATCGTGTTGCGATAACACCATTTTCCGCAGAAGGAAAGATTAGATTCGGTATAATAGCACTGCGACGCAAATTTACCAAGAACCGATGTGTTTAAGAATAGTTTTGTTTACCTAATACTTATAATCACGGTTATCAGTGCTATGCGATCTAGTACAATAAATAGAGTTTTGAGATGAAGATTGAACTCTCGTATACGCATACAGAGAATATGAAATACCTTATAAATTATCAAATTTTAAATTTGCATTTAAAAAAATTCCATTTAAAGAACCTGAACTTTAGGAGATTGTTCGAGGATGCTGATTAAAAAAATTATAAATCCGGTGGAATATATCGAGACTTATTTTCTATTACAGTAGGAATTAAAATGAATCGAGAGACGTTGTTGTAGACAGTAAATTTAATTTCTATTGCAATATATTTACTACGAAAACAGTTCAGTCGTTTCATACTCTCTTTCGACTTCCTTACAAAACAGAGAACGAACTCCACGCAATGGCGATATTTAAAAATCATTTCATCAGAGATATTATTCGTTAAATAACATTCTGAGCTTCCAAACGGACATTCAATTTTTAATAAAAATTGGTTCGTAAGTACGGATCGTTACAATTACAATTTCGTTCGTCTCTTTGTTCCACAAACATTTTCTAGATTTTAATCGAAATGAGACAGTGGACAAATGTAAAAGTTGCAAAATTAAGTGAAAAAAGTTTCGATGCGAGTCCAAAGTAAAAGTTACTCTCTAAAATTTCCATAGTTTTTTACAAGAACAATTTTGCTCATTCGATCGTTTTGCGTATATTTTTGCAGATGCGTTGGAGAATTCGTCTTCATAGCTTGAGATTCACTTTTTTGAAAGGCGGGAACTCGACGGCGTATGGTTGTTCTCCAGCCTCGCTGACCCAAACAGCCCCGTTTCCTCCTTTCTGGATCAGACCCACCATGGCGGTTCCCACGTTTTCGACCCTGGACGGATAAAAAGTAAGGAAACAGTGCACGATCCATCGTCAAGTTACTAAAATTCTGTTTCAGACAAACTCACGTCTGCGATGGCAGGTTCTTCATGGTCGTTCGAAGCTCCTCTAGGTCGATAAAGTCGGGAGTCGCTGCCTCCATTTCGTCGAACAGTGATGTTGTTGTGACTCCGGGACACATGACGAGAACTTGGACTCCAGTCTTCTCATAGCTTGACTGGAATGATAATTACAAACACGAGGATTAGTGAAAAATTACATTCGACACTGTTCAAACTTTCAATCGTATATAATTGTTTTGTAAATTCACCTGCAAACCGCGACTGTACGCGAGCACATCGTGTTTGCTGGAGCAATACGCTGGAAACACTGGGTAGATCTTGAGACTCACAATGGACGCGATATTAACCAAGATACCTCCCTTGCCGCCCTTGTGTTTGCCCATGGCGTCCATAGCGAGCAAAGAACCGTGGATCACGCCACCCTGAAATTTTAATTTTCGCATGTTACGCGACTGAAGCAATAACTAGTAACCAGCAAAAAAAAGAACACGTTTCCAAGCGAATGTTATTATTAAATTACTGCAGAACGTTATAGTATTTCAGAGTTAGTCAACTAGAAAAATCATCCACTTCGTTTCTTAATTATGAATCGTTTCTAATCAGTCTGGATATTGTAATTTTAAAAGATTCGAGCTTATTCAAATGTATTTGATTGCATTGTACTTACAACATTCAGACGGATCATCTGTTCCCATTTTTTCTCGTTGAGCATACCAGCATTGTTGATGACAATGTCCACGCCATTGAGAGCGCTTACAGCTTTCTTGAAGGTGTCTGGGAAAAGAAAGCGATAAAATGAAATTCGTTTCTCAACACTTTCCTAGACTCTGAATATAATAAGAACACTAAAAACAAGTGGGAATCGTTCACGTTTGATATTAGATTTTAACTAAATAGTAGATCTCGTTTGTTCGAACAGTTTATAAACCTTCGAATTGTTGGGTGTTGGTGACGTCGCAAGGGTGGAACGTAGCTTTGCCTTTTCCAAATTGCTTTTCCAAATTGGCTGCCGACGCGGCGCCGGGCGAGGTGCTCAAATCCAAAATGGCGACAGTCTAAAAACCATAATAGTATTTCAGCGACACTTTCGAAATTTATAAACGAAAAATTCATCCGGCGTTAATAAAAAAATTCACTTTCGCTCCATTTTCCAGCATTCGTTGCGCGTACGTGTATCCAAGTCCACTGGCAGCACCCGTGATCAAAACGTTCTTGTTCTTAATGTTGTCCATGGTCTGCGAATAAACTCGTAATATATTTTAACTTTAAAATTCTTAAAACTCAGTCGAAGTCTTCGAAATTTTTAGATTCTTGATCGATTTAAAGGAAAGAAGAATGTTCGATGTCGATACGCGAAACTGAAAGAAATTAGCGTTCGTTTCGACTCACCGAGCTGGTAGTAGCCGTTTCGTTACCAAACGAAGAATGGAAAGCTTGCAGCGGCTAGCCAAATTAAATAGAAAACACGAGTGTTGCTTGTTGATATGTTGCTGTTTATCGTACGCGACTGCGTTAAAACGCCCCCCCTTTCTTTTTTCGTGATAATAACAAAAATAGTATATCTCGATAAGACAAGTTACACAACGAAACATTAAAACACACAAAATATTTATCGTTTAATTTATTTATTCGCGTCTCGTTATCGTGAATATTTTGAGTTACGCGTTTCGTACAAGATTGTTCAAATATTGATTAAGACGGTACTTAGAATTCGTTGTTAATCCGTTAGTATCATCAACAGCTGGAAATTTTATCACGTATATTACGAGGACAGGTATCTCAAATTCGATGGTAAACTTTCGGTGTTTGTAATTTATTTAAATGGAACAATATTCTAATATAAATTAATGTAAAAATACAAATGGTTCTCCATCGATTAACGTGCATAATTTTGTTCGTTTAACGTCCTCAGTGATTCACCTTCTTGACTGGCGGGAATTCGACATCGTACGGCGGTTCTCCGCCTTCACTGACCCAGACAGCTCCGTTCTGACCATTCTGGACGAGACTGACCAAAGCATTCGCCACGTTTTCGGCCCTGACGAAACAAGAATAGGAATATAAATTTCGAAGAAAAAGAATCGTTCGTTATCGATGCAAGAAATTAATTTTTACTCACGACTGCAACGGATGGTCGCTGACCAATTTCTGAACGTCCGTGTTACTGACGAAATCGAGCATCTTCGTCTGGTAGGTAGCCAGCAACGTAGTATTCGTGAAGCCAGGGCACAACACCAAAACTCGAACGCCAGTCTTATGGTGGTGCTCCTGAAAGAACGAATTACGAAAAATTTATATCGAGAGTGCATATGTTATTAAGAATTTAATAAAATTTACCTGCAAAGAACGACTGAACGCGACCACGGCGTGCTTGCTTGCGCAATATACTGGGCATCCTGGGAAGATCGACAGGCCAATGATCGATGCAACGTTCACTATGACTCCTCCTTTGCCACCCTTGTGTTTACCCATGTGATTCACGGCGAGAAGCGAGCCTTGAACGACGCCACTCTGAAATTAAGATCGTTTTGAATTATTCAGAAAGAAATCAACAGTCTCATTCGTAAAAATGATCCCTCGTAAACGCCACTACCTCGTTAAAACGCGACGATCTTTTACGTTTTATCGAGGCGTTATTGGTAACACTAAAAAAAAGTACTTACGATGTTTAGATCGATCGTCTGTTCCCAGGCTTGGTCATTAAATATTCCAGCGTTGTTAATAACAATGTCCACACCCTGGAAAGCTTTCACGACCTCCTTGAAAGTCTCTGCGAAAAGGAGGCGATAAAATAAAATCGCGAAACGGTGAAAAGGGATGCAAGGTGAGAAACTATACCTTCGAATTGTTTGGTGTTGGTCACATCGCACGGGAAAAACGTTGCTTTTCCTGCCCCGAACTCCTTTTCCAAATTGCTCGCGGATTTCAGGCCAGACGAGGTGCTCAAATCGACAACCGCGACAGCCTAAAAATTTCGACGCGGCCATTTGAGTTTGACAAAATTATACGCGAGAAATCCATTGAACTTTTCACTAGAAACTTTTCAATATTTACCCTAGCTCCATTTTGCAACAGTTTCTGCGCGATCGAGTATCCTATCCCAATGGCGGCGCCGGTGATCAAAACAGTCTTGCCCTTAACGTTCTCCATATTCTGACGAATTAATGATCGTGTTTCTGACTGATCGCGTTTAGACACGTTGTCGAAGAACGTAGCGTCGTTTCTGTTGTCGTGAAAATTAGGCTGAATATTTATATCCGCAGGTCTTCGGTCTGTAGGACGAATGTTGAATGAAGTAACATGTTACAAAAACGATAATATATCTTGATACATTTCTATTTTCGTCAAGTAAACAACGACGAAACGAGTAGAGACAGTCTACGATGAACCTCGTTAAAAGTAGTTACACAACGAAATTATACGATTAGAAAACCCACTTATCTTCCTTATTTCTCACTTTGGTGTAACTTGCTCGAAAAAAAGATTTGAGAGTTACTTGCACATTTTATATACGGGAACCTTTTAAAACTAACAATAATATCTATTTGCAATCGCTATTGAATAAACGTGCGTTAAGAAATACAAGAAATCATAAAATCCATATATTTCTATATATAACGTTGCAGATATCTTTTATTAATATTCAAGAGTTGCATATTATCGTAAAAGAACGTATCCCTTGGTCGCTTATCTTTCGTGCAGACAAGAGGAAGAGAGTAAAAACAAATATTAATTGATAATTAAGGGTTTTTCCATAGCGATCGAAGCATTCGTTCGATCTTCTTCTTTAGATACAGTATCTTTGCGCAAGACGAATATGAATGGCTTCGACCATTACCCAGGTCATCGTCGAATACATGAAAAGCTGACGATAAGATTGCGTTACGCCCAGAAAAAAACGAAACATTGGTACGAGTGTAAATCAGTTAGTCGACGATGCGAATAAAAAGAATCGAGAAAACAAAATCCACGAATGACATAATTTCGATTACGTATTATTGTGTCGATGAACGGAGCGGAAAAATCACGCAACGAATGTGTTAAAAACTAGGTCGTAAATTGTGACTCATGATGAAAAATACAGAAGAGGAATTGAAGACGATCGTTACAACTTACGATACAATTGCTTTTATTTTATTTCGTTCGTAATACAGTATGGATTTTAATATCGTATGTGGAGTGTATCGGTAATTAAATAAAGTAAGCAGTTGTCTTCATAAATGGAGGTCCACGGTACTGATAGGGGGGAAGTCGATGCCATAGGGTGGTTGTTCGTTCTCGGTGACCCAAACGGCGCCATTTTCGCCTTTCTGGATCAGAGTGACCAGGGCTCGAGCCACATTGCCCACTCTGATCGAGTAAAAAATGAGAGTTCGTTATTAAGAGTACAGAATATCGTGAATAAATGTTTACTAACGATTGCTTCTGATGGCTTGCAGCATTCAGCTTCTCCATCCACGAGGCGAAATCGATAAAATCGAACGACTTCATCGACGCGTCGTCCGTGATCGTCGTTTCCGTCAGGCCAGGGCACAGCACCATTACATGAACGCCGGTGGTCTCAAAACTCGCCTGTAAGTTTTTTTTATTCATTATAGTTCATAGAAATTTAAACGTTACTTTATCAGAAGAGAATTACAGGTAAATAAATGAACAGAAGGAGCACACTTATTATTATTCCGATTAATTCTATTGATCTCAGAACGATGGAATTTACCTGTAAACACTGACTGAACGAGATGACGTTCTGTTTGACGGAAGAGTAGACCGGGCTTATAGGTAGGTTCAACAAGCCAGCAAGCGACGAAATATTCACCACGATACCACCTTTGCCACCCTTGTGTTTGCCCATGTGATCTATGGCCAACAACGATCCATGGATCACTCCACCCTGGAATCGAAATTATTTCATGTCGTAAAACCAAAGCATTCTATTACCTTTTCACGGAGGCAGAACGACAAACGATGACCATTACAAGCAAGAAAAATATCATAAATATTCTTTGGATCCACTGATATAACAGAATATTATACTTACAACATTTATACGAAGAGTCCTCTCCCAATTCAGTTCGTCGTATACACCAGCGTTGTTAATGAAAATATCCACGCCTTTGAAAGCGTTCACAACTCTCCTGAACGTTTCTATGGAAAGATGAATTGTGAAAGTAAAATTAAATTGCTAAGAAACGATCTGTACGAACCATTACAGTATTTTTATGGAAGAGTAGGTGAAGAAGAAGAAGTTTGAGAGTTATTGGAATAATTTATATGTCTGAAAGAGCATTTGTGTAATAACGAAGTACCTTTGAATTGTTCTCTGTTGGACACATCGCAAGGGAAGAACACCGCTCTCCCTTTCCCGAACTCTTTCTCCAAAGTGGCCGCCGACGCCTGACCTGACGAAGAGGTCAAATCTAGAATGGCCACCACCTGGAAATCGGACCAAGAATTTTAAACTATCCAACGTAAGTTCATTGAAGTCACTTTAAACAAGCTATCGTACAAGTATCGTAACAGAGAAATCTAATTAATTTCTAAGGAAAGCTCACCCTTGCTCCATTTTGCAGCAGTATCTGTGCAAACGCGTAACCAAGTCCTCTGGCGGCTCCTGTGATCACGGCAGACTTGTTCTTAATGTTGTCCATGCTCTAAAAATCATATTTCGTTGAAATTTCGAATCGACGATCAAAAAACTTATTTAGAAAGTTCTTGAAATGTTAAGACTAAGCTTGAAACGATAACAAAAGTATAGCGGTCTCTTTAGTCGCGAATTCTCTGCGTTTACCATCGCATCGATGCACCAACTTACGAAGATTTGAGGAACGAAGCGTTACTGGAACGCAGTTTCGACAGTTTCGCGTGAAATAGCAACGAAAGTCGTACTCTCAACGTAAAAAAAAGTTAACGATAGAGCAAAGTCTGCTAATTAGTATATATGTAATAAATATTCGAGCTCGACGAATGGATGCAAACTACTGCGAGAATTAAAATTTTGTCGAATCATTGCATCTATTCCGGGAGAAAATTATTGAAAAGATAGTTAAGAGACAAAAGAGAATTGCTGTCGAAGCATTTTCATTAGTTGCAGAAAGTTTATCGAGACTGAAATAAATTTGATTATTATTCGTAAAGTAATCGACGAAGTTACTTAATCTCGATTGGAATAGTTGAATCATTTCTCTCGAAACTGATTAGATGTTTTGCTTGAAATCATATTCTCTATTATTCAGTAAGTTCTTCTAGCCTTCCAAAAAATTCTGATTTCTTTCACATCGGACCATTGGAAGTATAAAAACCCACTACGTTATGCGTTGAGGCAAAGCTGAAGGCAGTAAAGTGTCTATTTTTAATATACGTGTGAAATATTTTTATTAGCATACAAACGTTGTAATAATAATGACTCGGATGGCTTCAATTGCTGTTTTTTTTTTATACTATCGTTTTAAAAGCTTCTATAAAAAGGGACGTATTCATAATAATCGATAATAATTATTGTTTTACTAGAAATCATTGATACTTGTGAGACAGACCGTGCACATAAATATGCATGTATACGTTTGGTAGTATCGCTCAAGATGTCTATAAATATTTTCAGTTGTTCCTAACTCGAGCGATTAGATTAATATGGAGAAGCTTATAGATTATGCTTATCGGATTTTTATGCAAAACAAGTCACATCTCCGACTATCTTCAAAGATACTTTTTGTATTTACGTTCTGAATATAAGAGATTACTAAATCCATATTACGCTGATTGTTCTACGTCTTGATTTTACCAATCCTTGAAATACAAATCTCAAGGTTCACATTCTAACACGCCTAAATAAAACTATGCGAGTGAAATCAGACACCGATAAGTACTTGTTCGTACCAAAGAAGAAATTTATTTCTGTCAAGGGAGGGGATTCACCCGTAACAGTTTCCAAATATATTTCGTGCATATTTCAAGGACGAGGTGACTAAATTTTTAGGTAAAATCTGCCAAAATAACGGAGTTACAAGGTACCTTGTATGACAAATGTGTAAAATAGAGATCGATTCACCAATAGCACAGTTAAAGTTTTATAATCGAGATATTAAACGGTACATTTGTTTTCACTGAGGTATGTCCACCCGCTTGGCAGGAGGAATTTCAACGGCGTAGGGTGGTTCTGCATTCTCGACGACCCAAATACCAGCGTTTCCTCCTTTCTGAATCAGACCCACCATGGCCTTTCCCACGTGGTCGGCCCTGACGAAGTAAAAAGTAGGAAAATAATGCGCGAAGGTAGGGAATAAACGTTTACTTACGACTGCAACGTGTAATCATAAAATGTCTTGTTTGCATCATTATCGATGAAATCAAGCCCTTTTTGACTTATATTTTTCAGGATCGACGTGTCGGTGAAGCCAGGACACAACACGAGGGCACGAACGCCGGTTTGACCGTAGTTATCCTGAAAATGTAACAGTAAATTTACGGGTCGATCGAATTCATTTTGCTTCGCTTTTTCCAGTGGTCGAATCACTCAGGACATTTACCTGCAAGCAACGACTGAATCCAACGACTGCATGTTTAGTAGAACAATATACCGGGCTCTTGTGCAAGACAAGTAGACCCGCAATCGACGCGACATTCGCTATCACGCCGCCTTTGCCGCCCTTGTGTTTGCCCATGTGGTCAATGGCGAGCAAAGAACCTTGGATCACGCCACCCTGAATGTTTAATTATTTCATGTTACGCGACTGAACCAATAACTAGTAAAAAAAAACGCAATAAGTTTCAACCTCATCCCAGCCGAACATTTAACCATTTGTGTGAATTTCTTTTACTAAGAGCAATTGGAACTTAGAGCCAAGAGGAATAAATATCCAACGATATGCGTCAGGATTCCATTGTTTTTTGTAAGAGAGATACTGAAGTAAATATTATTTTTAGGTCACAGCGAGGTACCAAGCAGGTTACATAATGGCGATTAGTCCTGCACAGTACACAGAGTCTGATCATTCTTCCGTTAGACCAGCAGTACTTTTCTAGAAACGCTAAAGCGAGCCGATTCCAGCTGCAAAAATTCGCCATGTTGTTGCACAGATGCAATTATACTGCGTGTCTAATGGTTTCTTTGGTCAAACTTCCAAAAGTTGTGTTCGATGAGTTGTACTTGCAATATTCAAACGGAGAGTCTGTTCCCATTTTCTATCAAAACATATTCCGGCGTTGTTGATGAGAATGTCTATGTTACCCAGAGTGTCTACAACCCTTTTGAAGGTTTCTATAAAAAAAGGGAAATAAAATAAAGTCAGTCTTTGGTAGTTTCGTCAGTTTTCGAAAATAATAGAATCTCTAGGAATTAGAGATAAAACTAGTTCAAAAATGTATAATTTTTTATTTAGAATTCTAAGATAAATATGTGTTTGTATTGTTCCAGAGTCGGAAGAGGACTGCGGAGCTGCTAAAATTTTTCGGTGAAAAAAAAATTTCAAATTCTATTGGAAAAATTATTTTTGGTTGCGGGGGTTGATTGCAATCATTTTTGGTGAATAGACATACCCTCGAATTCCCACGCACTTTCGAGGAAAAAATTCCTTAGCGAAACTATAATGTGAGGCCCTCGAAATTTCATGCATATCTTTAAAACATCATAACTTCTGAACGGATTGGACGATTTTAATGTTTCAACCGGCAAACGACGAGTATTTTGCCGAAGAATATGTAGAAATTCTAACACTATTGAAAAAGTTGTTCCTTGACCCCGTAAAGTGAGAAAACCACATAAAAATGGTCCAATTTTCAAACAGCCATAACTCCTGCAATAGCGAATACATTTCAATGAAACTTTTTTCCGAATTAGAGCTCATGGGTAGCTACAAAAAAGTATTAGACAAAATTTCCGTAGGACGCCAAACAAATTTATTAAAAATAAAAAATCAAGAATCTTTAGGAAAAATCGACGGTAGGTGCTTAAATTCGACGAAAAAAAAAAAAATTTCAAATCGTTCTAAAAAAATTATTTTTGATTCCGGGGGTCAATCACAATAATTTTTGGTGAACAGACGTACCCTCGAAATCCTAACCAGTTTCGAGAAAAAAATTCAGGAAGGTGGGCAAATTTTTCGACAAAATTAAAAAATTTCAAATCGTTCTGAAAAATTTATTTTCAGTTTCAGGGGTCGATTACAATCATTTTTGGTGGATAGACATACCCTCGAAATCCTAACCAGTTTCGAGAAAAAAATTCAGGAAGGCGAGCAAATTTTTCGACAAAATTAAAAAATTTCAAATCGTTCTGAAAAAATTATTTTCAGTTTCAGGGGTTAATTGCAATCATTTTTGGTGGATAGATATACCCCCAAAATCCTACGCGCTTTCGAGAAAAAAAATTCGTTAAACGTGCCTTCGAATTGTTTGGTGTTGCTTACGTCGCAGGGGAAAAATATTGCTTTTCCTTTTCCGAATTCCTTTTCCAAAGTGGCTGCCGTCTTTTCGCCGGGCGAGGTGCTCAAATCGAGAATGGCAACTGCCTGAAAATCGCGTTAAGAGTATTCCAGTGAAATTTAGTCCGTGCAGTGTTATTCAATTTCGGGGAAATCCACCTTCGCTCCATTTTGCAGTAGATTTTGCGCAAACGCCAATCCGAGTCCCTTGGCGGCGCCAGTGATCAAAACATTCTTGTTCTTAATGTTGTCCATGGTCTGTAAACGAAATTTCTATGTTTACATGTAAATTTTATTTTAAAGCGTACATCGAGTCAAATTGAGATAAAAGAAAAGGCTTTTATTCGAATCATTGTGTTTTTATTTTAAATCGAGATTAATTGGTTACAGTTTCTTTCAAATGTTCTCGTCAATTATAGCACTTCCAATCCGAAACAAGCTTCGGTACTTATCGTGTACTCAAACTATATAATTTGATCGTGTTTAAAAATGTTATTATTATCATTTAATTATTCGTGTTGTCGATTGGTTGTTCGGTGTTCTGTAAATTAAACCGGCGTTCGTAGAATCGATTTCTACGACAAGGAATTTCATTTCCAGAGTAAAACTCACCGCGATAAGAATAGATCTCAATGCTTACGGATGGGTTCGTGGCCGAAGAATGAGTCGCGATACCTCTTAACGGAAAATTTAAACGGAATGCGTATCTCCGAAAGTTAATTGCTCTCAAATTGGGTTGTTATCGAGCCACGTGATTCCCCCGTTGTTCATCTTAATTATTCTCGAAGACACATGTATACATACATAGATAGCTGCAATGTTGTATTACTTTCTCTTACTTCTTAATTTTTTAAAGTTTTTACATAGGTGTTGGATGTTACACAGTTTTTGTAACTTTTGAGTCGCGAAATTAAGTGTTTAATATTTATGTCTGATCTAGAGGAGGGATGCTTTTGTGATCGAGAATCGTTCGTTTTTCCTTGATCTTCATGCGGTGACCTTCAGGTTAGCATAGCCAGGTACTTCGATGGCGTACGGTGCTTGGTTATTTTCGCTCACGAAAATTGCCCCGTTCTCTCCCTTCCCGATCAATTGGATGATCGCGCTCGCCACGTGCTCCGGCCTGATAACAAGTATTTTAACGATAAAATATATTAATTATCGCTATCTTTGTGCAACGTTGCACAAATGGTTCAACTTCCTCACTGATGATGCGAGAGTTCCCTGGCAGTGTTTATAACGATATTTAATTGCCTTTAAGATATGCAGTTTCAATTAATTTCATGTAATTACTTCGACCTTGGACTTTATACATAGTAATTACAAATCACCGTGAACGATATTTTAGGTACTTACTTAAGGTATTACGTCCCCTTAAACAAACTTCATAACTCGCATTTGCTATCTTTGATAAACCTAATTACAGAGTAAATATTGAATGCCCCGAAATGATTTTTATCGCTCATATCTTTTGTTTCCCAAAAACGGTGAAATATTTTTCGGTATATTTAATATCTTTGGTAAATTACTATTATAGAGTTCTCTCATCGAAGATTAAAATGTTCGATCGTAATCGTAAATAAATTGATCGAATTTTCGTCCCGTGTAATCGAGTGTCACGATCGAGATAGAATAATGTCAAGGAATTGTTTTCTTACGGTTGTTTTTGCATGGTGGTCATCGCCAATGCCGCCATTTCTTCGTCGAGGAGGTCCATAGCGTGCTCTTTAGTGGACATGAATCTGGCAGCCATTGCTGTGGTCGTCAGGCCGGGACATATCGTCAACATACGTACGCCAGTTTTCTCGTAATAATGCTGTTGAATTAATCGTATAATTTTATACAAAAAAAAAAAAATATCATTGGAATAATTATTAAATTATATTTTCGTAGGGGACCATTGATCGTTCAGCCTGGTGGAGGTAAATTCGCATATTAATTACCCATTTCTTCTCGTAAATAAAAAAGGAGAGACTAAAGGTAAGAATCAAACTCTAAATGTGTCTTCTTTATTTTTAATTTACACAACATTAGTGTAACTTCAACAATTTTTATTAAACTTTATTGCATAGGAAACGCAAAGAACAAACGATCGATTTTTTTTTAACGTTCACAGTGGATTACTTAAATACGAAACAATATTATGCGTTAATTTTTATTTTTCCGTGAATTTTCATTTTTATTTACCTTCAATGATTGAGTGAATCCAACGATCGCGTACTGTGTTCCGCCATAAATCGGTGCTATCGGAATCCCTTCGAGGCCAGCCACGGATGACATATTCACTATCGTTCCGCCATTGCCGCCTTTGTATTTCCCCATAGAATGCAGTCCCAAAATCGTACCGTAAACTATGCCTTTCTAACACGAAACACAGAGCATTTTAAGTATCGCGCAAAAGAGTAACAAAGGAGACTCGTAACGTAATTAAAAATTATAGAACAACGTAACAACTACGGCAATATTTGTATTAATACTGGTTACATATATTTTTATTAGAAACGATCACTTAATTCTGAATTAATTTTCATTTATTTGAATGACAACAATAACTTGCTTGTGGCGTTATACACAAATGTTCTTTCATTTCTTAGCCGTATTCGTTGTTTACGGGCCGCCAGCGAATCACATAATATCGAGCAGCTTACATAATTAACGTCGACCATAATTTCCCAATCAGCGTCGTCCATGATGCCCGCGATGTTTAGGACAATGTCCAGGGTCTTGTAAGCGTCGATAACTTTCTTGAACGACTCTGTACACAACCATAAATTCATTGATAGTTATTATGAAATCCAGCCATGTAAAGCTATCGCTACTACATCGCGTAATTCTGTCCTTTAAAAAGGTATCTACGCTAAGTACATGAGCCGTGTATTTTGAAAGTGGCGTAAGTCCATTTTCCAAAAAAATAGAGTTAGCAACTTTAATACATAGTTACATTTTTACATGATCTTTTCATTCTGAAGCAACTTGTTACTAATATATTTAAAATCACTAAAATTCTGCAACACGAAAATTTGCTTAGAAAAAAGTTTATTTTGAAAGTGGCGTAAGTCCCATTGTGAGAGTTTCAAATGGATATGGAAAATATTATGCAATAAAATTTTATGAGATCCCAGCATTTTTATTATCAAAGTACCAGTTGAATTATCAATGTGAAATGAAAAAATACTGACGGTAAAAGAGTAAAGTTTAAGATATGTTGGATGAGATTTTTGAGAAGCGATCCATATAAGTTATTCTACAAAACATTGGATTTACTACCGCAACGAGGAAGACCGGAAAACTTTAATAATATCAAGTTGGCGTCACTACACAAAACAACGAGACCACTCACAAACCTAAAATACAAGAATTTAATGGATTTATTACATTATATACCACCTACACATAGTTATTTTAAATCCCTCTCGCATACACAAACTGGAGAAGACTGAATAATAATTAATGAAACAATGTTAATTTTAATGTAAAAATTATTTAATAAAGAATGAAAGTTGAATATTCATTTTTATTTCAAGGGACTTTTAATATTAATTATGCTAATTGGGATGATAAATTTGAGACCCTTAGAAATCCAAAAACATTATTCCACTACGTCATCTGTTATCCATATTTTTAAATTTAATCCAACGCCAACCCTACAATATCTCGATTTGAATATAAATGGACTTACGCCACTCTCAAAGTAACAAACGGTTCACATTTTCTATTTAAAATCAAAATAGTCGATAACAAAAAAAAAAAAAAAATGCAAATGGTACGAACGTGTCAGAAATTTTCTATAAGAATTGTCCGTCGATGAGATCGTAATAATAGATAATTAATAATGAAACTACCTTTCAGCTGTTCGTTCTTGGAGACGTCACAGGCGACGAAAATCGTTCGATCCTTTCCAAATTCATCGTTCAGGTCCGCGGCTGCGCTTCCGCCGCCGGAATCGTTCAGATCTAGCAAAGCTACCGCCTGAAAGCGAGAACGAACACGATCGATAATTCGTTCGAGTCCTCGTCCAAGGAGTACCGATTCGAACCGTTGGAATTTCCATTATCAGTAGAAATTTACCTTGGCCCCGTTTCGAAGAAGCTTCCGGGCGGTGCAGAAGCCAATTCCGTTCGCCCCGCCGGTGACGAGCGCGACTTTACCCTCGATGTTCATGACCGGTCGATCAAACGGAGCGGGTCAGGTCCGTTCCTTGTTCAGCAGGGTCGACGCGAGGCGTTCTCGAGAATGGCCGGGTCACAAATATATTCCGCCGCGGAGGCGCGTGTCCGCCCGGCCTCCGGTGAAACTCGAGAAATCGAGAATCAATCGTACGAGATTGAATGTCTCGCGGATACCCGACGGGATACGCGACCGCGAATCAGCGGGTAAACAGGATCGAATTACCCTTCGAACGAGAAAAAATCTAGCCGCGAGACCGTCAGGAAAGCGCGCCCTGGAGGCCGTTTATTTTTGTTGATTTATCGCGTTACCGATACCGCGTTTCATCGATCGTTCCAACAGGATTCGAATATTTCATTCGGCATTCGTATGGGAAACAAACAGGAATTTTTCGTGAAATTGGTTTCATAAAGTTCCGAGATTCGATCAAAAACTTTAACAAATTGAAAAACTTTTACAACTGTGGATTATTGAGGTATATAATTGAATTATCGAATATATTTTTCTTTTCTCGTGCAGCGCGACGGACGACCTTTCGCACGATTCGTAAAGAAATTTAATCGATAAATGTCCGATCGCGACGCTCGACGGTCGACCATATTGCGAAATAATGATCGCGCGCCACACGCGTCATAAGCGTGAGTAAGGTTTGCGGCTAAACATCTGTCGCGGGAATACGTTTCTAGCGCCCATTGTACGTTGCGTCACGTTGGCCAGCAGGTGGCCTTGTGCCTCTCGTGGTTCTCGCAAGTGCTCCATTCGCCTTCCGTTTGTATATATACGGTCTTCGTTGCGTGGTCTTTCGTCCCCTCCGGCGTCTAAGGCAGGATCTGCTAGGTTGCCTTACCGACGAGTCCACTAGCGGATCCAGGACGAAACGCAGCAGCCCCGGCCTCTCTCTCTCCCAATCCTACCTTCTCCTCCTCTTTCTTCTTCCTCCCATCGTGAATACTCTGGCAAGGGTTTGATAGGGGAACGGGGGTACAAGAAGACAACATCGGAGAGCAGTAAAAAAAGCAGCCCAACACCCAGCAGCAAACCGGCATCAGCAGCAGCAGCAAACAACATCTTTATCGGTACACCGAGAGGGGGAACTCAGCAAATGCAGGAGATGCCAGGGTGTGAGAGGAAAGAGTGTGTGTGATGTTTCTTTCCAATCTAGCTAGTTGGGGAGTGGTCGTGTTCGGCGAGAAGAAGAAAATTGACTCTGTGCTCTCCGCGCCCCGGCTATACTGGATCGGATGTGGAAATACCAAGCCGGCTCGTCCGTGAGCCACGTCGCCCGTGTGAGAACGCTGTTCTCTCTGCCTCTGCCTCTCTTCGCAAGGAAAAAACCGTTGACGGAAGTTGGTCGCCCCGCCGTAGGATGAAAAGAGTCCGTAAAGAAGGTTTGCCTCCCCCTTCTCTGACTCCTCCTGGATGATGGGTTTCTGTGTGTGCTCGCCCTTCGTAGAATAAAGAAGCCACAAAGAAGTGACGACGCATCGTGGGATGGTGATGGAGATTCCCTCCCCTCCAGGACACCCCGGGGAATTCAGTTTCAAGGAGTAACTCTCTCTCTCCGCCACGACACATCCTCCCTCTTTCCACCTACATCTCATCATCGAATGTGTTTCTGATAACCACCACCCGGTGTCTAAGGCAGGGTCTGCTAGAACAGCCTTACTGACGAGTCCCACTAGCAGACCCGGGACGAAACACCAATTCCAAATTTCCCCGTTCCTACCTAAATTTATTTTTTTCTCTATATCTTAATAATTACAAAGTCAGGTTTCTTTTTGGTCACTTTAAATAATATTTATAATATAAAGAACACGCTTCGGTATCTTTTACTTTCTTTAAAAATAATAGCTTTTTTTTGTATTTAAATGGATCACAATTTCAGTGATCGTAGATAAAAGTGTTCGACCAATTTGATTTTTAACATTTATTCATGAAATTGAAAACAATATCGTTCGTAACATTTCGAAAGTTTTCGTTACAAGAATCACTATGTTGATGTCACTTATTACAAATAGGAAAACGTTGATAGATTATTCTCGTTGGTATTTACAATCACAGGGTAGCTTTAAGATGATATCGAACGATTGCAAAATAAGACGGGAATTTGACGAGTCGATTTTACAATGGACGCGAGGTCAGGTTAAAAATCGTAGGTATGTCGACGAGATACGGCGGTTCCGATTTGGTGACGACACAGGTCGCGCCATTTTCTCCTTTTTCGATTAATTCGATCATCGCTTTGGCCACGTGCTCCGATCTGCAAAGAATCGATTGAAATTAATTTTATACGAATTTTTTTGCTAATACGAACAGATTCAGTGAAGATCTTTGATAACAGGTTTATTCGTCCAACATACTCACGTTTGCCATGGCTGCATTTTTAACTCCTCGAGGTCTTGACCGAATTCGATGCAGTTTAAAGTTTGAATTTTACCCTCGCTCACGGTCAGTGGCGTGGTGGTCATGCCTGGACACATTAGCATCATACGAACACCAGTTTTATTATAGCTAAACTAGAAGTAGAAACAAGGAATTCGTGCGTGTAATGCTCGGACTCGTTTTCAAATTGTATTGGATTTCCTTACTTTTATGTTGGATGTGAACGCAACTAATGCATACTTCGTTCCACCGTAAACCGGCAAGTAACGTTGAGGCGTGATGCCAGCCACGGACGCCACGTTCACGATCGTGCCACCTTTACCGCCATTGTGTTTCCCCATTAAATCGATGGCAACGAGATTCGTGCGAACGATTCCTGTCTAAAACGAAACAAAACAATTCAAACTATTCGCTTTTGAACACGTTGACTGCCGCGCGAATTTTACGTGGTTTGCCCATGGCGCCGCGTATTTTTATTATTGGTCACGTCGCCGGCCACCGGTGACTCCCACGGCAGGCAACGTGTTAATCGAGTTCGAAGATCTTAAGATCCGATGGTTTCTAAAAAACATGTCCACTCACGAAATTTACGTCGATCATGCGTTCCCACTTCGTGTCGTCCGCAATTCCGGCACTGTTAATCAGAATGTCGATGTCTCCCAGCCTCTCGACGAGTTTCTTAAAGGTCGCTGTTCGAACGAAACTTATACATTAATTATTAACACTGTATATGCTTTAAAAAATCACGTTCGACCACTCACAATCCACTTGATCCTGGCTGGTGATGTCGCAGGCGAAGAAAAACGCGCGACCCTCGCCGAATTGACTCTCGAGCTTCTCGATCACGGTCTCTCCGTACAAATTTGGCAAATCCAGGATCGCCACGTGCTTAATAATCCAAACGAACGTACAATTTATCCTCAGAATTGTATTCGATTGTTTGTAATAAAGCGTTCAACGCGATACACGGTTACGTTAATAAAATTTCCGCGAGTCCGCGGTTCGACGCGATTCAAATTTTCCCGCCGATTTACCTTGGCGCCGCCATGCAACAATTGCTCGACGGTGCTGAAACCGATACCGCTCGCTCCGCCGGTGATCACCGCAGTCTTGTCCTTCACATACATCCTCGTTTTTTCAAAAGATCTACAAACTCTTTCTAGACTGACAATAAAATAATATCGGGGTTGCTCGAAGAACGAGATTTAAAAACAGGCCTTAGTTTAGATTCCGCAGAGAATGGCCCGCGCTGGCCAACGACTAAGGACCAGCCGTGTCCCCACTTTGTTTCGGGCCGGGCCAAAACGAAAAAGATCACAGACAGGTTTAAAAAAAAAAGGACACGGACCGTGTAACACGTGTCGCCTCTCGGGACCCGAATTTTCACTGATCGACGCGCGCACCTTGCAACTATATATACGTGATTTTTAAATTTATCATTGATAGACGGATGCAACGCGAGCGCGCGGAGATCTATTCGACGACAAACATTGAACGACCGTAACAATCATTAGAAACAAAATTCTCAAAATTTCTTCCCAGAGATCCGTCGCTGCTGATTAATTCGACTCGAGCAAACAGCAAATTTAAAAGAGATAACGCGAATAGCATTAATAATTGCTGATTAGAATCGCTACTGTTTGTCGAGTTTATATTTGTATACGCAACGGTAACTTCAGATAGCAAATGCTGTTTCTGAAATCTTTGTTCTTTTCTTTTACCAATTTTGCTTCGTAAGACTTCATTTCTTCTTCGCGTGGTTCGATTCACAAGTCTTTACTTTCGTCGGTGGACAGGTTTTCGATGCGTCAACTTTGGAGGCATCGACGCATGGCGGCTCTATTTTGACACTGCAGACCTGGAGTAGTAATAGTTTCTTTTTTTATCACGTATACCTATTTCGACTAAAGCGTGTCTTATCGAGGGGAAAGAATTCAAAGTGAAAATTTTCAATGGCGTGTTTTCGATTTTACTTGTTCCTCGTAGACTTTGGGATCGACTTTCTCGCCTTTCTTCGAGGGGAAATGAATCAATCGAGGAATCTCGTGTACGCTGTTCGCCGGTTCCACCAACCACGCGCTTCCATTTTTCCCCCACGCTATTACGTGGCTCAAAGCTGACCCTATGTGACCTATCCTACAAAGAAATACCTTATTTTACTCCGAATAATTCGAGCGTTTCGTCCCGGAGCCTGTCAGTGAACTCGTCGGTAAGGCTTCTTAGCAGATTCTGTGTTAGACGACGAGATATTGGGTACAGAGAACGACCCCTCTGTCAAAGTAATAGCAAACTATTATAGAACTTCACTTACGAAGTTGGTATACAAGGTGGCGTCTCCTCGATACGGTTTTTAGGAATTGGATCCGGAAAACAGGGCAACCCTATGTCGCGGAACTGTTTATTAGTTGGACAAAGAGCCACCATACGCACACCAGTCTCTTCTATGTTGAATTCCTCCTTCGATAAAAGACGAGGCATACGGGGCTTAAGAAACATATCAATTCGTGATCGTCGATCAATTTAACGTACCGCGAAGTCCATCGTGACCTCTATAGCCGGTTCGTGTTTGCAATAAATGGGGAATGGGTCCTCGGGCCAGCCAATGAATCCTAAAATGCTCGCGCAATTCACTATTATTCCGCCGGGACCGCCATGATTCTTTCCTAAAATCTTCAGTCCCACTCGTATCGTTTTTGATATGTAGTTCTGGAAGAATTTTACGCGAGAAACAACACGTTTCGATTCTTACGAGTCTTCAAGTTCAATAACCGAGTAGTTTTCTTTCTCGTTGATAGAAATTAATAGAAATATATACCTCCTTCTTCTCCGAGCTATTGCACTTTGCAGGAGACTGCACCTTGTCGAGGTCGTTGAAAAGTATGTGTATCTGTTTGTGTTTGCAGAGAGCCTGATTCAAAGTGGCTGTGGAAATTCTTAATAATTATAAACGAGGATGAACGCTAATATTCTCTCGGTATTAACGCTAATTTATTAACCTTCGAGTTGACAAAGAATGTTCATGTTGCACTCGAGAAATTGCACGCGATCCTTTCCGTACGAATCGCAGAGCATCCGCGACGCCATTTTCCCTCGGTCTGGATCGTGATCCGCGATCACGATACTCTGAAAGTTACATCGACTATTTAATCTTTTCGACAGATTTCATTGACTTGTTCTTCTATTCGGTTCGCTCTTTTGACACGTTGACCGCCATATTGATTTTTCCTTGACATGTTTTCAAATTGCAATAGTTCGTTGTTTCATAGTATTCCTAACGTCCACGAGATAGTTCGAAAATTTACAAAATATCAAGGTTCGTTTATCGCGAATGTTTCGAAGCGCCGGTCACCGGTGACCACCGCGGCAGCGAACGTGCCAAATAACGCCGAAATTGGAATCTCGTGTACAGAGGATACGGACACGTGCTCCTTTCTGCAAAAGATGATCGGCAGCTGCAAAACCGGATCCATCAGAGCCACCAATCACTACTGCCACTTTGCATGCAGGATCGAGAATCGGTTTAGGCGAGTCGGAGCTACGATATCGTATTAAAAATATTTTACAGCCTCCAAGAATACCTCTAAATATATAATAATTATTGGGGGAACAAACTGCCACGCTTCCAAAGTAAAGTCTCGTGAAGTTTACCAGTCGTAGGGCTTAACGATCTTCGGTCCATCGGGTTGTTTCTTCTTGGTGAACCGTCTCGAGCTTTTCTCCTTCCCCCGGATCGAGTCGGTCGCGTGAAATTGACACGCATCGAGTTTCCACGGACCTCTGGATGGGAGAACGCGATCGTTTAGCTTCCGGGTTCGATCGCGCGATCAGAAAAATAAACGATCGATGATCGTTGCGGGAGAAAGTATCGTGTTCGGTGCAGCTTACCTTGGACTCGCTCGAAGAAGGTTAGAGACGAACGAGATCACGCGTCGCGTTAACATGCCGCTGGAAACTGCTGTTCACCGATAATTCTAACGAACCATAATAGAAATTGCAAAGATAACGCCTTCTTTACATTGTTCGTTGAACGAATGGTCACCGAGAAAACGGAACTTATTCACGAGTGCAACGCGAAACGAGAATTTAGAAACATGGCGGTCGAGTTTCCGCGTCCGGTTTTTGTTTTTTCGTAACGATATTAAACACTGCCAATTTTCGAACATTTCGTGATTACATTTACCAGATTAATAGCACAGACGAGGTATATGAGTAGATCTTTCACTCGATGTATTTTTCCGGTCCATTTTCCTGGACATTACTTAATATTAATATTAAAACATAACTAACATTACTTAAATTAACGAGACTCGTTGGGAATAAAGAATAATATTCTTGGTTGATTTTTTAAAAAGCTATGCACTTTATTGGCTAGGTTTGCAACATACATTTTCCGAGCAAATGATAACAAAACCAACAATTTCCACTAGCTATCGACCGTGACGTCGATTGAGAGTACGCAATGTTTATATTCAAGTGTGCGATTGCCCTTCGATTCTGACACCCTGTAGACACTCTCGTTGCGAAAACGAAACGGTAAGAGTCTAACAGCTAATCGAAACCACCGACGCTCGTTCCTCGCGGAACGATAAATTGAGACGCGACGAGAGGACAGGGCTTATCGATCGAGGAATGGACGATTAAAATGTGTAATAATTGTGTTTTGTGCGTCGAAGACACCGAGTTTAGGCCTCGACTCCGTCTATCTAAACCTACGCTTATTCCTTCCACTCCCATTGGTCGAATCCCCGTTAAAAGTTCGAATAAAAAGTAACGAGCACGGTTGTCTTTCAGGAAATTCTTCGACTCGTTTTCATCGACATCGTCGCCGGTGATTGGATCGCTATGAAATAGAATCGTTTCGTTCCTCCGTTGATTCGACGAGCAACGACCAACATGATTGATTTTCAATAATACAGACGTAAACGCGAAACATCGGACGAGATCGTTTTAGCTTTAAGTGGATCGAAAAAGTGTTAAAAATTAGTGTCCGTCGCTAGACGAACGTTAGACAAGATTTCGACGTTCGCGAATATTACAGAGTGTTGTTAAAATATTTGAGGGGAACGCTGGTTCGAAACTATAGTAAAGGTATAAAAGATTCATCGTTAGAAATGCTTCGTGTCGCTGTATAGAAAAAGGTATTGGAGTTTACGAGTACATACATAGCTGAGAGGATTCGTAAAAATTTGTATGAACCGCGCGGTACAGCGCCGTCCAATTAAGTTCCAGAGCCCGGGGACCATCCCCCACTCTGTGCCCGTTGGCATGGCGAGCTCGATCAGGACCGTCTTTAAGCCAATTGGGCCTCGTTCTAGGTAATATAAGCCAAGTACAATTGCCTTTACATCAAAATACATTTTAAATCAAAAACACGTGCTTCTGATACTTGATAAAGGAACAGTAGTAAAATTCTTAACCTTAGTGTTTGTAAAAATTTCGAATCGGGACTAGAAATAACTTCCATTACAGAATTAAAAAAAAAATAACAATTCACAGTCTAAATAATTAAATTGCTATACTTTGATCGTATTATTACTTGAACAAAATGTTGTCCTAAGCTCGGCCCTGAGCTCGCTGCGTTGAACAGTGGGGGGTGACAAAGTCATCAAGGGGCTCCAATCGTGGACAGCATTGGCGTGGTATCGATTTACTTAATATCGAGAGCACCCTATAGTCGGACTCGCGAAAGAATCAACTTGGTAGGGGAAGTTTCGTTCTATCGTAGATATCTTGTACTTATCGTTAATTATGAAAAGATATGAGGTTTCTTTCCCGATTTCTGTAAATATATCCTGAAAACTAATTTCCAGCCACTGGACGAGCGTCTCGTCCGAGGGGGCCCTAAGTCCCACGGCGTCGCCAAGGCCGAGCAGCTGTTCCTATCTTCCCCGTTTAAACCTTTCCCTTAGTCGTCATCGCGCGGCCAGTGGCTCTCAACGTATCTCTTTGTGATTAATATCTAGTACGTCCAAACTAATTACTTACTATAATATTGTCGTTCGAGTGGCTCCAAATGAAGTCGGTATTCGCGCCACTGTTTGTCATCCGTCGTTTTAAACGAAACTTGTCGGACTTTGAATGAGATTTCAAAGGCAACGCGGGTTGAGAGACGCTGTCCACGGTGGCAGAGCAGGTTACATGCCATAAATTGGCAGCAGAGAGAAGGGAAGCATTGTGGTCTTTGGAGACGTCGAAAGACTCGCTCTGAACGCAGTGGCGTAACCAATCTTAACTCTGACTGTTTCGTTTGTTTCATTTTACGTATTTTTTCCACGTAAATGTAAATTCTTTAATGAATAGCGAATATTTGGAAATCCTGTTACATTTTATTTAATGTAATAAATGCTGTTTTACTTCCAATATTAATGCATTCTTAATTTGATTTTGTTCTAATACCATACGAGAATTAAAGCGAATTGCTGGGTTACGCCACTGCTTTCGCGATAATTGATATCCTACGGATTTTATCAAGTACGAAAGGTTATCGATTTTCCAAGGAGTGCTCATACTCATCGCCATCAAAATGAATTATATCGATCGTCTGAAATTACACAAAACATTTTTAACAATATCTGGACAAAATAATACGAGTTGCACAGTATTTTTATCGATCGTATTATTTTCTGTAGTATCGATAAACATGTTTCGTTTAATCGCGGACGATAAAATTATTCATTACGCCCGAAGATGGTCTCGATTAAGGTCGAGAACGTTTACGTACGAAACAATTTTTCTGAAAATCGATACCCTCGACGTTATTAAAATACTAGCAAGCAAAAATAGCACTGCTTTGGTTAAATAACTGTCGTGTGATCAGGTTTCTATATTACTTCTTTTATCCTAATATTAGTTATCGTTCGACGTAGGCGAATTTCCTCTGCCAGGACGAGTGGTGGGGGAAACTCGATTCTTTCTTCGTTCCGACTATAGATTCGTGCCCCTCATAGGGGTCATAGACATAACTCGTTTCTTCAGCGTCGAATTGCAACGACAGTGCAAACTAGTTCAACGATAATTGTGCAGATTATTGTACGAAAATTTGTTACGCCTATGGCCCCCATTATTCGAGTTCTAAAACCTCGTCGAACGATTCCTCGACGCTCGATTCGCAATATCGGGTTCTCAGATCGATTTTTATATTCACGTCGCGATTCGTGCCACTACTCGTCCGACCATCCCTTGCATTTTTCTATCTCTACCGAACCCCATGACTTTCGAAGGGAAATCGAGTCTGAAGGAGTAGTAGCACCAATTAAAACAGATTCGAGCGAAATCTCGTCAGAGTTGACGCTAGTGTACCTCTCACAGGGGCCACAGATGGGGAAAATTGCCACAAACGATTCGTTTTACGATTCCTCGAGTTACATCGATGGTCGTTTCGCGCTGCCATATTGGAATTATCGTTCGAACGATCGCGATAAACCGTTACGTCTGCGACCCCTATCGAACGATCTTCCCCTTAAGTGTAATGGAACGCATAGCAATGTACAAAAATGTATTCTTGCCAGTGTACAAATTGCACAGTAATCTTTGGTGTGTCGCGAGATACCCCCTTAGGGTAAGTTTACACTGATGCGATCGTCGTGCACGGCAGTCGTACGAGGGACGTTCACGAACGTGAACACGAAAATCCTGATAATTCTGACAAAATTATTTTTGAAACGGAAGTTTGAACGGAACACGCAAATAAATATCGAGGAATCCCTGTCATCGATTCTTACAGTCGAATAAAATAAATAGAGAAGTTTTCTTAACAATTTTCTGAATACTCTGGGTTCGTGGACGTCCCTTGTTAGTCTGTTCCTGGACTATAATAGAGGTACATACGCAGTTATGGTACGGCATAGTTATTTGTATTCAAGCGAGGGAGGATCCACGTGAATCGTGACGATAGGTTTCTTAGTCCTTCGGGAAATTGATCTCGTGCGGGGGCTGATCGTTCTCCACCAACCAAATGCTTCCGCTCTTGCCGGTGTTCAGGATATGGAGCAGTGCCTTTGCCACGTGTTCCGGCCTGAAAGATTCAAATAATGGCGTCTATCAAACGAAACATTGATATGGAACAAAATTTCTCAAATCGTCCACATTCTCCTACTTTAAATATTTTTAACGAGGCTCTCTTGGGTTGCAAACTACCCCTCGATGGTCACAACCCCTATTTTTGAACACGCTGGTACGAAGAACGATTGAAAATCAAAATAAATCGAGTTGATTTTAGTTACATAAATAAACTGTCGCTAAATGGTGAGTTGTTGCTATTTCTACACTAAATGATACGATAAGATGGCGTGTCACGTATCCTGTGATAAGCAAGATGCGTGGCAGAGAGTCTGTTCAGCGTGAGTTCAGAAACCTTGTGGTAAAATGTAGGAATCGCGACAATTTTTATATAAATAAACTGTAAACATAATTAGAAATCATTTGTATCTGACTGATTAAAAATGTTTATAGGGAATAGATTGCAGTAAATTTCTTTTTTACTAATTGGAATGTTCCGCCATGAAATCTGAAATATATCGACTCGATGAGTTCCGTAAATCGATTGTTGGCGATTCGTAGCGTGTGTTTGTAAATATTGTCACCTTTGTGGGACCGAGCTGGCCACGTCGCGATGCCAGGCGTCCTCGTATCGAGCCCAGAGCAGCTGTTTACTAACGTCCCGTAACAATTTACTGTCAGTGGCGCTTGGGCACAGCGCCATCACCTTCACGCCGCTCAGATCCACGTGGTACTGATGCTACAGCAAAACAATAACAACGTGAGCATTCCTTCGAAACGAGAATCCCATCGAAAAGAATTAATTCCTTTCCGGGAGGGAAAATTCTCTTTCCTTTTACCATTTTTTAATTTAAACGTCGATGGACATTGCTCACCCCGTAAGCCCTGGTGAAATTTACGATCGCTGCTTTAGTGGCGGAATAGACCGGGACACTGACGTAAGGATTGATGCTGACATTGCTTCCAATATTAACCACTATGCCGCCTTGACCACCCTTGTCGGTTCCCATAAATCGCTGAGCCAGCAGAGTTCCGCGGATCACGCCATTCTGAAATGATACCTTTTAAGAAAAAGTCTCGTGCAACGCGTGAAAACGCAGCAATTATTAAAATTACTGATTCGTGCAGAAATTTTCAATCTAATTCAGAATATTGTTGTCAATGTAATTAGCCATTCAGCGATCTATATATTTTATTTCTTTGGAAAGCTTCGATAATAATAACGAATTGATGAATTTTTTGAAAGAACCATAACGTCAGCGTTGCAGAAATTAATTAATAAATTGAAGAGGGATGCTTACGACGTTGATATCGACTTCCAGCTCCCAAAACCGATCGTTCATGATCCCTGCATTGTTAATGACAATATCGATGTGACCGAACGTTGAGATCGTCGTTTGAAACGATTCTACAAGTAGAAATCATCGATTATGACGGTCTATGCTTTCGTTAATTGTTTGCGTAAATAATTAGTTTAAAATTCGTACCCTCGAATTGTGAGTAGTCCGTGACGTCGCACTGACAGAAAATTACACGATCCTTTCCGTATTCCGTGGTCAAGGTTTCTACCAGTTTCTCGCCCTCGTCCGCGTCGATGTCGCACACGGACACCTTGCAAGCGAAAGTAGAAATTACGCTGCTGCGATAAGACACGCGAATAATATAGTTTTGGTAGGCGTAGATACGAGTATAACTCACCTTCGCGCCTTGGTTTAATAATTCTATGGCACACGATTTCCCGATACCGGAAGCGGCACCCGTCACCAGGGCAACTCGCCCTTTTACGTCCATCTTCGTTAGTCCCTTGTCAACTTTCTGTCTGCGAATACGAAAACACGAAAGCACGTTCAGCCAAAAGTACAGATTAAATCCAAACAGTCTACGCTTATTGATCGAAGATCCGACAACGTCTATCCAACGAGCAATTAAGTTTATTAAGTGCGTCGATAAGTAGAAAGAAAAATTGTCGAAACTATGCGGCGATAAGAAGATATTAATCCAAGGACTGAGCACGACGACTCGTATTAATACGTTCTTATCGCCACGTGGTCTCCATGCACTCCTTTTTACTTTTTTGCGCGTCGACGTGGACCCCGACGTTTGTTTCTTACTTTTCTTTATCGGTCGCTGTGCTCGCTCTATTCGTTTCTTCGTTTCGATTTTGAAACAACCTTTCGATTTGTATAATTTCTCGATGTCGTTCCAAACTCTGGGATCTTCGACACGTATAACGTTGACGATTACTTTACAATACGATTTTTCTTTTAATTAGAATATGTATTCTTAAAAAATAATATTTACGCGTTCCGCGATTTTAAATATGGAATCAGACACCCGTCAAATTGACGGCTTCCGTAAATCTAGCGTTAAATAAACACGTTTGCCCGCGACTGTTATAACTCGTTCGAAACGTCACGCGTGAGCACAGGTGTCTCGTTTTAGAGGGACAAGATCCGTTCGAGGAGAAAGATTAAAAGGCTGGTCGAGAGATCGTTTCGCCCGCAAGGGTCCAGGATCGTTTCGTGTCCGTTTGGAAAACCGCGTCTAAGCAATTTCCGGTCTGGTGGCGACGTGTGATCAGCGGCGCGGGCGAAATCGAATTTCACCGTCTCGTTATAACCGTTTCGTACTCGACTTCCCGGCGTCGATGGGGATGCCAGCACGGGAATAAAAGAGCCGATGCTCGACGCGGCGGCGCATGACTCACTGAATCCGCTGCGAAAGCGTCGTTTACCACACGCTTCGACGTCAGGCTCCCGTCGTGCTGTGTCTACGAGCCTTCTTTCCTCGACTACGTCGCCCTGCTCGTTCGAATCCCAACACGCAAAATCCCAATCGAGACCCTCCAAGCATCGGAAAATTGCTCGTGAAAATTTCTCTTGCCCCAAATTGCGAACAAAACTGAAAAATTCTTTAAATCCGGTTCAATCAGGTTCGCACGCGAAACCAGAATTTAACAATCGTATTTAACACTAGATTTACGGAAGTTATTTTTTAACAACTTATGTTGAATTTGATCGATGCAATGGCAAGAATACATATTCTAATTAAAAGAAAAATCGTATTTTAAAGTAAGTGTCAACATGAAAGGTATCAATAAATGTACGTGCGATCAATACCCGTAGATCTAGTGTTAAGATCGTAAATTAACAGAGAATTATTGCTCCATTTTAACAAACTTGGTTTTACAAATATTTCTAGAAATATTTATGGCTCGTTTCAGGAAAGGGTCAATCGCGATACGAGAGGTCGACAAACCGTATACGTTTATGCATTTTCTATAAAAAAACAAAGGCCTAAATGGTCCTTTAATGCACGTGGAATTCCACGTTGTCAACGCTTGATTATCCAGTGTTTTCGCATGAATCATAGATTTTATCTTCGCATGATTTACATACTGAAAATGTACTCTGTTAATTATAGCTAGAGCTGTACCGGGGGTTACGATGTAACGATCACGAGACACGAAAGTCAAAAGCAATTTTATTTGTGTTATTATAGAGTTGCTCGCTTCAAATATATTTTTCGATTTGAAAATTTATGTTTTATTTTTTGGTTAATAAGACTGCAAGAAACACCAAGAAAAATTTAAATTTAAAGCTCCATTAAATTTCAATTGCTCCAATGTACGTACGAAAATTCACGAGAAATTTTAGTTGATCGCGGCAAAATAATTCGAAAGTTTGTAACGTGACGTGGAAAAAATGTGAAGAAGCGTAGAGAGCAGAAGGTGTACGTGTCCCGCGTGAAAAGGGACGATCGAGAATTCCAAGAGGCGAGCGTTTCCACTACTCTTGCGCGAATCGCCCCAGCGAGGGAAACAGCATCACGCAGCTTCGTTTAATATTGCAGTCGACGTGACACCATCTCCCCCGACTAGCGTCTGGCAGCCGTAGATAAACCGACCAACGCGTTTCCCTCGTTGAGCATCAAAAAGGGCCGATCTAAAAAATTCACGACGCTCCGATCGTTCGATATCCCGGAGAACTGTACAACCTGCGGCTGCCACGCACCTCTCGACTTTCACCTACGCTCCTCGAAAACACTCAACCACCATCGAGTTCCCCTCCCTCTACCCTCCTGGGGTAAAGTCGAGCAGTTCTCTGAAAAAATCCTCCGAAGTGGCAAAGCCGTGTCGACGGTCGCGAAGAAGCCTCTGGCTAAGCGAACGCCCCCGGAGATACTCTCAACATTCCTAGACACCTCCGGGGAACACCATAGACGTCCACCATTTGCAACCTCCTCGCGCCACGACTCTCCCTAATCCGAGATCCCGGCGAATTTCAAATTCATAGTATTTCTCAGATAATATCGATAGAATCTTGAATCTTCCGGTATCGAAAATCGTTTTGAAATATCAAAATTTTTCCAAGTACATCGCAAGCTAGAAAGTTGTCAACTCCCATTTTGTATCGTCGAACTCGCCTCGATCCAAGCAGAGAGGATTTCTCGAGTAGCGAGGCGTATAAATAGAGTTACATCTACTCTAATTCGAGTGTCTACGATGGCGAACAACGGATACAAGATTCCAGCAGCTTCCGGGACCATTATCGAGCAGAATACGATCGAAAACGCATACTAATATCGCTCGTAATCGAGTAAACAGCAACGTCAACGTCGCCTGTACCGGAGCGACGCGACTCCCCTCCCTCGTGCTAAAGCGTCGCGCTCGGATTCAAGCGACACCGGCCACTAACGCGTTAATCGAGGATCCACGGATCCGCCGCGAGCACCGAATCGACCCGATGAGCGCACGGTGCACCGCGATCGCGAAAAACGATTCAAGTTCACGGTATCCTCGCGCATAAATTTCGGCGCGCCGGATTCCCTCGCAACAATTTCATACAAAAGGAAACCGTCTCGAGTATTTTGGTCACCGGAATTCCCAAGGGGTATTCCCTTCGATACACACGGTCACCCCTGAGCACTCTAATATTTGGCGTCACGAGTCGACCACGCTCCCCTTCACAGTGTCCGTTGACACGAGACAAACAGACACTCGGGCGATTGCCCTTCCGTGAATTCGAAACGAATCGAGCCGACGGAGGTTCCAACCACGGCGGTTTATTTTCGTCGGGACGGGAATAGGTTTTCTCCAGCGGTCTCCTCAAGCTCTCGTTGCGTACCTTCGATCGCAGCAGCTCGACGAACCCGGGGCGTCCGGCAACAGGCAGACCGCGACGACGGAAACGCGCACACGAGTCGTCGGTTCAGTGGGGGGCAACGGTCGGAGGGTGTGCGTCGTTCGTGGAGATCCGTCGCGAGTAAAGGTTGGACCGACAAGGTGTGGTTGACGGCCGCGGACGCACTGACTGGCTGCACCGACGGTTTTCACTGCCCCACGGTGAAACGCACACACCCCACGGGCAGCCCGATATTGATTGGCGGCGGTTGCGTGCCACGTGACTTTTACATGACGCTGGCCCGTTACGCGTGCGACCGTGTGCGTGCAGGCGCCGGCGTGTTCGTGACACCCTCCCTCCCTCTCTCTACGCCCCCGTCACTCCGCCACCCCCCGTCCTCGGGCAGCCCTTAACCTTCGGTGGTGGCGTTCAGTTTCGCGGCCCCGATTCCCGACCACGGCTGCCCCGAACCTCTCCCGCCCCGGCTCGACCCCGCCCTGTCGCCGCGATTATAAACTTTTTCCAATCCCTTGCGTTTCGAAAATCTCGAACATGCACAATTAGCCACCTTCAATGATACCTGTACCTATGCAAGGTTCGAAAGTGACGAAAATGACGTCACGATTCAAAGTGACCAAATAGGACAGAATCCGTGTGATTTTCAATATTATTTTTATTCATCGTATAAATCACGTTTAGACAGTACTAACCCCTTGACGTACGATTTAATTTCAAATAATTCGTCGAACGTATACCACTTGATTTTATTTAAGTTTGTTCGTACAAGGGATGGCCACGAAAAAGAATAGACTCGTTTTACGAATATCTCGTGAATGTTAAAATGTGTTAATAACAAATGAGTAGCCTCGTGATTGTAAAATTTGTCACGAGTCAGACTCGTCATTGTACAGCAAGGGGTTAAGCGTAACACACTATTTCCACGAAGTAGATAGGTTAAACGAGAGAACGCTGATAACGAATAATAATAATAGTAACGATAATAGCTCAAGTAGCAGCGCGCGCAGTAACAGCGGAGATAGTAATACATATTGCAGTTCCAGTCGCAATAGGAGTAAAAATAGCGATATAATTACAGAAGCAGCGACGTACAAATTACGATATTCTCGCCTTTGGAAACAAAAATCGTAAATAACGATCCGCGTACGATCGAACGTGCATAAACGGTTGTCACCGGCCGGAAGTGAGCCGAGGATCGACGGGTTTCGATCTCCGGCGCCGCTCGGTGGTAACCGTCAGCTGAAAGTTTCGGCGTTCCTCTGTCATGGCCGCGAATCTCCGGTGTACCGGGGCTCATATCGATAACGAGAGCGAATACGTGGACGTAGGATCGGTCGGAAGGGAGGCAGAACCGGAAGGTGGTGGCGAAATAAGGGCACGAGGTGGCCAGCGACGCGAGGATCGCTTCGGTCGGCCACGAGGCGATGGACGGCCGAGGCAGGATGAAGTTTAGGAAGCTATTTCGCAGCCGAATGTCGCGAGCCGTCGTTTCCTCGACGAAGTCGAAGCAGTGCGCCAGGAAGCAGGCGACCAGAGTCAGGAAATGCATGTGTCTGCCATCCAATTACGCCCTCGTTGAATTCCCCGTGGTCTGGGCCGAACTCAGGTCCGTTGTCGCGACTCTCCCCATTCGTACCGCGCCCCCAACGACACCGTAGGATGTTTTAATTTAGTCCACGGAAAAGCCCCTTATTTTACGCGCGAGAATCGAACTAAAACGACCCCGCAATTTCTATGAAATCTGTCGACAGTCACAGGGTCGAGGGTTGCAATTTTATTTTGGAAAAGGATATTTTTAAAACCTTGTCCAGAGACGAGAGAAAGATTAGATACTTTGACGCTAATTTGGAATATTTCAGAGCGAATCAACAATTGTGCGACGGTGCGATCCGATGCGCCAGGGACCACGTTTTCCCGGTCCATCGCGCCATATTGTCAGCGGTCAGTCCGTACTTCAAGGCGCTTTTCATCAACAGCCTGAAAGGCGGGAAGAGCGAGACCACCGAGGTCGCGATCGACTCCGTTCCCGGCGAAATTTTCAGCCTGATCCTCGATTACGCGTACACAGGCACGTGCACCGTAAACGCGGACAACGTGGAGCAATTGTTACCATTGGCCGATCAATTCGAGGTCCTCGGTGTTGTACAGCTGTGCTGTCAGTTCCTGCTGCAGGAATTAAGGCCCGAGAATTGCTTAGGTAATGTGTCGATTTGTTGTTAAACTCGAATAGTCGCTAAGGATCCGGACCAAAGTTCTCCGACCGATATAATTCTCTAATTACCGTTGGAAATATTAAAAATTGTTCCAGGCTGGGAAACACTGATCTAGAGGGTCCAATTTATTTCTAAAATTTTTAACAACGGTCGCGTAGATCAACAGTGTTGGATTTGGAATTTAGTATTTTTGGACTGTAATAAAGACACGTTTCAAAATTTTTATTTTAAACGGGGTTATCGCTATTATAATAGATTAAGGATCGCTAAGATCGCGTTCCGTGTAAGTGCCAGTATTTCGTGGCGAGACTGCTGAATTGTGACGACTTAGGTATCTTTAAATTCGCCCGTCACTATTTCTGCCGCGACCTGGAAGAGAAGGGCCGGAAATACATTCGTCATCACTTTAAGCGGATACTGCAAGACAGCGCGGAATTCAAAGAGCTCACCAGCGAGGAACTCGAGGCGATCATACGCGACGACGAGCTGAACGTTAAAAGCGAGGAAATAGTTTTCGAGGCCGTTAAAACCTGGACCGAGCACAACGTCGAAGAAAGAAAGCCCTGTTTGCCGAGGCTCTTGAAATGCGTGCGCTACGGTTTGATGAGCTACCCGTTCTTCACGAACAGCGTTCTCGCGTGGAGGCTCGTCGAGGAGGATGAAGTGAGTGCTCGGTTATCTTGAAAAGTCGGAACAAAAAGGACTGCCTCCATCGTCGCATCGTACAAATATCTCATACTTTAAAACTCTCATCGATATTTCTCTCGTTATTTCTATTATTCGTGCATCGTTGTTTCTATTTATTTCATTTAATAATCAATCCACGAGGAGGAATTCATTGGACCCCCCTCAATTAACTCACGGTTCTTCTCACCGATCTTTCCACAGCTCTGCCAGGAAGTAGTCGTCCACGCAAACGCGTACTTGAGCGAGCAGGATGCGAAGCAGGGCGAGATCGATCTGAAGAACCCTCTGTCGAGGCCACGGATCCCCTACGAGATCCTGTTCACGGTGGGCGGCTGGAGCGCCGGTTCCCCGACGAACTTCATGGAGACGTACGACACAAGGTGATCGAACAATGTTCCCCCGTCGCAAAGTTTACCCCGCGTTGAAATCGGGCATATTGCGATCTTATTGCGAGCCAAGATTCACCGGGATCGTGTGTAATGTGAACTCCAGAGCTGACAGATGGTTTCTATCAGTGAACACGGACGCCACGCCGAGGTCGTACCACGGACTCTGCGCCCTCGACAATCTCATCTACATGATCGGCGGCTTCGACGGCAACCAGCACTTCAACACGGTCAGATGCTTCGACCCCATCGCCAAGGAGTGGCACGAACGGGCGTGCATGTACCACTCCAGGTGCTACGTCAGCGTTTGCACCCACGGTGAGACACTTCGGGGTCATTTATCCTACTCATTACCTTCTCTACTAGTCATAATACCTCGTCTTCTAGGCATAATACCTCGCCCACTAGTCATAATCCCTGGCTCCTTGGTCATAACACCTCGTCTTCTAGCCATAAAATCTTACCCCATAGTCATTGCACCTCGCCTCCTAGTCATACACCATGCCCACTAGTCATAATACAACGCCCACTAGTCATAATACCTCGCCCACTAGTCATAATCCCTGGCCCCTTGGTCATAACACCTCGCCTTCTTGCCATAAAATCTTACCCCATAGTCATTGCACCTTGCCTCCTAGTCATACACCATGCCCACTAGTCACAATACCTCGCCTACTAGCCATAATACCTTGTCCCCTAGTCATAACACCTCGCCTTCTAGTCATAAATCTTACCTCATAGTCATTGCACCTCACCTCCTACTCATAACAACTCACCCTCCTAATCATAACGCCTCCTAGTCATAACCTCACTGTCCTACTCATAGCCTAGCGGGGGAAGTAGTTGCTCCACTCTCTTTTCGCAATTTATGGCGGCTTATTGAATGGAAGAAGCTTGCAAAAGATATCAAAATAAAAGAAATCGAAACGATCCCCTCTCGTTTCGTTCCACCCCTGCTAGGGGTCCCCTTCAATAGTCGCTCGAGGAGTGTTTATATACGAATAGGAGGCCCGGTGTAACGCTTGCGAGAGAGTTAAGAGCATAGCCCTCTGGCGGCGAGCGCGGGTAACGTCACCACAATCGGTACCGCGTAAATCAGATTCCGTGTACGGGAAGTTCAGGACTTTGTAGAAATAATCAATAATTCTAGTTTTCTGGTACACGAGATCATCTTGCTCCAAAGCAGCGATACGGAAATTTAACGGAGAAAGTATCGTCGTAATGAAAGTCTGACGTTATGAGTCGCGTCGTTCGTTTGAAACGTGATCGGTTTGCAATTAGGTGGGAAGGTTTACGCTCTCGGCGGTTACAACGGCCACACAAGAATGAGCTCCGGGGAACGTTACGAGCCGCAGAGGAATCAATGGGAGATGATACCGTCGATGCATCTGCAGAGGTCAGACGCCAGCGCGGCCGCGCTGCACGATAAGATTTATATCGTCGGCGGTTTCAACGGCCGGGAAGTTCTGAATTCCGCCGAGGTCTTTGACGTGGAGACCAATCAGTGGAGTTACATTCATTCGATGAACAATCCGCGATCCGGGATGTGTCTGGTCGCATTCCGCGACAGCCTCTACGCTCTGGGTGGCTTCGACGGTTTCACCAGACTCAGTTCCGGTAATTAATTCGATCACGTTACGCGACAGAGCTCGAGCATCTTCCGCCACGGGAACTGGTTATGCATTTTCTTGAAAAGCAACCGATTTATTCAGAGAAAGAGAACATAGAGTATATCAACAATGCATAGAATTAACGGTTATTCAAAGTCAATATAATGGGAATAAATCAGTATAAACTTGAATGGAAATGTCTTTCAATAAAATAGTGAACAATTTCTTAAATTGGAATAATATTATCGCTTTCTAGAATCAAGAGAACACGTATTAATATAAATAGTAATATATTTGACTTGACTCATCACAGAGTAACTACCATCCTATGATTTCGATTAAAATTTTTACGCGTACAAGGATTTTGCTCGACTCTGTTCGATGTATATACGTTTCGTGCAGAAGCATCCATCGTTAAGGACTGTTCTGCCGTGTAGAATTTAACGTCTCGTTACAATATCGATCTTCCGTTCACGCAGGGGAACGGTACAATCCGAATCATTCCCAGGACTGGCACGCGGTTCCAGAAATGTTCAGCCCCAGGAGCAATTTTGCCACGGCCATCTTGGACGACATGATTTTCGTCGTTGGCGGTTTCAACGGTAAACTATTCGATCACGCGTCGATAAAAATATCAACCTTGCAAACTATCGTTTTTGAAAAATTATTAACTCGAAATATTAGAAAGCTAATTGAAAAGATTTTCACGCATAAATTCCTTTGATGATCAATGTCAAGTGTTTCCTATCAACGATTTAGTAATTTTTAAAGCCTCCCTTTACCGGAAGGAAACATATTTACGCGTACGAAAGAAATTAAAATTGATGGAGCAATTTAGCGTCAGAATCTGATTAAATGGCGCGTGGTGGATGAAAACGGTAAACTATTCGATCACGCGTCGATAAAAATATCAACCTTGCAAACTATCGTTTCTCAAAAATTATTAATTCGAAATATTAGAAAGCTAATTGAAAAGATTTTCACGCATAAATTCCTTCGGTGATCGATATCAAGTGTTTCCTATCAACGATTTAGTAATTTTTAAAGCCTCCCTTTACCGGAAGGAAACATATTTACGCGTACGAAAGAAATTAAAATTGATGGAGCAATTTAGCGCCAGAATCTGATTAAATGGCGCGTGGTGTATGAAAATGATTAGGTTCCACGACGGTCGCGTACGCAGAATGCTACGATGCAGACAGCAACGAGTGGTACGATGCATCGCCGATGAATCTCAGTCGAAGTGCACTGAGTGCATGCGTTATAGCGGGTCTGGCCAATGCACGAGAATACTCTTATCAGGGCAAAGCTCGAGATCTCGGTCAAGGTAACGCTATCAATATGGAAATACATCGAAAATACGTGAATTACGATCGAAAGGGGGAACGATTCTACGCGAAAAATGTGCGATGAAATTTTCTCAGAACAAGCATCGTCCGAGAATCAGGAGAAAACGAACCAAGGGGGCGAGGGGGCGGCAGAAACGAACGACATTTCCGTCGAGGATGAAGAAACGGTGAACTTCGAGGACCACGATCAAGGGGAAAGCGACATGAATGAGATGGCCGAGAGCGTTGGCAATTTTTAAGGATAATTCTGCGATTAGATAGTCTAGAATTACAAGAGTTACAAAAATTTGTTTCGCGATTAATGGCGGAGGCACGAAAGCTCCGGTATCTGTGCATCGCCACGAGACGAAATTCTTTATTATTTAAAATTAAAGTCTTGATATTACAAATTTTGAATCACGCGATCGGTGCAAGATACGGGAGGCGTTCGTGGGCGAACGAAAATATATTGTGAAAACGTAGTAACTTAAGGAGGGGAAGAAAATCATTAGAATTTTTTTTTTTTTGTAATACGTTTTGGGAAAATGTTGTCGCGTGAATCGCAGATTTTAATCGTAGATCGAGTCTTTCAATTTTTAGCCAAATCGCTGTTTTGTAAGGGGTATTATTTTTCTGTTGAATTATTTATTTATTCCTATTTTTTGTGTTTTTTTTTTATATGACACTCTCCGTGAAATTTACAAGCGACGGGAAACGCGAGGCTTTCCAACGATTTTATCCATTAACGTTTTAGCGACTGATTCACGCATTTTAAACGTATCTTCGAATAATTTTTACATGTTCAGATTTCTTTTTTCGATGCACGAAAACCATAGATACACCTGCTCCACGAGGCATACGAGAATCGTTGCATTATTTTAATCGATTTTTATCGAACGACGCAAATTGTTATTATTTTTACCGCAAATATTTACCCTCGTCCTTGCACGTGTATCTTGATATCCCGATGTGCCTTGGTCTGTTATTTTAAACAAATAAAAGTATATCCATTACGAAGTTATTCTTGTCATTGGTCAAATTGAATAAATTCAGATCGATCTGATTGGTCGGGTGGACAGTGAAAAATCGTAAAATTGTTCGCTGGTACAGAGTAAAGTTTATTTTAATAACTTTTATAAAAAATTATTCCTATATACTTATTTATATTAACAGCAAATACAAATAATATCGTTTCAATGATTTTAAACTTTTCGGAACAATAATCTCACCCTATTTCAGTGTCAAATGAGTAATTCAATCGAAACAATTTTTAATTTGTGCATCGTTTAATCAATCATCGTTAATATTATTGATTTATATAAATTTTAACGCTCCTCCAACCTATCGTATTATTTATATAATTACATCGTTATTATTAATAATATATATTGAACTATAATAGTTTAAATGTTAAACGATGTACGCGTAATTTCGATAGAAACAAAATGGGGGAAATCAATATCCATCGTAGTAATTATTTACAGAAGTTTTCCACTAACGATTATTTTTTTTCGTTTTTTTTTTTAATCTCGGAGTGATCTCGCTTGAAAGATTTATTATTGATAAACGAAAATTGCGTTCTTTATCGTAGTACGGATAACGACAATCAGAAGTTCTTCTACTATCGCGAGCTATAAATTAGAAACATGATTCTCGGGCACGAGGTGCCTAGCGATCGTTATTACAATTACAACGCTATTAAAAGTAAAAAACCTTGCGTCTACACGTTCGCTTCGCGAAGCGACAATTGAAGCTCGTTGAGGTAAAATTCTCTCATCGTATCAACGGTAACAATAACAATACCAGACAGTTTTCTTTTTTTTTTATTAATCTATCTCGTTTATGTATACGTAGATTTATTCCACTTGTCATATGTATCCATATATCATTTATAGTGTATACATTATTGTTACTTCATCGACGTTTGCGCGTGCAACTAGAAACGTTCTCCTCCAAACGCCCAACCCTCTTGCTCCGTTTCGCTTTTCGTTACTAAACGACACCGAGAAACCATATATCAGAGACGAATACAAATCAGATCGAATCGGTGCACAGTAATTTTCCAAAAGTCCAAAACGAGACGATTCGTGGTGTATAATATATAATAGCAACAGCGACGAAACGTTAGCAATGTCGCTCGAGTCCGACTGCATAGCTCCGGCGTGAAATTTTACGGTCTGAATTCGATTGCAAGAAGAAGGAAGGCCAGTAATACCAGAAAATTGTGCTTCGATAGAATCTATTGACAATAACGCGATACAAAATCGTCTCGATGGCGATTACGAGCGGAAATTAAAATAAAAACGCGCTCCCTCGATCGCGGGGGTTGTTCCATCTCCTCCGGTTTCGTCCTCGTTGAATCCTCGCCGCCATTTTGTGCCGGATCCGCGACGAGCCTCTTCGTATCGATCGACGACGCGTTTCCGGTAAACGTGGGAATCGTCCCTCCGCTTCCGGGCTGCTGAAAACGACACGAGCCCGTCGATGGTCGCAGAATATTATAAACGCGTTACAAAAAACGATTGAGTGGCTTAGAATCGAAAGAGAAGCAAGTTCGACCGTTCTGCTTTCATGCAGAAGCTACGATTTCGTGGTTCGTCGAAGGGTCAAAGTGGTATTACGAGGATCACGTTAGTTTAGTCGTTTGGGAAAATGTTGAAATGAATTTTCCAATATCTCGATTAACCCGGAGAACTTAATTAGCAAACTACGAACTTTGGCCGATATCGATTAGAAACTCTACCGATAGTAACATTTATCGAGGGTCTTAATTGAGATCTTAATTGGCGTACAAATGATAAGATAAATATCAACCAGAGGGTGCATCGATAAGTTCATCGGAGGGTCTATTGTAAGTATATAAATCAGACTATAAGAGACTTAAAACGTTCCGACGGGGTAAATCGATTAGCTGCTTTCAGAAATGATCCTGTAAATGTTGATATGTTTATAGAACTGCCACCAGTTCTTCGTTTCGTGGAAAACAAAATTGTGAATTTTTGATAAATATAAAGGAAGCATTGGAGTTTGACCAAGAGCTTAATTAAAGAGCAACCGACGAGTTTAGACGGATACAGGATGCACCAGTGCACTGAAAACACAAACGTGTAGCTTTCCCAAGTATTCCACGCCTATGTATAAAAAAAACGAGGATACCGGGACTACGATTAAAATTTGGTGCTACAACGAACCAAAGGTTCAGTATTTCTCCACGCGTTTGCAATAATATTACAAAAGTCTAATCGACTATTAGTAACCATTTATTTCTGAAGACAACTCTCGCATTAATCAATAAATAATACAATAACATGTCCACGGTCGCCGCGTTCCGGCGACTTCGATGTACGAAATGAAAGATAAGTTCGTAAAAGAACGGTCGTGTTGAACGAGCCTTTCGATATTTCAGTCCGTCCGTTCGCGGACCCGTTTCGCTTCGTTTCTAAACCACACGATTGTTCGACGATTAAAATGATCGACAGATCCGTAAAAGCGAAAAAATGAACCGGAAACGACGCGACCACACGGTCGAACGAGAAAAGTTCCGAGGACTTTTGTGCTTCGCAGCTTCATCAGGCTGGCAAAGTCGCGTGCCTGATTATGGTCCTCGCGAGACTGTACTCGCGATAGATTATGTACCGGGTGTTCCGTCACCGGATGCGCGAAAGTTCGCGCGTGCGTGTGTCTCGCGATTTTTTTTTCTTTTTTTTACGGTGTAAAGGCGTACACGCGTGTACATTTTTTGTATACAATTGCGCGGTTAAACGCATACATTGGGCGCAATGGGTTCACACTTAACGATATTGTGCGGAGAATCGCTGTACGAACGGTGCAATTTTCCCTACTGTGTGGCAAAGTAATGATCGCGAACGAAAGGATGTCGCGCGGAATGATTCGAACGCGTTCCACCTGGCGGGAGTTTCGAATCGTTTTCAACACGGCGTCGAGCAACGTTTAACAAAATAGAATTCATCTGGTGAACATTTTCCTAGGGAAACGGTAACGCTGGTATCAAGAAAAAAGGCTAGAGACCTAGATTTCGATTTAAATCTTTTGGGGATTATTACGATACTGATAATCGAACTCGAACGCCAGGTCGAACGACGCGAACGAAATACACGCTCCTCTCGCGGAGAAACGGATCGAATGGCTTTAACAAGAAACTGTACGCGTTACTCTCGCGAAAACTACTACATCGAACATCAAAATTGCCATGCATCGTACCGCGAATCTTAACTGTCGACGTTTTCGTCTCTCCCCCTCATCCGTTACCGGGAATCGAGAAATCATAATTACGCACGTCCTTTCTCTCTCCCACTCTTTCGATGATATTTCACGATCGGCGATCGTCGGACGCGGCCGTCCCCGAGTCGCCACGATTACGATTAATGTATAACTTTGTTTCATTATTTAGATTGTTCTGAGCAATTGAGATCTAGTATTGGAGGGATTTCATATACCTGAAATGGTAGTCACTTGTGTTCGTTTTCGGATCTCCTTCTCCCCACTATATTTCTCGGTTCTCCTCCTCGTTGCTCCAGTTCGTCTATTATGCACCGTTGCCCTAACATCCACCACTCGAACTCGACCGTCGATCGCATAATCCTTTATGCCTGATCGTCCGCGCGTCACGACTTCGCCTCTACTTTCACTTGTCTTTCCGCACTTGCCATTCTTTTCTTTTTATTTTTATTTTTTTTTTTGCTTTTAAATTAGAATACTCTCTCTCTCTCTCTCTCTCTCTCTCTCTCTCTCTCTCTCATTACGCGTCTCATCCATGCTCCTCACACCGCACGCACTCATACTTATCTGAGAGTAACAATTGACATACGTTTTTGTAACTTTCCTAGCGTCCGGGCAAACCGTTGCCCGGACCCTAGACGCTTTTTCGACGTCCCTGTTTTCTCGATTTAAAAAAAAAAAGAAAAGAAAGAAAAAGAAAATACAAACAGAAAAAGACACGAGTTCGTTTCGCGTTTATACGGTTTTCCGAAACGGACTCTCAAAGACGATCCAACGCGTTGGCGATCTGCTCGTCCAGCCCCGGGCTTTCGCGATAGGCCGAAAACTCGATACATGATTTCGTCGAGACAGCTGCGAAGTGTGGCTCGATCACGTCGGGGATCATTAAAAAATATCTCGTTCGAACTGGTTATCAAGCTACGACTTACAGAGCGAATTATTGCTACTATTTCCCCCAAATTTTGTTTCGTTCGTCTTTTCTTCCGTTCGGGACTATTACGGATACGATTCAAACAAAAGTGTCTCGCACTTATACCATTAGTCATTCGGTATGTTCGAAACGTAATATATAAACATTCGTAACTTATTGCCTATAAGATTGTTTGTTCGAACCGGATCGTAAACGTTCCTTCTCAAACGCTAGATTTACGGGCATCCATCGTGTCCCTATTCCTATTGAAATCTGTCGTACCTATAGGTACATTAAAATACGTACGTAGGATATGTATTCATTACGTTAATGGAATTTAAAATTGCTAAAAAATAATACGATTTCTGTAATTTGAAGAAGTCTGAAATCCAACGAATTCCGTAAACCTAGCGTCAGCGGCCATCTTGAACCATCTTGAAACTCACCCTTCCGATAAAACAAAAATCAATCACGAACGTGACAGTTTCGCTGTAATAAATTTCTGAAGAAACTTCGCGTCTACAACCCCCAAACTCCGTCCGACAGCATCGAGCCACCCCCTCACGCTGTCGAACGACCCCTTCCGGTTCCATCTTTCGAAGAGAAGCACGGACACGAGCCGCGAGTAGGCCCAGTTTGACAGGCGTAGGTCCATTTGGTTTCGATCGCGCGATGGTTCGATGAATGGTCGATGATTATGCGAGACGCGCGCTGGTTTCCCGGGGCTGGCGATCTCGGCGCCCAAAACCGATCGACGTTTACCGAAGTTCGTCTATCGTGTCCCGTGCAGAAGCTGCCTCGCTTCCGGTTCGCGCAACCGGGCGAAACAGGATCCCGCTCACGCTCGTCGCGGGAAGAAGAACGAGCAATTAACCCTAACGCGATCGTAGACGTCACGGAGAATTTACGAGGATCCTCTTCTATCACGCTATTACGCAACGTCCCTAACTGGCTTCTGCCTAGTCGCTAGGCTGTCCGTTCCTTATCTGAAATACTTCAGGCCCGCCACTAGCAGGAACTTCTCGATGAAGAGCTCGGAATCGAGGACGGCGATGTGCGCGGCTCGGCCGATCAGGGCGTTCGCCGTCGCTGGGAGCGCGTGGTGCACGTCGTACCTGACCAGGCTCACCCCGCTGGTGGACATCACCGGGTACAGGATGTTGTGCACCATCTCGCGATACGCTGCCCCTGGAACCCATTTTCCTAAATGTAATATCGGTACATGTAACCCTGCTTGCAATGAAACGTGAAAAATACTGGTGCAGAGATGAGAGGTCAGATCCTCTCTATAGATCTAGGAAGGTGGAAGTATATTAGCCTTTTGAGCGCTGAAATTTCATTGCAAAATACGTTGATCGTGACTTAAATTGAGTAGTGATCGCAACAAGCAGTAAATGGTTGTATGAGAACCCATATATGCGTTTGTGGGGTCCATCGCCTCCTGTACATGCCACCAGAGGGCTACGCTCTTAAGTCTCTCGCAAGCGCTCGACCGATCTTCTTCTTTCCTTTCCCATCTCTTCCACATGACCCCACACGATCACAGCTCGTAGTGAACAATTTTCCCGAAAGCATATATGTGTCCATAGCGCTCAAAAGGTTAGTAATCGCTCTACAATTAAATAGCGGCTCACATTCTTCTGGATCAACAGGGAAACCATACCCAAGAAAGGCACACAGGCTCTAGATTAACGCTTGGAAACCTCATCCTCCACATCTTCTCAGGACGCCAACGCATTCCTGACCTGATCATCGTTTTGAATTACCTTGATCGGTCGTATCCCGTACGGCAGCCTTGCAGAGCTCGATCCGCGCGGAATGGAGCGGCACGTAACGATCCTGGGCGCTGCCGCACAGAAGAACGTGCTTGAACTTCTCGAGATTGCTCTTCTGACTGAGGCGGAACATGAAGGACCGCCTGACGTCCGACGCGTCCTTCATGGCCAACTGCAGCAACGAGCCGGACTTCTTCAATTTCTGCATGAACCACATACCTAGAGAAAATAATTTAAGATAGATCAAGAAGTTCACGATGGATGGATCCATTTCTCTTTGAAGGTCCCTCTGTTGTACCTGCGTTAACCAATCCGCTGGTGTTGTAGAGTGTGCCCAGATGTGGTCCGCTCAGGCTGAGAAACGTGTGCAAACGCGGCAGAAGTGGGCGCAATTCGGGCCTGGTCAGAGCACTCCGTATGATGATGGTCCCTAAAGAGTGTCCGATAAAGCTCACCTTCGTCGGGTTCAGGCCCGAGGTCACGGTATGGTGGAGAATTTCGCATACCAGACGGTCGGTCATCCTGTCGAAGTCCGAGAAAGTGTCACCCTGTTCAACAAATACGAAACACACGTTATGTAAATGTCCAGTGCACCGTTTACGTGGTTGTCCGAGCGCCTCTCACCTGATTCCTCTCGGACATTAAAAAATCTAGATGGGCCCCAGGAAGACTGAGCTCCAAGTAAGTCTTGATGAGACGTAGGTCGGCGGGGTTGCCATCGAGACCGTGGACACAGATGATCAAGTGCGCCCCTTCCGGCGAGAGTAGCCGGTACTCGTTACTGATGTGGAAGTACGGCATGGTCGAGGCCAGAGTTGGATAGTCACTAAGAGGCACATTGGATCTTAGGGGTTTAACCGACGACGGGGTCAGAAGGTCACCGTATCCAAGGGAATGGGCACGTTTATGGAAACGCATCTGCGCTTCCTTGCGTTCTCTAGAGAGGATAAGGTAGAGAAAGAGAACAAACTTAACTACGAAACGTAAAAACAGAGACGATAACCAAACTGCAAATGCCGGGACTGTCAGAAGGGAACATAGATAGAGAGAAAAAAAAGAAAAAGAAACGAAAGAGTTACTACCATTCGAGGGCTGACGGAATCTTCCCGATGAAAACGATAGGTGTCAGACAACAAAGGAGCTAACCGAGAATTCAGGAGTAGTGTCGCCATATGCAAATTAGGCCGCACCTGTAGATCTTTCCGGAGAAGCTCATCTGTCGCTTGAACTCGTCCTTGCACTTCTTGAAGTTGATCGAGTCGTCCTGGGTCGATTGCAACAATTCCTTGCCCTCTTGGTAGCAGTCCAGGCAGATGTCCCTGCCCCCGTACGCGGTCTCCCTGTCCCTGTCTCTGACTCTGTTCTTCTGGGGGCTGCACGGAGCTGTTTTCGTTTGCTTCGGGCTCCTCAGCGGCTTCACCGTCTCGTAAACGTGATACAGAGGGTTATCGATGACCGGTGGAGGATCGCGGAACTCTTCCGGCGGCGGTGGCTCGTCCTGAAACATCTTCGGCGGCGGTAACCGGACCTCCTCGTACGAGTGTTCCTCCACGTTCTCCTTGGCGGGTGGTCGATCCTTCCTGGGTACTATTTTTGAGAGCTTCTGACGCAGTTGCTCGCTGGAGAGCTTCGCGTTACGACGTTGCTCCGAGCTAGATGTGTCACCGCTGCTTACCCAGCCGGAACACTCGGACGTCAGGTTGCTCGAGCTGGAGCTGGTGGTCGGGCTGCTGGGTCTGCTGGACGGCGGGCTGTTCGGGTTTGGAATGACGGGAAGATTGTTGCTAAGGCTGTCCTTGCTGTCGCGTATCGGCATGCAAGGCAAAGACACCGCGCTCCGTGGCACCACGACCTTGTTCTGCGCCACCGGCACGCTGGCGCATCTCAGTCTTTTTGTGTTGGGCGGCGGTCCACCGGTGCTGGACGTGTCGGACGGCGTGGTGCCGTTGGTCGCTGGCGCTTCTGCGGGGGACTTGACGGGCTCGATCTACAAATTAAACATCTCATGACACGCCTCACAGACTTTAAGGACTGATAAGCCTGAGATACCAAGTCCCTGGTCATACCAATGCCAGCCTAGTAACTCGAACGATACCTTAAGAATAATTTTATTGTTGTTCTCCACCTCCAGGACACTAGTAGTGGGTGCCGGAGGCGGATGGCGGTACTTTGGGAGCGGCGCGACTGCCGGGTCTTGGTAGGCGAGCGGCGGTGGAGCAGGCTTTCTGGTTCTGTGATTGCACTTCCTGCCCTCGTCGACTGGATGCTCCACGTCCAAAACTGGCGCGGAGTGCGGCCTCCTTCCGTGTCTGTCCTTCCTCCTCTCCGTCCGTTGCTCCTTCTTCGGCTCCGACATCGCGTGCATCACCTTGTAGAAGACCTCGTTGGCCAGCTCGGTTTTGTCATCCGTTGGCTGGCGTCTGTGCTTGTCGTCGATGTAGCACGGCGACACTCCGTTGCGCGGCGACTTGGCACCTGGCCTCTCGTCCCTCCTCCTGGTCCTCTCTCTGCGGAAGTCGGTGTACTCGGTACGATTCACCTCGTCCACCAGTCTCTCGGTGCTCTTGGGTCGTCTGGGCCTCTCCGGGTGCTCAGAGTGCGTCCGTCCGCTGGTGCCGTTCGTGCGGTAGAAGAACGAGTCGGTAGTCGTTGGAGAGTAATTGGATCGTTTGTACAGAGGATCCACCATCAACGAGTGGCTGTTGGGCAGACCGCCACCGTTCATCGACTCCTGGATCTCGCGGTTCCGGTGATTCTGTCCCAACCCGGTCTTCCCGATCGTGTGGAACCTGCGCGACTCGATCCCGTTCGTTTGGCTGTATTTGCCGGCGGTCTGGTGGCTCTGCTTCCTCGAGTTGCCCCGGTACGTGACCCTATCGAGGGTGGCCGTGTGCAGGGGTTGCTCCTGCGGGAACCCGTCGCCGTTGATGCTCGTCTTCCCGGGCAGGAAGCTGTTCTGATCGTTGGCGTTCGTCGAGAGCTGCTGGCGGGCCGCTAGCCGCTGGCTCCGCGGCTCCAAACGGATCCTTCTCGTGTCCAACGAGTGATAATCTGGAAGGAGAAATTCTTCGATGCACTAGGTGCAGCGATTCCTCGATAAGAGCTCGCCCCCTACCTTCGGTGACGTTTGCAGTCTTGTTCTCCGTCCAGCAGTCGGTGATGGGACCAAGGTCCATCCCTCCCACGCACGTGGGCACGGTCAGTGTCTGCTCGCAGGATTTGCTGGACGGCCGGTAGCCCGGCAGCTGCCCATCCGGTGGTAGTTCCGGGAACATGGCGGCCAGAAGCGACGTGATGGAGGTGATCTGTGGGTCTGATTGCTGATGACGATTCAGCACCAGCATCTGCGTGGATTTCGCGCGCGGCAAAGGGACCACAGGCGTCGAGCCCAGCGACGGGTTCGGTGCTGAGCACGCTTGCTGCTCCGAGGGCGGGAACAGAGTGTTGCTGGATGGCGTTGCCGATCTTTGGCGCCCTCTCGAGGGGACCGTCGCTGGGGGTGTGGCGTTTCGAGCACCACCTCTCTGCCGAGGGAACAGCTGCGTTGACACGGATCTGGGAAGCGTCTTTGGCGACGTCCGCGGCTGCACCGGCGCGATCTCCGGACCCAACTGGTCCAAGGATTTGCTGTGCCTGGCGGGCAGCGTGGATGGAGTCAACGTTAGACGGCCCTGGACCGACGCGATGTCCTGGGCCGCCCCCTCGCTCCTGGGCGACCATATTCCCATCGATCGAGACTCCAGGATCGCCGCGAAACCGCAGCTACAATCGTCCATTCCGGGAACTGGAAGAGATTTACGCGAAACTTCCTTCGAGTAATGTTAACACATTGACCCAGTATCTCGACGTCCAAGGCATGGTCTGGGACGGTAAAATAATTTATAATTTATGGCGCTCACCGCTGTTTCTGTGTCTTTGTTTCATGTCGACATATTGATCCTCGAAGATCAACGGGAGCGAGTGAAGATCTCCGTCCAGTTCCGGACAGTGCACAGGCAGAGGAGGCAACGACGCCAAGTATCGCGATCTCCTGGCGGCCTCGCTCACCGCCTGATATGATTGATAATTCGCGTCGTAGCAGCCCCACGCCGACGTCCTGGGATTCTCCAGCACGAAGAAACCCTCTGCGAAACGTTTCACCTAAAACGATACTCTGTGTTCAGACAATCGGAGACTAGCATACCCACGATTTCTCATAGAATTTATTCTTCCAGGCTCATTAAAATTTAACACTCCTATCTGGATCTTGAGAATTCATTTTATTTAGCTTCGTAACAGAAATTGTTTAAAGAGTCTAAATGGTGCAAGAAAATGGATTTGTACCCTCAGTTGGTGATGAATTCTAGCGAGATGCTGATGAACGGTTTCGCGTCCGGAGAACGCTTCCAAAAAGTGTTGCCAAAGAACAATGTTTTGTGCGCAAAGTTGAGCGATATCCGTTTCCTCCGTGTCCATCATCTGCAATAGACAGACTCGTTAGAGAGGCTGAAAATCTGAAAAGCAGTTAACGATCTCTAGTATCGCGTACCTTGATCATTTCTTTGTGCGTGTTCTGAAAGAACTCAAGCACCCTTTGCTGGCAAGATGGCAGGAGCCGCGCCAGATCAGCTAAATCGTTGAGCAATGATTCCCTCGCGGCCAAAAGTAACCTGATCACTTCCTGTTGAACCAGCTTCGCGTGCTGTATCTTCGTGGCGGATCCGACGCATCGCGTCGTGGTCTCCTGCAACGAGTCGTTCGAATCGACAATTTTCGCGATCCGATCGATTAAAACCATTTAACGACTCGGACATGAACTCACGATATTTCCTAATGCGGCATTGTTGTCCCCGTTCGCCGTCGATTGTTTAAATTGCAGCCACGGCTTCCCTCCGCGCGGAGCACTGCGGGCATATTACTCGTTCGATTATCAACTCGCGATTTTAATGGAAACATAATCGACCACCGTAGACTTTCCAAATTGCCGTAACAATTACGTACAACTTCGACTGAAATTTAATGGAGAGCCCCTCTACTGTGTTTCGCGCCAATAGAAAATGATTCAAACGGAAGAGAAACTGTTAAAAACTCGATTCCATTTAAGTCGATGTCCTCTTAATAATGTTTGACAAAACCCCATTCTGTCGAGTAACAGTCTATTTCCTTGGACTTACCAGCTCTGCACGTAATGAAGTATGCTTTTCCTGCAAGCAGCGAGGAAACGACGTCGTGCCATGGAAAGTGAAAAGAATGATTTCCATCAGTGACGATACAATGTCCCTAGGAGCTATTAACCCTTTCGGTGCTGAGGCTCGAACACTGGTCTTTGATACTCCTTTAATACCACTGATTATAATACAATTCGAAGACCATAAACGAGGTTCAATTACTAAAAATTTCATTAAAAGATTTGGAATTGAACTGTAGTCCGTGTGCGAGACTTCAATAGTCCTATTTATTTAGTATACGGAGTATAAGCGCTGTTGTGAATTGCCAACAGCATCGAAAGGGTTGGGGTAAAAGAAATAAGTTGATACCAACTTGATGTAGGGCTGATGAAGGGCTACCAGGCAGGCGTGGATCGTGATGGACACGGCGGCGAGATGAAAGTAGTCGAAGAGCACCGGCAGGTGATAGTGAAGCCCTTTCGTGGGCGCAAAATTCAGTTGCAACGCCCTGCAAAAGCAAAAGGCAGAACGTAGATAGCGAAACGTTCCACGTGGAACGCCACGAGGCCAAGGTTATCGATCTATTAGGTCCGTGGGAAAGTTCGGCGCCTTCGAGGAAAATTTTGTTAAGAATATAAGATTATACATTCCCCCCCTGAAAGAACCCGGGAAGCTCGCGATTTATAAGGAAGTTGGCTTCGCTGGTTGTAACTGATACCTGATATCGAATCGTAGGGCTTTAGAGTCATTTTATTCCGTTCCTCGTACAACTTTGCAGCGTCCACGGTGCCTCGAAAAATGGCTGACGATTCGTGATATACTCGAGTAGTTAAATTTTCGCGTTTGAGGTAAAATATCCGGCGCTGTAATTTTTATTTTTATTTACCGGGCGAGGAGCAAACGTTTGTTGGGATACAAATTTTGTACGTGTTTGTTTTTTATCTTGGTGTAATTAAATGCACGCTTATTAATAAACAACGTTGAAATGGGGCACCTGGGACCCACGAGTGCGCTGCAATTTGCGCGTATAAATTAGGGTACTAATTAAATGGGAACGTCTATGCGAGCGTTGTTTACGGATATGTGGGGAAAAAAGCTGTTCAGGGGAAAGTTAAACCGTTCGAAAGGGCGGGCATGGCAACGGGGAAAACATTTTTCCCCAAGGACATACTTTTTTTACGTTTCGAGGTTATCGATGTTTTTCAAATGTAGCCACACGCGTTCTCTTTTTTTAACCGGATCGATGCTCGTTATTCTACGTATGAAAGTATTGCTGGGAATTGTTCGAGAAATACGTTTTTAAGGGATAGATAAGTTTCTGGTATCGGTAGGCGATAAATTATAATTTTGATGATCGTTGGGAAGGGCAGGTCGCAAGAGTGCCTCGTTGAGTCGAGTGCATCCGGGAGTTAGGTCTTTTTCACTACTATCTTTGGATCTTTTTCAATACCGGTCGCTAATTACGTAGATTCGGTCAGCCGCGCTCCGACCGTCTATAATTTTTTTACACTGACCGGCGGAGTTTCGATATGGGTCAATCACCATACTCTGAATAAGCAGTTCATGCCAGAGTTCATACCGTGCTGATATAATTGCCACTGCATCATCAGCATCGAACGATTCAACAACCCCTTTAGTATCTTTCGAATAATGCGGAGGCAAAGTACTGCTCGAACTACGTTCCTAATATTATAAAAATCATAGAAAAGAGTTTCGACCATAGGAATCCACGCACAGTTACGAACAATTTTTTAACAAATTATAACGATCACTCATAGAATATTTGAGATCGAGAGTGGGGTTAGACTGGTATCTTTCATATTTAAGTAACGAAGGAGTAATATTGTCTATTTGAAACAAAATTTTCATTTTTTTTAAAAAATATATTTCATTTGGACCACACGGTATGGGGGTTGGTCCCTCGATATTACCAATTTTTCAAAGTCAGTAACGTAAGTTTTTCATTCTGAAGCTTGCAAGTGTGCTCGCCACCAGAGTGAGAGATCGACCACCAATTCCTATACATATATACACTCCTCAACTGACCATTGAACATCCCTTCATCTAAGGCAGAGTCAGCTAGGATGCTTTACTGACGAAACGCCCTCCTCCCCTTTCCTTTTCCACCTCATCGAGAGGACCCCACACAAGTCATCGACCTCTACGCAAATACGGGGTAAAAATCGGTCGTTCCAAAATCATCGAACCGTTTCAACGCCCGTGATAGGTTGCACGAAGCGATCAGAACTCTCCCACGGACCTCGCGTGACGCTGTGCGGATCATCGAAACCGCAATATCTCTGGTATCGTGGAAGCCCAGCCATCCGGCGGACGAAGACGCTCACCTAGACGAGACGCAGGCCATGTTCTCAGGCTGCGTCGGCTCGCTGAACCATAACTCGACGCCGAGATTGAAGTGGGTGCGGGAGAGCACCTCCTCGATCTTGTGACTGTGCACGAGCACGTGCGCCCGGAATAGGACCGAGGTGCCGAGTGTCACCTCCTCATTTCTGTAGAGGATCTGAAAGCGCTTGCTCGTCCCGGGCGCCTCCAACGAGTCTGGAACAATGGACTCGGGTTCGCGTCTTCTGGATTTCGGTGCTTCATAAGCGCAAGAGGAGAGGGCTGCCGGGGGAAACCGGGGAAAAGTGGTACGTGGGTTTGCGTCTGATTTGAGTGGAAGCCTGATGCTCGTCTGGTTGGATAACTCCTTGGGCTGGGATACATCAAACACCACCGTCTCGAGGGCGCGCGAGGATCGCGAAATCTCTGACGAGTTCCAGAGACGGTTACGCCGACGCGAATTGGGATAATTCCTTCCTCCGAAAATCTTGTTCGGAACAAGGCAGGATCCGTGGTCGAAAGTTGCGTTGGGAACAGAGAGTTTCAATACGTACGAGTTTTTTATTTACATCCGAGATGTGCTCTGCTAAATTGTATCTGAACGAGATCAACAGAAATACTAGGAACATGGGCGGTATTGAATACGTATATCCTTCAAAAATAGACTCTTATCTACCGTCTAATATATTATTTTTGATTTTGAAATGGCGCCTAAGAACACCCCTAATGAGTCGACAATGTTCCCACGCAGAAATCTCGTAAGAACCGAGATTCTTTGATTTTAAGATCCATATACAGCAATTTTAGAATCTCTAATGAGTCAACAACGTTTCCACACGGAAATCTCGCAAAATCTCGTAAGAACCGAGATTCTCGGATGTATCGAAGTCTCGGGAACTCGTTCGAAAATGCGAAACCCTACGTGAGCGTCACATTTGCGTTGGAGTCGCCGTCTCCGGTTTGGACGATTCGACACGAAAATTTCTGGTTTCGAGTATCGTTTTTCGCGATCAGGGATCGGTTCCATTTCAGTGGGCGTCCGGCGTTCCCGTCGACGGCTCTTGTGCTCGCGGAGTCGGTCGTGTCTGGCGTACACAATGCTCGAACTTTTGAACGCTATCGGCGACCGAGTGCGGCTCGGTTCGAACTAGTTCGCCGTTGTCTAACCGAGAGCCGGTAAGTGAATTCTGCCGGAGTTTTCTCCGGCGAGACGAGAGTGCAACGTACCGAAAAGTTTTCACCCTTTCCAGAGCAAACCGGAAACTTCCCTGAATCGCTGGACACGCGTCGCAGCTCCGCCGAGGCGGACGTAATTCGCGGAACACTTACACCCACGCCCCCTCTGTTTTTCACTCGTTTTTTCCATCGCGAACCGAAGATCGTCGGATTTACGAGGTCCATGGATAAATTACGAGTCACGGAAGTTACGGATCGTTCGAGCGTTGCATCGTTAGCTTTCGAGTATAAAAGGTGTTTGAAATTCTCGTCGTCGAGTAATTAACGCCTTCGAGATATTTCGATAGTGATTTTGGACGTTCGTAAACTGCAACGAATTATAATTTGTACTTGTTTTGGTTCCAAAGCGTTGAAAAGGGTGCAAACATTTCTCGATCGCGCCACAAACGATCCGAAATGAAATATTTTTCGGGTTTCGTAGTTCCAAAAATGTGGAGGATTTCCGAAGGCCTGAATATCGGGTATCGAGGCGCCAGACGATGACGGGGCGAAATCCCCAGGGAAGAGTGTACTCACGGTTCCGCAGCTGGTTAACCTCCACCTTGACGTGGAGTTTCGGCGACACTCTGAGGGCGGTTCGAATCTGGTAATACCTGCGAAATTGGAAATCGTCGATGAGCCCGGGCTAAGCCGTCGCAATTACGAGGCCGTGCGGGTTCACCGCGAGCGTGAAAGCCGGATCCGCTTACCCGCGCTGGAACAGGTCGACATTGTAAAACTTGCAAAGCTCGAGGGAGAACTCGAGAGTGGCCTGTAGATCGCTCATCTCGATCCCCGCGATTCCGGGAGCCCGCCCTCCCCCTCTCGTCCGCCTTCGGGAGCTCCTCTAATCGCACCAAGACCAGCTTCGTCCGCGACGATTCACGCGCGAACACTGTTCAGGGTCTGCCCGTGCTTCTCCCCTCGTCTCTGCCATCCTGCACCACCCCCTCAGCGTCTCAACCACCCTGAAACCCAACCAAAAATACGTTAAAAAATTTTCATCGCCCTTTCTTTCAGAATCACAAGTCAACATATTGTCTAAAAACTATCGAGTTTCGTGTCCCTGTCTTTCAAGATGCATAAGCTCAGGTTCTGGGTTAAACATCGATTTTCGAAACAACACTGTTTCCTCAAGTTTTCTCTAAACGCTTCCCCGATCTAAGAGGAATCAGATTTCGTGCCCCTGCCTCTCAAGATACAAAAGACCATGTTCCAATTAAACATGAATTTTCGAAACAGTACTGTTTCAAATTTCTCTCGTTTTCCCTCTGTACACTTCCTCGGTTTAAGAATGCTGAAATCTCGTGTCCCCGTCTCTCAAGATGCGTTCCAGAGTCTCGCGGTGGTCGCTGTAAGTTATGTTTAGGTTCGTGAAAATTTTCGCTCGCTTCGATGGAGGCTTCCATCGCGGCGGAAACGTTGAATCGCGTCGAAAAGGTGCTTCAACTTCCGGCGAAGCAGGAGTGGATAAAGATGTATTGTGCGCACCGGCCTCGGTACGGGGCGAGTTTTCTCTTCTCTTTCCCGCGACAAACAGGCCCCGGAGTCTACTTCAGTGCCAAAGTTTTTTTTAACGATCGTTGGCGACCACTCGCGACACGGCTTTTCTTCTTGAGGAGAGATCATTGCCGTGTTTAAAAGCTGGAAACTTTGAGAACTCGCCGAGCGCGTTTCTTTACGGGGGAAAGGAGCGGCTCAAGAGGCGCGCGTGCGCTCGAATCCCTTATTCGCGTTTGTTTTATGGTCGGAAACAGTGCAACTTTGAGCCCCCCGCCGAGGGATCGCGATTGAATCTTCCAGAAAGGGCATTGTCCGCTCTCCAACAGTAATTCGAGCAATGGCGAGACGATTCTTGGGGATGGAACATGATTAAAAGCGAAGCTTTAAAGCCGATGACGTTTACCCCTAGTATTTATAAGTCACATAGAAATATTTTTTGGAACGATTATACGCGTGAAAATAGACAGCAGAATGAAATAATATCTTTTAGTTTTCCGAGAGAATCGACACCGCGAACAGGGAACGCGCGCAAGTGGAGTACGACAAGTAGAAAGAATGATTAATGGTCAGACGCGACCGCCAAGTCGTACTCGATCGCACGCGCGCCCGACAAACTTTCGAATTCAATTACCTCGAAAACGAAGCCTCGAACTAGAACGTGTTCCTCGTTCTTTACGACTTGTTTTCGCATGTAGAACCGCCGCTCTGTGCCACTCGTCCCGCCCTCGATATGATCGACTGCTTTGATTCGTTTCATATTTATAACGTGCGTAACGGAAGATAGCGAAAGCAGAATCTTAATGAGCTTCCTTTCGCTTTCGTCGAGTCAAATATCCCTTTTTACCGGATGACTTAACCAAAGCGTGCGATAAAACTGTACCTTTCTCAAGGCATTTGCGTGGAAATTGGGGACGGAAAATACATTTCGTTCGACGATCTTCGAACGGGAAGCTGATACAGAGCTACTATGAGGATGTCCCAAATCAGGTTCACGTCCTAAAATTCTTGTATGCATTCAGTGGGATCGTCGAGGCGTTTTGTAATTTGCATTGAGGTCGAGTAATGGGGACTATTAAGTCTGATGTATATGCTGCCTTCGGTTGGAAAGACTGCAATCCATTGGCGTAGAGTGTACGGGATTGTTAAATGGGAATAGAGGGATTCTTTTTCGTGATTCCTGTCGATTAGAAAGATTACCACAATCCATAGACGTAGAATATCTGAGATTACCGAGTGATTCTTCATCGTGACAACGTTAGACCAAGTGTAGAAAGAGTATCACCGAGATACACTGTTGTTAATTAGTAAAATTACCGTGATCCATAGGCGTAGAATATATGGGGAATTACTGAATAAAAGCAGAGAGATTCTTCATAGTGACAGTACTGGACCACGCGTGGACAAACTCTTACCGATACTATCGCTTAATTGGAAATATTACCGTAGTCCATAGGCGTAGAATGGAAAAAATGTAAAAATTGAGGAGGAACGTAGTCGCGTAGGGGCTGGGGAAGAATCGGGTGGGTATGTCAGCCGTGTCTTCCCCTTGTTAGGCTGAAAGCCTCTGCTCGCCACTGTCAAGGACGCGCGAAGGCCGCGTGCACGGTTCCTCGGGCAAAGATCAACGACCTGGCCCACGCACCGAGCGCGCACGAGAGGGTGAGAACGAGGCGGGGGCGTTGAAAAAAAGAGAAGAGGCGTCAGCGGGTGACGAGGAGGACAAGCTCTCTCGTCCGGCGCGTGCCGTCGAGCGGCCACGAGCGGAATGGAAGCCCAGCAGGCCCCCGGCTGCCGACGCTCGGCGTCTTTGACCACTTTGTCCGGAGCCGCTCGCGTAATCTGGTTTCGTCGCCTGTCGGACGAGCCCGCCAGACAGACGAGCACCGTGTCACGGACGCGTCTCGCGCAAAGTGCATTTGAATCGCTTTGTCGGGGACGAGAACTCTCCATTATCCTCGTTGTTATTATTACGCGCGCCTCCCGGAGCCAATCCGCCACCTCTAATGGCTCTCCTACGAAATTTACCCGCGAAAAAAGAGGTTGCTAGGTACCAATTTCGACGAGCATCCGTTCCCCAACGCTTTCAATATTTTTATACTCGAGCAGAGCAGTTCTTTGTTGGAACAGTGGGGCTATAGGTTGTAAAACAGTCGTCACTGGAGATAATTTTGAAATTCAACATTCTTCAACGCGTTTATGTTAACGAAAGGTGTTAAATTTAGTCGAATTGCAATTCCTCAGGCTCCGATGCGGACGGATCCATCGAGGACTCCTTCGCGCGGCGCTCGATATTCATGGAATCCAGGCTCTCGTCGCGGCAATCGTGCCTACCATTGGCGTAACGCGTATCGAAACAACGATGTCCACGTGTCGCGTCGGTTCACGCGCGATTAATTCGGTTCTTCATCGACCTAATCCACGTGATCCGCCATTCAGTGCATTATCTCGGGTCACGAGCAGATACTCGTTCCCCGCTACACTGGCGGCGGGAGAACGGTTTTCACGGCCTCGTATCGTATCGCGCGCAAGTACACGACGGTCGATGTAGGCCAGAAACGACCAGCGTCGGGCTAAACTGGGCCACGGTGCGTCGGCCTCGGTTCTAGAAATACCATTGCCAAGCGGTTTGAGACGGGGAAACGTTCGTTACCGATGAAAATTCGCGAGAGGAACCCGGGCCTTTGGGCACCGGAATTCGCGGGAACGGAGAGTGTGCCTGCGATTCCAGGGGGAACGCGGACACGAGGGCGGACAACTATGGCCGAAACGGAATCCGCGCGAGGACGACGAAATTAGAAAGACGGGAAACCGCACGGATTCTCCAAACGAGATTGCCTCAACAGATAGTTCGCGAGCACCATGGTCGATGGAAAGTTTGTTTGTTTGGCTTGCGGTCGCCTCGCGGAGGAAAACTGATCCGACGATCGAGTGGTCTGGGGAAAATATTATTCTCTGCCCCTCGAATACCCACTCGAACGTCTCGTTGTTATCTTTCGTTTCTGTATTCGATTTGGTGGAGTTAAACTATTTTAGAGAACACCAAGATGATCTTAGGGAGAAATTATGGTTTGGCAAATAACTCAAGTTCAATAGCAGATAACGTTAAATGTATGGAGTTAGTAATATTGTATTGTATCCAAATATATCCTGTTCACTTAATATTGAGAAGAAACTTTGCCAATTGGCCGATCACTCTGACACGTATGTACGATTACTAGGTCAGTTACCCGGGTAGAATTTGTAACATCAATTTTTCTTGATCCTCGAGACGAAGTGGGACACTATATTCGTAGCCTTAAAATTAAACCTAGTCGATCCGCTGTCTATTCCAGTCCGATTCATCGAATAATTTGCGCCATTTAATATCCAGCGGTTTAAAATAGACTTCCGTGGTGGTATTACGAAGTATACAAATCTTCGTACACCTCACCAGGCGTATAACAGGATCATCTGTGGGCGCGAGCTTCATTTGTTTACGATGTATGAATCCAAGAAGAAACAAACTTCTGCATCGGAAATATTAAATATTTATATTCGAGTTTCGCTATGCCCAAAAATATCAACCTCGATCCCAAGAGAATTCTGCAATTTAAAATTCTATTTTGCATCACCGATAATAGTTTCGTAACCCGAATTGTCGCTACGCACTTAAAATAACTTGGTCCTCTTTCTTAACCAAACTTCCCCCCTTTTTTTAAAACGTTTAAAATAAATGTACCTCGACGCTTGTAAACAGTTACGTAAATGTTACAGTTGTCACAAATACTATGAGTACAACGAATATTTCGAATTTTCGCGCCGCAATGAAACAGCTGTTTTCAGATATTTGAATCTCATTGTTTTCGAAGCAACGAGCATGCTTTGTTTATCGTTTAAAATTATTATTTAGGTAACGATCGCGGCCCTGCTCGATTATGAGCCCGAAAACACGATATTCCGCGATAGTTACGAGCAGCGTAATTCCGTAGCGTGTTCGGTGCACCGATGCGGTTAGACACAATGGCGGCCAGCGTACCGGAGGCCGGGAATAACCGCAGTAACGGGTTTCTACGACCTTTTTTTATCGCCTCCGACGTTTTCCCTGTCGCAGGAGGCCCGGTTAAATTAAGTATGAACGGCTATAAATAAATCTCGCATGGTATTTTTCGAAGCATCCGTGCACGCGCGTCCTATTGGTGCGATCGAGTTGTTTTATGCACGTGTACCCTTTTTCCCGTGCGCCGCGAACATTCTATCCGCGACCAACGCTTCCCGGGTTAGGGGCTTTTATCCTTTCCTTGCCTTCCTCCTCAATAATTCAACCGCTACTCCAGGATTTGATTTTACATCGCGAATAAAAAATTCAAGCACGGGCCACTCGTACGTATACTCGGTCGAATTCGTAAATAAGATCACTCCTCGGTGCAAAAAATAATTTTATTTTATACGTTTAATGCTCGTTTCGAGAAACGAAATTACACGGAAT